GCGGGTTCTCTGCTGTTCACTTGTTTTCCTTTGGTGGTGAGAGAGGTTGGGGTTGGCCTAGGGTGTGGCTGTTCATTTGTGGTTGGCTGTGGTGGTCTTTGATTTCTAATACTTGCTTGGTTATTTTACATATTTCTTGTATGACTGTTGTCCAGAATAGTTGGATTTTGGGACACTCCCACTACATGTGGAGGTGGATCGGGTGCTTGTTCAGCCCAATACTTAGTGAAAGCAAAATTGTCACCCCCACCCACCCCCATCAGCTGCACAGGGAGTTCAATCCTCCTTGACTTGTGTGCAAAATCATCAAATTTCAGATTTCAAAATTTGAGGCTTTTTCATTTGCAGAAAAACAAGAGGAGACATGATAGAGGCATAGAAAATTAAGCATAGTGTGGAGAAAGGGGCTAGAGAAAAGTTTTTCTCCTTCCCTCATAACATTATAATTTGGGGGGTTCAATCAAACTGAATGTTGGGAGATCCAGGGCAGAATTAAACAAAGGATTTCTTCATGGTTAAACTATGGAATTAACTCCCACATGACGTAAAGCCATCTGTCTTATCCTTCATTAATTTGTCCATCAATGGCTACTGGCTCTGTTCTGTCTCCACTGCTGCAGTGAAATAAGTCCCAACTTGGGTTGTCATTTGAAGGAAAATGCTTTGGGGCTCAAGTTATGCAAAATATATTCCTCTGCCTATTTTTGTATGACCATTCGTCCTGTGTGAAAGTGAGGGAGGGGGTAATTGGTTGCTTTCAAAGGATGGGCAAATTAAAAGTAATTCTAATTTTACCTTTTTAAATGCAAGGTTGCTGAGGGTGGTTCTTTTCCTTCCCCCTCCTCTTTTAAAAACCTAATGAATGACAAACTTAATGCCACTTTAAGCAACTTTTCTGGGATGGACTACCTCTGGGAATGGCGCCTTGTCATGACACAACATCATTCCCAGGAGCATTCTGGGAGGAAGGGGAAGAATGGCCACAATGTGGCCGCAAGTTGATGCCACTGCTCTAGCGCAGCCATTAGATGTGGCAGCCATCATTTTGTGGATTACAAATGTGGGCAAAATGTAATTGTTCATGCTGCAGGGCTCTAAGCAAGAGCTGAAACTAAAATTCTTTTGTAGCAATCACAAAGTCGCAATAGGGTATGCTTATTCCGTCATTTCTCTATTAAAACATAAAAGGTGCTGTAATTTTCAGGCTACGATCCAGGAGAGCCTCAGGAAATTCAAAGTCAAGCCTGAAAACCTGTCTGCAACCAATGTTGTTTTCCTTTTAAATTGGTTAATTCTGCATTCCTGAAACGTTGGAAATAGCCATCTGCACGAACATCTGTTCTAAACCTCTCTTTTAACTATGCACTAGTAGTGAAATCACTATCACCACATCATGCAAGAACTTAAGAGGAAATGACCATTTAGTCCAGCCTCCTTTTCTCCCAAGGAACCACTAGTTGTCCACGACAGCCCCACAAGCAGGACATATGTGCAACAGCAGTCTCTTGTGCTTCCTGGCAACTGTTAAAATATAGTCATTGTGACTAGTAGCCATTGTTAGGCTTATTAACCAAGATTTTGGCAACACCTTTTCAAAGCTGTTCAAGCTGGTGGTTATTATCACATCCTGGGTTTATGAATTCCATTCTTTAACAATGCAGTATGCAAAGAAGTACTTCTGTTCTCCAACATTCTTCTTCTTTGGATTGTCCCATGTTATAGAATTATGGCGTCTAGAATCTGGTATTCTAGGAGATGGGAGAGAGAGAAACCTATTTCTATCCACTTTGTCCAAAACATGCAGATGTTGCTGGACCACAACTTTGACATCCCTGGCCAATGGCTGTGCTGGCTGAGGCTGATGAGAGCTGGACTCCAGCATCTGGAAGGCAGCCAGTTCCCATTCCTGAAGTAGTCCTTAATCACACTCCCATCATGCTCCTGTATGTGAACTCTCTCCTATTGATTTACATGACTGCAAACTGATTATTCATACATTTCCTTTCCTTTTCAGCATTGTAATTGCTGAAATACTGATCTTGACTCCTATATTGTGTGGGTGCAACCTTCTCTGTGCAGAGGGCTATTGGGAAGCATCTCTTGGTTGGCTGGAGAAACAGGACATTAGATATTTTCTCTGTCCTCCTCAATCTAGGCAGCTTTTCACTAACATCCTGGAAGTATTGCATACTAGAGCCAGCAGCTCCAAATAGCTAAAATGTCACCACATACTGTTGGAATTCATCTCCCATGAACCATTGTTAGGGATAATGGAGGCTTTCACTTAAGAATATGTTCAGAAAAACTGGAGCCATCGCAGCAAGTATTAAATGGAAAAGCCATAAAATGAGATGAACGCAGTCCATCTGGTTATAAAGCTTCTTTGGGGATAGAATATTTTTTGCTATGGACTCAGAAAGCATCATGATGTAGCCTGTCTTTGAAAGGATAGCTAACCTAAGAATGGTTGGAACTTCTTGTAGGCAAACAGGTTAGTAATAGTTCAAAGGCTTGTTTCCTACACCTACTTCAGCTTTTGCTGCAGTACCGCATACTTTCAAAAGCGGGGTTTTTTATGAATTTGCCAAGGGTAAAAAAAGTCTTAATTTAATAACAGGAGTGAACTCCCTATAAATACATCCATGACAGAGCCTTTGATAAGTGTACTCAGTCATTTAATCTTATCAGTTCCCTCCCTTCTTTTTGTGCTGAGTCTGAAAAGGCACATCAGGGAACAAGCAATTCTTCATGTTCCATGAACACTCCTAAAATCATAAGGGGTTGATAGAGGAGATAGACTACGTTATCATCAATCCACATGGTATCCATATGAAAAAAATCCATCTTTAGCAGTTTAAGAGCCATTATAGATAGCATGTCCCCCACACAGAGAAGGTCTGCTTTGAAAAGGTTTAAACTAATGATAGGCTGACCACATCAAACTGACACATCACATTTATTCTTCTCAGAGAGTTTAGCACATAACAGAGAAATTTTAGGACATTTCAGATAATGTAATAAGACCTCATTATAAAAAAGCACATAAGGATCAGAGTTGTTTCGGTAACATAGACTTACTGTGAAGCAGAAAATATAAGCTACTGTACAGATAAATGGGGAACTCAGCATGGTCAGAAATGTCACCAACAATTAAAACTTGAAAATAATACTTTAAACGCAGTGTGGTTTTAAGATGCTGATAAGCACTTGCTCAAGTGAACATGGAAGAACTTTCAGTGGAGATATTGATTTAGAAAGCAAAATTTAGAGCATTATGATGTGGTTTATATTAACTAAAACTTTTTTTGTACTTACAGAGGGAAGTGTACTTTAAGCACTGTTAATAAATGAACTTTCACAATTCATTTTTATGAATTAGGATGTTTTCTGCAATTTACTCTCTGTTAACAGCTTGTGCAACCAGTCCTACGCATTAAAAATATTTAGTGTGGGACTGACATTTTTAGCAGAAATTGGTATTGAATCAGGTTTTTATAATCCAAATTTTAGTGGACATCTTCAGATGTGACGATTTATTAACATTGCTCTTGAAATGCTTGTGATGTTTTGAACAATGCTTGAGGAAATAGGCTTGAATCTTGAATGGTTGTATTTATGCCTCGCTCATATCATCTCTGTTCTGATGGTATTATAACACAAATTTGTATTTTTTGGGTTGTACTGTAGCAGGACTTCAGTTGGTTAGTGTGGTGCTGATAATAAGGTTGCAGGTTTGATCCCCATATGGGACACTGGCATATTCCTGCATTGCAGGAGGTTAAACGAGATGATCCTCAGTGTCTCTTCCAACTCCGTGATTTAAGACTACTTCAGGCCAGTGTCTCTAGGTACTGTAGAGTAATGGTAATAATTATTTGAATCACTGTATTATACAAATGTCCCAGCATGTTAACAGCATGCTTCTATGTTCTCAACAACAGTACATAGCTCAGAGACCCTGATGGTAAGACATGGCCCTCCTTATTGTTCTCTTAGAGCATTACATCACATCATCAGGATGGCTGACATAACCTTACAATGCTTCTAACATCACTGCAGATTTGTATGGGCCAAACTTCATCTAAATGTCTGGATGAGGGTTTGGGGAAGGGGAAGGTATTAGTGTTTGGTTATACGATTGTGCAAGCAAAAGCAACAAACCATTCTGTAAGAAAGTAGTATATTTTATTACATGGATGTTTCAAAAGATACACTTCTTCTACTGGTAAAGTTTGTTTTGTTAAAATAAGGCCACTTTTTGCTTGCTCTGTTAGAATTGATTGTTGCTATGGTTAAGGCAGAAGGCTCACTGAACTATTCAAAATAAAGATTAAATAAGTTAATTATTTGGGATAGCTCAATCAGTAGAGCATGAGACTCTTAAAGGTTGTGGGTTTGAGCCCCATTGAGCAAAAATATTCCTGCATTGCAGGGGGTTGGACTAGATGACCCTTTGGGTACCTTCCAACACTATGATTCTATGATTTACATAGATGAGTAGCTCCCTAATATTTACCTTGCAAAATCAAATCTCAAAACGCCTTGGGATTAAAGAATTCTGTACACAATCATTTGTAGATTTGTCCTCTGTGTGTTACATAAATCTATACCTATCTGATAAGGCTATTGTTGGCTACTATCTACAGTGGTACGTTCTAGCTCCATTTTTAGAGTTGGGACAAGTGATGATGTGCTCAGCTTCTACACTTAGGTTTCCCATGGGCATATTTAGAAACTGAGTAAATCTGCTCTCCAAGGAGTTCAAGGCCCTGTGCCATTTCAGTCTCACAACAGCTCTGTGAGGTATGTTAGGCTAAGATCTGGTAACTGAACGAAGAGCACCCAATGAGCTTCATGACAGATTTCAAAACCAGGCCTCTTCAGTCCTAGTCCAACACTACCACACCAGTCCCACTTATCTTGCAAAGTGCTGCTTTAGCCTAAGGTGCTCCTGAATTTTGTTTCAAATCAGCACTGGATTTTTTTAAATACTTTTTTTTCAAATTACAAAATGTTTGTTTAATGAACATACATAATGAAGCTATGCTTCAACCATTTTAATTTATTTAATGGTTTTTGGTTCCAAATTACATTTATAAAGCTTTAATAAGAGTGCAATCTTAGGGCATGTTTTATGGAAACTTCAACTTCCCCTAGATACAGTTGCCTCCTACACAAGATAATTAACATGCCCAACAAGCCCAATTTTAGAGTGGCCTTAAATCTTCCAAATTCCCCCACACCACCCAAGGTGGGCTGCCTCATAATTTGAGAATGACAGTATTAGGATCAAGAGCATCTTTATTCATTCTCAAATAAATTGAGAATGCAGTGTGTGATTGTGGTAGTATATTGCCTCCTAAAAGTAAATGAACCAAGTATACATTACTCTATTCAAATATTGATCACATTACAAAAACAATTTTATTAACAAAAATATTATACAGGATTAGTGATTGCAGACAACAAAATGAGGTAGCCAACAAAATGAAGTGTCGCTTGATAGGATGGAGTAAAAGGATCCCCTGAGTTGGTGCCACGATAGTTGCTAGAGCTCACCACCCCTCATTTTAAGAGACTATGGGCTGTTTCACAGGTGGTGGGAAACCAGTTTCCCAGTATGGGAATGTGCTGTAGTGCCCAAGTAAGAAGCATCCACTTTCAGTTTCCTATGACGTCTGAGCCTGGAGAGTAGTTTGTTTACGAACTAGTTGGTGAGGACAAGCCAGCATGTGAGAAAACAGCTTGCTTAATTAATTAGTGGGAACAAGATAGAATCAAGTAAGTTTCCCGAGTTCAAACAGTACAAGGGAAAATGTGGTTAATGCAAAACTGGGAACAGACGATTCTGGTTTTCTCTTCTGGGAAAGGAAAGTGTGCAAACCTGATATTCTGTACAGCTTGTTCGCATTGTAGTAGGAAGCCAGTTTTGTGTTACGGCTAAATCAGGCAAATACAGTCTTAGTTCCCTTGTGGGGATCAGTAGGTCAACCAGGCAAGGGTATTATGCTTATATGTTGAAGATGATAAACATGTTAGACCAGGATCAATGAGGTCCTGCCAGATGCTGCCAAGACAACAACTCCCATCATCTCTTATCATTGGTCATGCTGGATGGAGCTGATGGGAGCTGGAATCCAAGGACACATTAGCTACCCCAGGGTTAAGACTATCAGCTTTTGGCAAGCAGTCCTAGTTTGGAAGCTAGTTGGCCAAATAACAGTTAGACATTTGGATTTCCACTGAAATTTGCTGTAGTGTTGCTGCAAAAGCTTGCTGCTGTTCACCTGTGCCCTTTTTAAGCTCCTCAATCATCTTCTGAAGATACACTGGGAGATGTCGAAAGGTTTCAAGCTCTCTAAAATAAAGATCTAGGAACCAATGGCTAGAGCTAGCATTAAGCTTGCAACAATCAGCTGTCATCAGCAACGGTTTGGAGCAGGCTAGCTTTTTAAAGGCTACAGAAAAAGGCTTAAATAGCTTATATACAGAACAAAAGTTTAGCAACATCTTGCAATATAAGACCGTCCAAAATTCTGTCTGTGTTTTATGAAAATTGCTTTCCACTTGTGCATGGAATTCCTCAACTTTCTCTTCTGGATTAACAAGATGCAAAAGTTGCTGCTTAGTTGTTTCACACTTTATGATATCCAGTGGCAGGTTTCCCTCAGAATCTTTCTGCTGTAGCAATACTGGTCCTGCAGAAGAAACAAATCATTAAATAGGAAATAGTTTATTTAGCGCAGCTAAACAACTGGCTGTTTTTCAGTATCTGCAGTTTTGTCTGCAGCATCTAAAGCTTTTTGATTAACAAATCACATTTTAATTCCCAAACGAATTAGAATTGTTAAGCCTCTTTCAGGCGAATACTATGTGCCTTAAAGATTATGGGGTGAAATGCCCTGCTAAGACCTTTTCTCCTCACCCTCGCAGTCATGTGGTGAGTCAGTCATAGGCTGGATGTTCTAGAACACTGGATCCAAATTTGCTAAGTACTGCAGAGCCCTGTTTTTCAAAACTCCAAGCCATGGACCCTCTGGTTTTGAAAAGTTGTATATCTCTAAGGTAGTTTTTGTTATGCAAATGGTGCCACAAACCCTTGGGGGTCCGGAGACCACCAATTGGCAACCACTGTTCTAGAGCAAAAGCTACTTCCTGATCTCATCAGTGTACTACAGATTTCTTTTTGTTAACATAACCAGATGATTCAAGTTCTTTGTATATGTATCATGCTTCAGTATATTTAAAGAAACTGGTAATACCTATTAAAATACAGGTTTGCAAAATGTGTTTTGCAAGACACACAAAATAGATGATACTGACAGATGAAGATGATAAAGAAATGAGGAAGCAAACTTTGGGGTACACAAATATAAAATGGGGACTGCTGCCATCCATGGTGACAAATTTATTTCACGATGTTTATATACTGATAGATTGTAATAAAAACTCAAAGTGGTTTACAAATCACAGTAACATTCAATTAAGTTGAGCGCATGGGCAGAAGGCTGTGCCAGGAGCTGAGTTACGTGGCATTTCACATGTCTCAGCCAGATGTATAAAGAATCCTAGCCTCGTTCATACATTTAGGGGGAATTCCTTATGTATGGCAGATAGCATTCAGTATGAGCCAGGCCTTCTATGTGAATGCCAAAGGATGGTAGTTGGTGGCATTTCTCTGCCTCCAAAATGTGGGATAAAGGTCTTGTGAGCTGGTCATCCTTACAAGTCAGCAGGATCTCTTACCTACTATTTTGGAGAAAGAAAAATGCCACCAACTAACTTTCTTTGAGCATTCACACGGAGAACCAAACTCAAAGGAAGGCCTTCCTGCTACTCTGTCACACTGTTTCAGTACTCCCTTGCCATGTCAAGGTATGAACTGGAGTTTGGAACGTATTTTTAAGTTTAAACAGTGGCACAATAAGAAACAGCAGATTAGATATGCTAAAAATATAGTTTCCTGTTACTTTCCCTAAGACCTACAAAATTAGAAGAAAAATTAGAAGAAAAGGCGATATAGCTTGCTTGCATAAAGCATTTTTTACATGCACCAAAAGCAACAAATGATTAGCATATGCTGTTTATCAGGAGGAGTATGTGTCATTGCACTGAATGCCCTCTAGACAAACAGCCTTGGCTGTCAGATGAACCTTGGGCTTTGTGGATCCACCAGAAGTAACTCTTCCTTAGTGGCTGAATAGGACAGAATGCAAGACTGCAGCTTCTCAAACAACCAGGGCTTAAGTTTTTATTCCATAAACCCTCTAAACATTCACAGAATCAAATAATGTGTTTGCATCTAGCAAGGACACACAGAGAAAAGCCACATTTTCACCCACATTTTTGCCTTTAAGCGGTATATAAATTAATAATAATAACGGTTTCCAGGATGGTGTCTGTATACAGAGAAGACTGCTGTGCACAGTTTAAATGCCCAAGCCTGTATCTAACACCCAAGCCTATGAGTGCAGCACTCATCACCTGCTTGGCAGATAGGTCAGAGGGATTTAATGATCTTGCTTCTACCTAACAGGTCATCAGTACTGACACACTGTGTCTTAGATTGGAGGACTTTTTATGTGTCGCAATGTGGCCTGAGCCTTCTGCTGCTGCTACTAGAGTGATAGATCAGCTGCAGCCTTTTTAAAAAATAAATAAATAAACCAACAATTCTACTACCATAGATTACAGGTTGCACGGGGTTTTTAGTCATGAAGAAACTGCAATGTACATAACTGAAATACTTTAATGTGCAGGGGTAAATTGTATGTTAAAGTGACATATGGATCTGGGCGGGGGGAGAGAAGAGCAGCCTACTTTTGTGAAAGGTAAACTGCAAGACCATGAATAATAATAATAATAATAATAATAACAATAACAATAATAATAATTGCTATTATTTGTACCGCACCCATCTGATTGGGTTGCCCCAGCCACTCTGGGCAGCTGCCAGCATATACAAAAACCATAATAAAATATTAAACATTAAAAACTTCCCTATATAGGGCTGCCTTCCGCTGTTTTCTAAAGGTTGCATAGTTACTTATCTCCTTGACATCTGATGGGAGGGTGAATCCAGGAAAACCTGGATTCAGATTCCCACTCAGCCTTAGTGCTCATTAGGAGACGTGGGCCAGTCACTATTTCCCAGCCTACCCGAACCTCAAAGGACCGTGGGGAAAATAAAAGAGGAGAAACATGGATGCCCCGCTTGAGCTCTTTAAGAAAAAGATGGTACAACACATCAATAAAATTAACAGGTTGTGTGCCTACAGAGACAGGGCCATGCACACAAGAGCAATATTTTAATTTTCAAATGTAGATATTGCATCATAGTGTAGATTAAAAAAACAACCCAAAACTAAAAAGGATGGCTTATGGGTGAGGGACGTGCCAAAGGACTCTATAAAGTTTAGTTACCAACAATGAGCAATTGTATACTGAATGTGCAGCGCAGTTCCTGCCATGCTTCTGTCAAACTGCTTGACAGGCGAAGGTCTGGCATGTGACAGCCAAGATAACTCTGCACACACCTTCTGCACCGTTGCAAGAGGACCTTGATGAATGAAAGTGCAAGCAGATCTTCTCCCCTAGGACAAGGGGATCATCCGCTGCCCATTCTTCACAGACACCCAGGAAAAATGCACATCTGTCAGTGTAATGCCACGTTCTATTGAAGACTTGGGCTTTCGGTAATATTGGCTCTTGCATCACTTAGACCGATTGAAGTGAGGCCAGGTATTGGCTTGGCGTGTCAGTCGCATGGTGCAGTAGATAAATAAAACACCTGGGAGACAGCATTAAGGTTCAGCACAAGCACACAGAGGGAGAGGAGCAAGGGATGTATTGATTGTGAAAGAATGTCAGCCAGAGACAAAGAAAATAGCCTTTAGGGGGCAGGAGAAGACTGCAAATGCACAGAGGTCTTATAAAACAGACCAACCAGTGTAATGCTTCTGTTTCTGGCTGAGTTTAGCTAAAAGCTATCTAAGTACAGAACATTATTTTGCACTCCACACAGCAGAATTAGTATAGCCATAACAAATCTGAAAACATGAAATACGTGAAATTAAACTGACATGCAGAGTAGTGGTATGAGCTACATAAACTCTGTGTTTATATATGGCACACACAAATGCTTTAAAATATATATGCTTTGTCTCCTTTGAAGATGAGTACTTTGTAAGGGGAAGACTTCTCATGGAGGGTATACACAAAATGTTGAAATTTTTGAACTGCTTTAAGTGGGTTTTTTTTTAAAAAATGCAAAATTCTAAAGTAAGCTATTTCTAACCCTTTCCCCTCCAATTTTTAAAAGCCTAGACTTTTCAGAAGCAGAATTATCAGCCTAAATGTTTGGATAACCATAAATATAAGCAGAAACACAATGAAATTAAGCAGCACAAAGCAGTTAAGCTAACCGTTTCTGCAGTACATTGTAAAAATTAATTTAAAATCCAGATTTTGTGAAAAATGCCTGGTAGGCGTGCAATCCACATCACTGCTTGTTCATACAGCTTTTACAAAAAATCTGCAATTCAGCAAATGTGAGAAAGCAGCCAAAGTTATGGGCTTACTGAAATCATTTAACTGACAAGATGAATGAGTATAAATATGGCATGATGCACATCAATATTTATGAAAACCTCTAGCTTTCAAAAATCACATCAAGAACACCCTCAAATTTTAATACGCTGCAGTTTTTACAGATTCAAATTTCTCTAAGCTTATTTAACACAAACACACTCACCCCCGTGCTGAAGTAGAAGCTTGGCAATTTCTACATGTCCATTTCCCAGGGCATCATGCAAGGGAGTCACCCCATCCACTTGGCTGAACAGGTTTACCTCTGGACAATGTTGCAAAATTTCACGGACACACAGAGTGTTTCCATGGTTACAAGCTTCATGCAAAGGCGTCCAGCCAGCATAGTCTGAATTACAAATCAAGGGAAGTTTGAGAAAACAGTAAAATTAGTAGCAGGATGTTCATAATATTGTTGTTCAAATTCCGTTTACCCTTTCCCCCCTCTAACTAGTGTTATGACGAATATTTTGAGAAATCAATATGCTAATTCTGTATTATACTTTTAAAATGAAATGAGGCTAAGATCTACTTCAGTGTCACTCTACAATGAAGCTGTTTCTTTCTTTCTGCAAAGCATCATATTTGTTATTGCTAAAGTAAGAACAAGGCATCTGCAGTCAAAACCACACACTGGCCCAGGTCTGTTCGGACCAGAATTTCACATAAAAATCTTGACTATAAAGCCATTCACAGCTTTTATCCTCCTATCTATAAAAAGGCCAGAAATGAATTATTTTGAACCACGACTGTGCTTTAATAGAAAAACCATGCAGACAATTAAGTGCAATCAATAAGCTTTAGCCGCAAAACTACCCATAAAATCTTTGCTTTAATTCATAATCCCGAAGCAGGAACACAAGGAATGAAAAGAACTCTGCGAACACACAAGTATCACAGCTATTTGGGAGGCTTAATGTGTTTGTTCAGGGAAGAAAATAAAACTACTTACCTTTAACGTTAATATCTATTCCTGGAAGAGAGAGAAGATGAATCAATCTCTCCACATTGTTCCTTTTGCAAGCAGTATGCAGGGCAGTCTCTCCTAGCAAACAGAATTAATAGATTATACCAGTCTAGGCAAAATGGCAACTGAAGAAAATAATCAAAGCGCAGGAACTAGGAGATCTGGCTACACGCCAGAGCACTCAGTAATGAATAAGATTTCCCTTTGTCCTGTTTAAATACCTTTTAAGAAAACTCAAAAAGCCCACAGAGCTTCTGTTCCATCAGAGATCCAGCAATGGAACTGCACTGCTAAAGGGTTAACACAGGAATTATCTCTCCCTCTCCCCCACCCACCCGTTCAAGCTGTAAAGCTTCAACCACATTATAAAAGCACCGAATGATCACAGAACACCAAAAATGCTTGGTTTTGAAGCAATAAAAGTTTAGAGCACAGTTGCCCTCCCTTAAATTTATTCATGAAGCTACATTAAGTGTATGGTTCTTTTTACACAGCGTTTGTAGCTTAATTCAAATGAATGTTTCTGGCTAAGCACGAGTGCCTCTACACACTCAAGTATAATTCAGAACTTCAAATCCGTTAACAGATGGTTTGCTGTTTCTCAATAGGCTGTCTGGCTTGCCTACAGTACCAGAGAGAAAAGGGGGGGGGGGTGGAGGAGGGAGAGGGAGAGAGATTAAGAAGAATGAAGCAGTCTTAAGAAGAGGGAACACACACACACACACACACACACACACACACACACACACACTCATTTAGACCTAGAAAAAAAGAGAGAAGGAAGACAGTGAAGACTGACTGCAGTTTACAGGTAGTGGCTCAATTAACGAAGGCAGGCTGTAAAATTCTGATATTTGTTTACGTTTTTGTCCACTGATTATACCGGAACAAGAGTTGACAAAAAACACGTTTCCAAGTGAATGATGAAATTTACCCAAATGAGAACATTCTGCCCTCCCACCCCCACATTTTCTCATTGGGACTGGGTCAGTAAATTTCCTTATTTATATGCAACAGGATATTATTCTTATGCAGAGTGTCTGGTTGTTCGTTGTGGGCAACAATCAAGTCTATCTTTCCCAATGTATCATATTTTAGCCACTTCTTTTAAGAGTAATTATATATCAGTTTGTATTACCTCTCCAATAGCACACCAGTAGGGGGGAAATCAGATGATTTTTTTTATCAGTGCATTTGCTGATATAGAGACTTTGGCATAGGGTGGGCATAAAATTTAAATCCAAGCAAAATGAGGGTTCTGCTGTTTCTGGCTCTACCAATAGCTTAGCATATAGTTCTAAAATATCCCTTCTGATATCCATTACCGTTATACTTCAGAGCGCTTTGAATGGCAATAATTATATATGTCTAGGTTAAATTCATATTAAAAATAGTTCCAGAAATTGATTTAAGACAGGTACAAGCATATAAGTACATTTTATTACATTTGTGTATTGAACAGAGCCTGTGTAAACTACTGTACTGTGCTATTTAAAACTCAAGTGCTTGGGTTCTAGTGTAGTTAAAACTAAAATCCAAATGCATTTCATAGCTTGGGCTCGATGCCTAGAAGAAAACAGTCCATATGCTTAATGGGGCTATGTAATTCAGCATACACTTCGGTCTTTGTTTGCAAAACGTCTAGGACGGAAAGAGATGAAGACTGAATTAGACTTTCAAATCAGAGGACAATGCTGATTCTTCCAAGCACAGGTTGAGGTGGATTAGTGAAATAAGGCTATGGCTGGAATGGACTCATTTTAGGATGCATTCTCAATTTACAACTCAAGAGAAAATGGTGTGAGTGTGTGTTTGACTGATTAAAAAAAGCAGACAGTCATATCCCCAACTTTAAAAAAGGGCATTTAAAAAAATGGCACAAGAAAGCCATGTTTGACTTATGGCAATAATGAGATACCACTCCATCTTCACTGGGGCCAAATGTGGAACTACGGATTGCAAACTTGTGAAGTACTAAGCATAAGTTAGGAAATCACAGTACCTTTAACGTTAACCTTGTTAACAGTCCCCTGCTTCCCTGAAAAATGATGATTATCTTTGCTGCGCATCATCTCAACTTCAGCTTTGTTTCCCAATTTCTTTTGAACACAAGCAGAGTTATCAGTGCCTTGTATACTAAAAGCAAGAAGTGGTAAAAGTACGTTAAAAGACTGAACTTTATTTACATTTAAAAAAACCAACAACACCCACTTGTTCAGAAGTAACAAGTGTTCTAGCAGACAGATACATCTACATGCTTTCATATTTTGAAATTTAAGTCACTGTAGTTTTGAAACATTCCATACAGTATGTGCTTGTAATAAACCCACCAATCATTCAATATACAGGGCTTAAGCTCACTCTAAAAACATTATTTCTTGAATACTTCTATTTCTCCTGGGAAGCAATTTACATTAATAGTGGGAAAGTATGTATAGTCTGTGAAGTCTACATATATGCAGGGAAAGGGAAAAGGGGGAAAAAACCCTCACCATTCCCAGATGTGTTACAGGATTAAAACCGAGCTTTCTGCCAGTCACAGTAATTTGCAGACAACAACACAGGTCACATAAAGTTCAAGAAATGTGTCAGGTCAGAAGCTGTCCCCCAAAGCAGAATAAAACTGGTGATGTTATAGGTATTACTTACGGTACATCAGGCAGCACTTCGGCTTGGTTCTGCTTATCACCATTTAGCATCAGTAATGCCCTTTGAGACTTAGGGCAAGGCCATTGCCCTATTTTCCTTTTCTTTGCTTTGTGTATCCTTGGCTCACACAACCCAACTTGTAAAGCAGGCAGATAGGAACAAACCTGTTGCAAGAGTCAAACTTTAGTCCAGCTATGTTAAATATGACACATTAACACACATCTGGTAATTAGCAACGCTAACAGTTCCCTCCAGATCTTTATTGCATTTAAAGCTTATCTTCCAGATTAGCATACCTAGACTTCACAAAAGCCTTTTAAAGTAAGGCTTATGGTGTGAAACTCTTAAGGACGCATATAGTTTCTCACACCCCTATGCAGGTTATGTTGTTGGGGTGCTGCTGGGAACTTGACTTGCTCTTCTCACACATATTTTGGCTTTTGAGTGGTTTGCTGTATTGTGGGCTACTGCGCTTTAGGGTTCAAGTACATGCTCGAAAGTAGCATCCATGTGTTGGAATCGGGGGAAATATGCTGCACTACAGCAGAAGGCAATTTGCCATGGGGAATGAGAGTAAGATGCACTGGGCTGGATCCAATGTTGCACCAGCGGAAGTCTAGTTTGTAATGTTTACCATTAAGTCCTGCAACACTAGTACAGTACCCAATCTCTGTTGATTGGAAAGAAGCAAAAATTCCCAAGAGGAACAGATGAAATATAGATATGTATAAAATTAGGGGGGCAGGAAGAGAGGTTGAAGCAAGACAGGGGTATCCTGACACTGAGGAACAGAGGAGCCAGAAGGAAAACTTGTGAAGTTGTTTCTAAAGAGTCCTTTAGAACCCTCCCCCAATCCCAGAAGAATATCAGCTGTCTAGTTGCTATCATGGTTTGATACCTGATATCATGGTTGGAATAGCTCAAACATCAGTTTCCCAGTTCAGTTGCCACAAGAAAATTGGTTTAACAAACCAGTAAGTCTTGAGTTAATGTGTATGAGGGGGAGGGATGGAGGAAAGAAGGTCAGAGAGGAGGATGAAGCATGCCGGCACATAGTTAATTCCTGGTGCAAAAATGAATGGTTTATTGGACCAAGATCACTGCATTTGATCTAGGCCAGAATGTTTTTGCATTAAGAAAGATATTACTTAGTACAAATGACACTTACCATTTTTTGGAGAGACAGCAATTCAGTAGAAACAACAGCGTTGGTTTGGAATGGCAAGTTTTTAAAAACTGCTTCTGCAACAAACATTTCAAGCCACAGAGATGTTATGGAAGAAATGAATGTTTTTAATTCCTGTGGTGAAAAATCTGAAGAAAAGGGAGACAGTAAGAAAGTGTTAGGGAGACAATACAGAGAATATTATTGCTGCATTTCTGTCCTTTAATTGCTATTCCTAAATTGTTAGAATTACTAAACTAGCTGTAGAATTGCTTGCCCAATTCTAGAAACAGAAAGATGCAGCACTCCCAGCAGATAACTGCCCAGCTTCTGGAGAGGCAGAGCTACTTCTTTTGGTTCTTCTGTCAAGCTATTCTTAGTGTCAAGCTTATCCTAATGTTCAATTGAAATCTACGCTCCTGTAAATTGAACCCAGGGAACCTAGTCTTCCCACCTGTGGCAGCAGAGAACTGGACATAGTACTCCAGATATCAAATTGAAGAAAACACATTATGCAGTAGCTAAGAGGAACAGGTTTGCAAAGCTGAAGTACTTAAAATATTCGGTAAATGCCATTTTAAAACAGTATGTAAAATCCATGCTTGCATGGATTTGGGTTTTTTTTAATGGAGAGATTTTTGTTCATGAAAGTTACAATACAAGAAACTTTAAAATCTGTACTAGGACAGAGATTTTATACTGCCAGCATGCTTGTGGATACCCAAACTTTACATTTTAGCAATCAGGCTCTAATATGAATTATGTAATCTGTTTAGGTGAAATTTATAATTAGTTGTTTACAGTAACTCCCTACACTACTACTCTTGGCAATGCAGATAGTGAATGTACAATTTTGTGTCCCCATTTGCAAAATGACAATGGAATATATGGAAGATTGCCTGTATAGCTCTGGGCACTCTCGCGTCCTCTTCCACCAATTGCTTATGATTTACAAACATGAGGTGCTTGATTTATTTATGGAAACATCCTAATCATTATTATTACCATCAACATTATTATTTATTATCTAGCAAACATTAATAATAATTACACTTTCTATGCATTAGTAGTGCTGTAAGCTTACAGTGCAGAACCAGAACCAGTGGCCTATTAAAAAAAAAAAAGAAGAGGCGGCAAGGGAAGTATAAGCTGGTAGTTAAAAATGCCAGCTAAAGTATTCTGATATGGGAAGAACACCAAGAGAGAGAGAGAGATAATGAAGACGGGGCAAGGATAAATTCAGGTGTCACAGATGAGGAAGGCTTCACACACCGAGTTGGAATAAGTGATAAAATAAGCAGCCAAATATTCCAACTACAGTCTTCTGGTTTAGATACAGAGAACTGAAGAGTTTCTTCACTATACATGTGTATGACAAAATATATTACAATCTTACCATTACATGAAATGGCAATATAAGATGCAAGATCCGCAGCTACAGGATGTAACATATTTTTGTCTATTAAGAACCCTGAAAGAATCCAGTATTCGACCACAACTCCCAAAATTCTATTCAACAGGTCAGCTACTTCATGCTTGATGATCTAGAAGAGAAGATCGCCTTTAAAATCTCTCTATTACTATATTTTTTCTTAACGTAGAAATTAAAGTCTGTTTCATCCATTTTAAACTGCTCTACCCTATGAGCATCGTAACTCCAAGAAATTTACCAGGTCTTACTACAGTTTCCTTAACTATACCACAATATTGCCAGAAGATTATGACTTGTTTGTTCATGTGATTGGGAGCTGAAATATTTAATCTTATTGATCACCAATCTTTATCCACTAACATTCAAGAAGCACAAATTTTAGGTGCTTGGATGGAACAGATAACTGCTCTATTAAACATGCTGAGGCCCTGCTACCATGTGCTGCTAACTTCAACGCCAGGATTGGACCAAGCAACTCACTCTTGAATTCAAATGCCCCCTGCTAAAATATTTCGAGGACAGACTACTCCCCTAGAGGAGCTAAAATGAAGGCCAAATTAATTAACCCTGCTTATGTATATTCCAATTAATATATTGTTTCGCCATGCTAATCCAAAATAAAACTACAGGCTGATACATAGGGAGAATTTACATTCTCCATTTTGTTTGTGAGGCTCTAGTATAGTTGATTATATGGTAGCTTGTAGAATACCTTTGCAATTAACCAGGTCTTCCATAACATAAGAAACTGATTCAAATCATTAATTCCTGCATTTAAAACTAAATGGTTCTCTTCAATTGTTTGACTCATGAGTACAGGCAACTCCTCACACGACTACTAAGACGCATGCCGTTTTTGGTGCCGAAAGGGGGCGGGGGCAGAACAGACTGGAAGGAGCTGACGCATGCAACAGCAGGGATTCCCCTGTACAGAAATTGTCAGAAGGGCACTGACTCTGATGCTACAGGAGCTCAGTTAAGTACGCTCCCATCAAGCTATTTCTAATTAAAGATTACAAAGTCTTGCTATGTTAAAATAAATAGCATAGCGTATGCCTCACTTAATCATGGCTCCGGGACATTTTGAACCTTGTCTTAGGCAACTGTTTTCCAGGAACCAAGCTCTCCATTTTGCATATTTTACTTGAAACCAGGGGGAACCCTTTTAGATCTATCTTTACCGACACAAAGGGTAAAGCGTCTGTTACTTTGAGGACATATTGGAGATTACAGAAATCTCTTATGACATAAGCTGTTAACCAAGATTTTCAGGTATCAGCTTCTCAGATACATCAGTTGTGAGAGAATTTATTTGCATTCATCAGAAGAAATTCACAGTTCCAAGGATCCATTTTCAATAGTATTTTAAACAAACGTCAACCCATGGTTTCAAAACATACTTAAGATGACATTACTAATCAGTTAAGTGGCAGTGCCACATAAAGGAGATACTCAGCTAAGTCATGCTCAGAGAAGACCCACTGAAATCAATAGACAATAGCCTTTAACCATGATTAAGGCCATCTGGGGAACAACAACGCAAAAGCCTTGTTCTAGGGAGTAGGGAACATATACAGTCATGGAACATTATTAAGAGTCCTGGGAGAAAGCAGCAAAACACAAAAGGCGTTATTGGGCTTTCTTTACTCTTCATAGTTGATAAATCACTCACATCATCTGTCTTGTACTTCTCTCTATAGGAATTTATGACCCAGTCTACTAGAATATTTATACGTTTTGTGAAAAGCACCGATTCATTTCCTAACCAGAATGTTTCCAGAAGAACAGTTTGTGGCATCACTTGTGCTTGCTGTGAATCTTCTTCACACAAACTGTAAAAGAAAAATAATTCCTAAATCTGTTTTTCTGTTTCGTTACAATGATTACATAACACACAGTATATCTTCTGTTAAAATCTGCAATTTAGCACGTTTTAAATTACAACGGAATTCAAACTTTGATAGAAATGATGTCTCTAGCTACAATCCAGAGTGATATTCAGGCATAATGAAGTATAACGAACCCTCCCAAACTTAGGGGGGGGGGGGGACAGTGGATAGATTTGTATCTACCTAGGTTCTGCTCAGAGAAGACCCACTGAAATTCATAGCCTGAAGTTAGTTGTGCCCGTAATTTCAATAGGTTTACTCTGAGTATGGCTAATCTTGGATACAGCCCATAGTAATGTTAATTTTAAAAATTTGAATTTTTGCACTTTAAGAACAAAGAAACATACCACCACATAAAGGAAGAGGTTACAAGCCTAAGGCTTTTTGCTGTTACAGTGTAATTTCCAGAATTGTCTCCAGTAAAATCTAAGTATTATGTGCACATTATGAAAAAAGGCTTTTAATCTAAGCCTAGACTAAGAAAAATCACAGAACTGCAATGTTAAACACTTACACACTTAAGCGTGTGTGTGTGTGTGTGTGTGTGTGTGTGTGTGTGTAAATTAAAGAACTAATGTGTAAAAGTAATTTTTGAAAAAAGTTTAGAAACATATCTGGCCATTTACCTAGAATCAGAATAGCTTTCTTAAAAACTGACATAAAAGTACAGGAAAAGTAATCAAGTGGGTAGTACAATGTACTTTGGGCGCAACTTGATGGTAAGATACAAAAATGGGTTAGAAATTAAAAAGGTAAAAACATTCATTGAAACACACCTTCTTGTTAATGCTATTACTTCATCTTGGAACATATTCATAAGAAACATTAACAGTGTTTTGTGAAACATTCTTGCCTCATCTGTGGTTTCTGTAACAGGGACTGAATGACAAATATTACTGCAGTAAAGGCAAGACCTGGTGGGGAAAGCACAAGCAATAGTTAAGGGTCAGATAAATCAGGATATTTTCTGATCTTCCTTTCTGTCCCCACAGCCCAAAGTTCACCAGCTCCAGTAAGGTGCCTGTGAGCTCCACATAGTGCTAACCTTTTTTCAGCTCTGGGTGCCAGCAGAAGACCTGTGTTTCCATAAAGTATCTAGAAGGATGTTTGCAGACTGGCTACAGGGACTGAAAGATTGTTTTTACTTTAAAAGTGTTGCTATTTTATTTTCAGTGCATTTGTTATTGTAACCCAACCTGCACTCTTCAGATAAAGGGCAAGATATTAAATTTTTAAAAAACCAACCAAATAAATACACAAATCCCCAGTCAAATAAGGAACTGTAAACAGAAAGTGTGCTTTGAGCCTGATTCCACTGCTTGGGCTATGCATATGGAGCTTGCAGACAGGAATGATGAAATCCTATTGAATGAGAAAACCAAGGGCAGGATTCAGCACTCTGTGCTCCCCTATTCTCTCCAAAGAGCTAATTGTCTGGCTTCCAGCTTTTTACAACAGTCTTCATATGTACAGACCGTATATATAACTTTAATTGTTAGCTGTTTTAAATGCAAACATTCAAGTTCTGAGGACTTTACAATGAGCTCAAGAAATTCCTGAACCTAAAGAAAAACAGTGAACTTGAAAGTTCTTCACTACATTTACTGACTTGGATCCAGTCTTGCCTCAGGAATAAATCCACTACAGTATCTGGAAACTCCCATGGGCAGGAGCAATTTCCTGCAATTCTTCGTTCACCCTGCAGCACCTGAAAACTTTCTTGGGAGGGTTGGGAGATCCTCCAGAAATGTAGAGAGATGTTGCCAAAACCACTTACTCTGGCTTTTGCACATGGGAATAACCAGTTAGCAGAGAAGGAGTCTCCACTGGATCAAACTCCCCTCAATGAATGGGGGAAAGACCTTCCTTTGGAGATGGAGATGCCTAGATCCCATCCATCAATTGCTTTATCTTCATCTTGATGTTCCACATCCAGAATTACATTTCCATCAAGTTTTCCACCATTATTGTAGCTAGGCAGATGCCTCTGTGATGCTCACAAGCAGAGCATGGGGGATGATACAGCAATTCGCAATTTATAACAGTTTATATACTTACTCATCTTTAATCTGACTATGTCACTTTTAAAGCCATCTAATCTAGCAGTCAACACACTGTGTGGCACTGTGTTCCATAAACCAAAATTAATTATGCCTTGTGTGAAGTACTTTCTTTTATCTCTCCTGAATCCACTGCCAATCAACCTCATTGCATGACGCTGAGTTCTAGTACTATGAAAGGAAGAAAACTTATCTCTGTTCACTTTCTCTGCACATTGCGTAATTTTAAAAACCTCAATCTTGCTTTAGTTCATATTTTTTCTGAACTAAAAGGCTCAGAAAGCATAAGCCACTTTAGTCAAAAGTCAAATTAAAATCTTACAAATATGAAATATTTTTTACTTGAATATTTCAAGAGCTTTCTGAGCAACTGATTATACTTATGCTATACTGTAGTCCCGTGGGCTTGAGAAGTACTACACCTGACAGAGTGGTTTGTGAATACATACAAAAAAATAGGAAAAATAAAAAAATATAAATCATGTGATGCATTTTTCAACCCAATTTTTCAAAGTTGAAAAATGCAAAATAAAACCTCATTGACTTGACATACACACTGATAATCTGCTGAACAATTCTGACACAGTGCTCCAACTTAAATCTGTGGAACATTGTGGAAGTGCTCTAAAGAGGCATGCTTAAACCCCACTGAAATTAATAGCAAGTAAAATTGCCAATATCCAGACAGTTTTATTATCTGGATTGCACCCAAACTTTCCTACCCCCCTTAAAGTAAGATTACTTATTTATTACATCTATATATCACCTTTATCTTCCAAGGAGCTGGAGGTAGTGTATACGGTTTTCCTCCTCCCCATTTCATCCGCACAACAACCCAGTGAGATAGGTTAGACTAAGAGACGATAACTTGCCCAAGGTTACCCAGTGAGCTTCATGACCGAGTAGGGATTTGAACCTTGGTGTCCCAGGTCATAGTCCAACACTCTAACCCAAGCCACCTTCCTTCACTTTTCCCTAATATTGGGGTGGGTATATATGGTTAAGAAATAACATTGTACGTATTCCATGAGAAGGAGTTACCTTTTTCATAGTCTATTGTAATTTCAGTGCCTCATTAAAAAGCACGTAGTTTATAAATCTTAGTTAACATTAACCATAGGTTTAGTATTATGAGCAAACTTGGATTCCCTCCATAACTATGGTTATGGAATATTTACCATGCACAAGCTATAGAGCCGCAAGTGAACAGCAGCTCTTGTGTCTCCTTTAATGGAAATCAAGGTTTAAGTGATCATTTACTAGATGCATCAGCTTTAACTATGGTTTGTTAACCATACTGTCGTTTGTGCAAATCAGGCCAATGGAATTATTCCAGAGTGGTCTTACCTCACAAGCATCTCTAACAGAGGCCATGTTCCTCTCATGCAAATGGGACACTGAAGAACTTCCAGGTAGTACGTTAACATAGAAGGTGATTTCCAAGGAGGATCGTGTTGAAGAAGAGCATACATGATATGAAAGAACTGGACAGGAAGTGCAGGGTCTGAATTTCCCTGTAATCAAACATGAACACATCTCAGTCTATCACTTTGTTCCAATCTTACACCTGTTGTTCCTGCCACTGAAATTAACTAGTTTGAGACAAATAAATGGTGTTTTAAAATACATACCACCTTTCAACAATGTTTCCACACAATATATATTTATCACTAAGCCATCTTTCTTTATTGGATCTGCCATTTAAGCAGCATTATAACCCACTTTTTTCTATCATGGAACTCAAAGTGGTGTATGTAGATTTCTCAGGTAATCTTTTACCTTTAATCCCAAACCATTAAGAATAATTTACAGTTACACAGTATGAATTAAAAGCCCATCAGTTTCAATGTGTTGGTGGGAATGAAGTGCTAGCTCTTTTCTACGTCAAAGACTGGCAGCCTAGAAACCTAGGGATACACCGTAGTGAAGGTCCTTAAATACAAAAGCTGCCTTATACCATTGAGTCCATCTAAGTCAGTACTGTTGCCACTGACTGGCAGCAGCTCTAGGTGTGTCTGCCAGTTCTACCTGGAGATGCCAGGGATTGAACCAGGGATGCTCTGCATGTAAAGCATGTACTTTACCAGTGAGCTACATACATTTCACACAGGGCAATCAGAAATGCTCCAGACTTGCATGCATAAATAGGAAGAAGGGCTGCTGTTTCACTTGAGCCTGACACCCAGAGGTGGGTGGCTTGAGGGCTACCTGACAAATGCTGATTAGTTCTACCTACATGGATATATATGGGATACGGGAGGTGCTGTGGTCTAAACCACTGAGCCTCTTGGGCTTGCCAATCAGAAGGCTTGCAGTTCGAATCCCCGCAACAGGGTGAGCTCCCGTTGCTCTGTCCCAGCTCCTGCCAAACTAGCAGTTTGAAAGCACACCAGTGCAAGTAGATAAATAGGTACCGCTGCGGCGGGAAGGTAAATGGCATTTCCGTGTGCTCTGGTTTCCATCACGGTGTTCCGTTGCGCCAGAAGCGGTTTAGTCATGCTGGTCACATGACCCAGAAAGCTGTCTGTGGACAAACGCCATCTCCCTTGGCCTGAAAGCGAGATGAACACTGCAACCCCATAGTCGCCTTTGACTGGACTTAACTGTCCAGGGGTCCTTTACCTTTACATAGATATGTAGATAAGTGACAGAGTTCAGTGGTACCTTGGGTTACAAACACCTCGGGTTACAAACATTTTGGGTTTGTACTAACTTTGCCCCAGGATGAGAACAGAAATCACACATCGGCAGTGCAGCAGCAGCAGGAGGCCCCATTAGCAAAAGCGCACTTCAGGTTAAGAACGGTTTCGGGTTAAGAACGGACCTCCGGAATGAATTAAGTTAATAACCTAAAGTACCACTGTACACAGCTTTTTCTAACATGGAAACAGGGTATATACATTGTAAACAGGGAAGAATGGCAAGCCAAATCTAGCTGCTGGAATTTGGTTTTGAAGTCAGAACTCAGTGTTCTTGGCCACTAAGTAATCACAGCCAACTCCAAAACTTTCAGTTTCTAGGTCTGAGAGTGGTTTGAAAGGTCATGGCACCCCCATTTGCCCTTCAGTGCCATGGCATGGATGTCAGAATTCACAAGGAAATGGATGCAATTGCCTCCTGCTCCTGCAAGTTCCTTATTCACTGCAATGGAAAGTGCCTCCCCAACACAGTCTGCCAAACTGGCTAGCATTTCGATACTACAGGAAAGATTCATGTAGCAAAATCAGTGTGCATTGTGTGCTAAACACATTAACTGGGATTTTAGTGTGGTAAATACTAAAAACCATAGCATCAAACTAGGGGGAAAACAAATGGGAAAATAAGGTTAAAAATAAAAGCAACTGAAAAAGGAAAAACAACTTATTAACCTCTTTTACACTGACATCATACTTCATATCTGACAATAGTATTTAGTACCTACATAGTCGTATGAGTAAAATCCTTACAACAGCCTTGTAAGGGAGGTCAGTACAGTATTAAGCTAATTTTGAAGAGGAGGTGCTGAAGGCACAAACAGTTGGCTAAGGTAAGGCAAGAGAAACCAGTGACCCGGCCACTCCTTCTTAGCCACTGCAATGTACCAGTTCTCATAAGCTGCCATTCTCACCTGAAGTATGTGCTCTAGAAGAGAGTGAACAAGTTTAGCAGGAGGAATCAGATCTTTTCCAAATAAAAATTCTGAGATTGCAATAGGAAATAAGTGGTCATCTACTAGTTCAAGTATATTGTTGGTTCCTCCAGAACAGCGAGTATTTTTTGCCTAGGGAATGAAAGACCAAGAATTACAAGATTAAGCACTGATCAGATACACATAAACATAAGTTAGGGCCGTTTAAAGAAACTTCTAAGTTTGTTGGTTAATCGATTAAACTGTATTTGCATATGAATTGAGGCAATTCTAAAGCACAAAGAAAGCCTTTATTTTTAGAGAATGCACAAAAGTGTCAAACTAGGTATAGTTTTAGAAGTCACATTTCCTCCAGTGTGGCAGAGAAAGAGAAAACAGTTATCCATAGTTTTTATAAGTAGTATTAAAAATGACTGTTTTTAAACAGTCTGTTGCTTGATTAATTGGGACTCTTCTTTGGTTAATCAATTCTTTAAAAATTGATAAATCCAAGTTGAAACCCTAACACAAAGTCTTTACTTAAATATATATATATATATATATATATATATATATATATATATGGAAAAGAACAGCCAATTTTGTAACAAAAAATAAAATGCAAAGAACAGACTGCCTGCTTGCATCCCCCAACCCCACTAAGCCACTTTGACAGTTGATGGGGCCGTGCCCCCTGTCAATCACCCAACATGTCTGGTGACAATTTTTTCCCTTGTAGTGGGATGAGCTGAGAGATGGTAACTCCAAGCTTGCTTTTAACAGGAATCAGCTGCACAGCCAATCCAGTGGCCTTGAAGTTATTGCTTATTACCATTGACAGGCACTGATAAGCCCACTAGAGTTCGACATGCTCTGTTTTGGGCAGGGGTCAACTGCACTACTAAGTTCCTCCAAAGCATAATCAAGGAGGGCACTTTTAAGGTTCCTGCATCTCTACCTGCCCCACACCTGACATCACATATGATGGGCATGGTTTGGGGGAAATGGCCTGATGGGCCAAACTGGGACCCCTGCCAGGCCTATTAGGCCTGTGAGCTGGAGGTTTTCTACCCCTGGCCAACTGGATTAACCCACTGGGAATAGCAACAATCCTTTCCCAATGTCATACCCCAGGTCTATCCCAGGTATTTCTCTAAATACTTTCCATCCTCGCATCCACCATATTTGCTGTTTAACACAGGATAGTAAGAAATAAAAATGAAAGTACTTTTTTTTAGTTAATCGTTTAATTATGTTGTATTGCAGAACATCTATTATTAAACTTAATTTTCTTAATGGGTGATGTACAGGTGGGTTTCAGGATTGCAATGTCCAAGGAATAAGTTGTTGGGAGGATCAGTGCATGACTCACTGGGGGCTTTCATAAAACAAAATTATAAATCTGGCATATACCTGACATCATTACTCTAGCTCACAGAGCTATCCCAAATCACAACTAGCTGCGTTCCAGATTTATAAATTGCATAACTCCCATCGTAAGCAAGAGGAGCAGCAAGTGCTGAATTACCATAAATTATACATTAAGCACTGGGATATCCCTTTGTGAATTTCAAAAGCTATAAAAGATAGATATGCTGTGCAGATATTTAAGCCTACCTAATTGCCCCATGCTGAGGACTCTGAAATGATCCAAAGGGTTGCTATGTAAAACATTTGTATGTGGCAATTTCTGTGGGCGTAGGATCTTTTAGTGTGAGCTCAGCTAATTCTCTGGATTGCAGACACTATCCAGCACACACAGATACATTTAATTAAGGATGGAATCGCATTCTACATTGGCAGCAAAGCTTGTCATTTGAACACAAGGGCTTGCAATTCTAAAAAGAACAGATTCCCCAGATGGGAATCTGGAGTGCACCCAGTCAATATTTGTAAGCAAGACATGGGGGAAAGGGGTGGAGAGTCCATAGCCATAACCTCCTTCAGGTTTGAATACTCACACATATGTGGGAGTATCAATAGCTGCAATAGAAAGACTGCTTGTTCTGCATGCATGCCAGTGCTTTTTAGGTGTTTTTTTCTATTGCCCTTGAAAGCTGCAGCATTTGAAGTAGAATAAAGAAAACATGCATGAATGTGCTATATATGTGTATGTTGAGCTGTGATAGACACACTATGAAGTCACCATTCGTAACCTTTCCTCTCTCCTTACTTAGCATAATATTTAAAGGTAAAGGCAGCATTTGTTGAAACCCGATCGCTGGCAAGAAACTAAAACTATTCCAGCATCATCTTTTTCTTTCTCTCTCTCTCCCCTCCCAGCCCAGTATCCATATCTTACCACATTTCTGCACTCAGTCATTTGGTCTATTTGAGTATATTTTCTTAGCATTGCCTGTAAATTAAAAGCAAATTATTGATTTAAAATAAGAATGTATGCTTACTCAAAATTTGTCAGTCATAGTGCATGGTAACAATACAAAGGAAACTGTTTGATCCTAAAGCTGTTTACTTGGAAGCTAGTTTCACCAAGTTCCGGGGTGACGACTGAGGTTTACAGTCATAGGTTCATAGGGGATAGTTACTGAGGCATTTTGTGAACATCGTAAGAGGTAGTGGCAGGCCTTATCGGGAATTGCTGCTGAGTAAGCACATGTGGTAAAGAAATGCCATTGGATACACGGAATAAGTTGGGAGGGTCCTTGTTTTAGTCACACAATATATCAACTGAGGTTCAGTATCAGCAGCATTTTGCAGTTCTTAAGAGATTCACTATTCAGACAATGTCCTTTCCAAGATCATTACCAAGCTATGGATAGAGAGTTACAGGTAAAACACAAAAAAGTAATCAAGTAAAATTTGCCAGATGTATACACAAACAGCTGCCTGTGTCCCACAGCACAGAGCCAAACACAGAGAGAGCCAGTGTGGTGCAGTGGTTAAGAGCAGTAATCTCATAATCTGGTGAACCAGGTTCTTCCACATTTATTTATGTGGAGACTTTTTTCTTCAGTTGACCTATGCTATAAAAGTAATAAATGTACATAAGACTAGTTTTTACCTGTTCAGAATATATATGCTTTATAAGTTCATTTTTCATTTCAGCAAGATGCCTGCCAGTCATCACCTGTCTTGACTGTTCGGGTTTAAGATGGTTCTCCTGGTATATTTCAGTATCGCTTTTAATTTCCTTCTGAGTGATAAATGCAGCATATTATTGTCTATTCAAATATAGAGAGGCCATACAGCAACAGAGACAATTAGAGCTAAAACACTATGGGTTGGATCCAGCCTGGTCTTTTGGTGAATGGAATGACTTCTTCCATTTGTTATAGGAATTGAGATCCAGAAGAAGCCTCCCCACAGGAAGAAAGTGCCCAGTGCCCTCTGTCATCCTGTTCCAGGGAATCTCCTGATTTTTCTGAAGCAGCTTTTTAGGGGCTCATTTTCAGGGGTTCCTTCTGCATGTAGTCTGGATCCAACTCAAGCAATTTGGACTTTTCCTAGTGGTGGCTAAGCTGTGGCCCTCCAAATGTTGCTGAACTGCAAGTACCATCATTCCTGGCCATTGGTCCTATTGGTAGAGGATGATGAGACCTGGAGTCCAACAACATCTGAAGGGCCATTAGTTAGCCACCTCTGGCTTAGAGAGTACAGTTCTATTACTGAAACAGTTGTGAATATGTGAAAATATAATTAGAAAGAGAGCTTGTTCAAGCATTCAGTATATGGGCCCCAATCTTCAGGAAGGCACACACAAGGCTTTCAGTAATATGCTGTTAACAGCCACAAGAAGAGGCCCAAGGAAGTGAATGATTTCCATTCCCATCTGGATCCTGAGTTGGATAGGAAGGTGCATTCTGCTCAAGACTTTATGTTAATGGGATTGCAGACATAGACTAAATGCACCAATCATGTTCGACTACCAAGGGCAACTCCAAATCCAATACTGAAAAAAACATGCTTGCAACCCTGTTAGATGTGGGCATTCAGTTAGGTGATCAACATGCATAGTGTACTGATCCAGAGATACGGTCTGAAGTCCTGGCAAACATTGTCACAAGGTCTCCAACTGCAACGTTGCCAGGATTTGCTAGCCTCAAACACACAAAAGCAAATCACGGTCCAACATTTCCTTAATGCTGCTATACTTCAGTGTCTTGTATGCAATCTAAGGAAGATGATGGATACAATAGCATTCTGATAATTTTCACTGTGAAGTATTCATGAGAATTTAAATGCTTCGAAATAAAAATCAGAGTTGAAATATTAATCCAATGATAATTTGGCTTAAATTGGACTCTTAAATTTGCCACAAATCAACAGTTACATTTAAAATAATGTATTTTGATTATGATTCTCATTATATTAAGTGTACTTGCCTCTAAGAGATAAATTTCTAAATAGCCAACTGGACAGTATGGCACACCAATGAGATGCTTCTCTCTTTCTTGATCTAATGCTGGGTTATTAGTTAACACATGAGTAATGTCCTTTGGTGCACTTAATGCTGCATAGACTGTGGCTTTTCCTGCTTCTAGAACTCTGTAGGAATGAAACAATATAAACTTGATGAAAATATAAAATGTAACTCTTATTTTAAAACCTACACAACATACAAAAAAGGAAACATAAATCTACTCTTTAATTCTGTGGTGGGGGTGAGGAAACACATACCTAAAAATGCAGTTTAAAAAATTCCTATCAAAAACATGCATATTTGCTTTGTCATTGCATTAGTTTAAAACTGAACAGATTTCATATAGTCAAAATGCTTGATTCGGTGGTTGTTGTTTTTAAACTGATCAACAGAAATTACTACCGGATTTACATGCGAAGAGCCAACTGTGTGAAAAAGTCCCATGTGAAAACCAGGGGCAGAAATGGGAATGACCATAATAGACAATATTCATTTCCCATTTTTTCTTCTCTCCAAGTAAGTTCATTGTTCTTCAGATGGGCGCAACCTAATAGAAACACCAAACCTAACACACACACACACACACACACACACGGAAATGCAAATACGGCCTAGGAAGCAGAGTGGACATAAGAAGATCCTTTCACACAAAAATTAATTCAGTTAGGATTTATCCACACTTTACAGGCACGGTCAACGCTTTAATGTTCTCCTTTTTTTTGCCCCCGCGAAAACCTGCTCTTTAAAGTTGAATTGGAGCCAACGTCAATCCATGGAAAACCTGAACTGCTTTTTGTTGCTTGGGCACAGAACTTTGAAGCATGGACCTGTGCAGGGCACCTGTGTGGATAAGCCCCAAATCTCTAACGCCAGATTATTGGCTCCTGTGTGTAACCTAGGCCATCTTCACTCTAGTCAGTATGAACACCTGGCCCCATTCTGCAACCATATGATGCAAACTGCAATAGTGCATCCCACTACTTCCTTTTTCTACCTATAGTTTGTTGGGCAGCACAATGAGGCTGCTGCTTCCTCTCCTTCACTGTAGCTAAATGAGGGTGAAAGCACCACATGGACTCCCCCAAAGAGTTTATGTTGGAAAATCAGCACAACACAAATACATGTGGGAAAGGGGCTGCCAATTCTGCTGGAGATTTCTTATATGCCTTTTATCAAATACTTGAGGCTTGCAAGGGCCTACGTCTGTATGATCAATGAGTGATTAGAACTGTACAGTTTACTGGGAAAGGAAACTAATTTTAATTTCATCAAGAAAAAAAGGACACTTCAGGTACAACAGTACAGGTGGATTTGTAACACTGTAATACAAGTACCATCTCCTCCTGTTAAGCCCCCACAATCAACCATGATGGGGAGAGCTATGGGCAGAAAGACAGAGAAGCAAAAGAAAAGTAGTAAAATAACTGCTGAGTTTAGCAGTGAAAACAGTAAATTAAAAATAAATTCTGAAGAATGTACGGTATATTGAAGGTGCACAGGACAGCATACATGCAATTACCTCACTTTATCCTTACAATCCTGAGATCATTTGTCTTAGGTCTCCAACTGAGCTTCTAATAAAGATTTGAACCCAGGTCTCTGTGGACCAAGTCCAATACTTCCCAATGAATCACACTGTTTGGTTTTGGAATTCATTATTATATGTGTTCCAATTACTAAAAACATATTCAAGATCTTTGCAAGACAAAGTTGTAGACTGAAGAAAAGGACCTTTTGTCCACATGGAAGTAACCCTTGTGCAGATTCTTCTACGCAGTCGGTTGTGGTATTGTTATTTAATTTTCTGTGCGGCTGGGTATCCCTTCTAACTCACAGGGGGGAAACCCCCCAAACATCCAAAATGCACTTCACAATTCATAGCAAACAATTTCTCCTACACCAATATTATCTCTATATAAATAAAACATTATCGTTGAAGCGACCCTGTAGCAGAATTGCTGTGGACCAGAGTAAGTGAGAGGGAGGAAAACACCCACAAAACTATTTTCATCTAAATCAAAGTGAAATAACATATTAATTTCTTCAGTTTTAAGAAGTCTTATCCTACCTTCTCAAAGAATCCTCTAGTTTATCACCATTCATAACAAGGAGGACAACTTTCCATCTGTGAAAGGCCCCTGCAGCACCAGAGCGTATCAGCTCTTCGCGCCATCTTTTAGGTGCAGATTGCATTTGAGGTGAATAATGGGAGACTTTTTCGATTTTATATCCCCATTCGTAAGTTGTTTCATCAAGCCATCTGCCACTTTCGGCACTATTAATTATGTAGTCCTTGGTTAGTATCCACTTTCCTGGAAAGCAAATGAACTGTCATCCACAAAAGAATTTTTTTCTGCAGACAAATGGCAATCAAATGAAGATCAAATATAAAAATTAGTAACAACCTCTGTTAGGGCAGAAAAAAAGGGATCTTAATGTAATTTCTTACTACAGTAGCTGACCTTTTCTATAACGTTAATTTTTTTTGGCACATTTTCATTAAAAACAGTGATCCTAATTTTTTGGGTAAGAATTCTTTAGCTTTTTTAAAAAATGTGTCTATTCATTTTGTGAAACTTTGTACTAATTAACATTTCATGCTTATACACTAGTTTCTATGCATAATATATTCTCAAAAATATAATATATTTACTTCCAAGTGTATATGTATAGTATTGCAGCTTTAATCATGCTTTCAAAACACTAAGCATTCTTTTTGGGGTGGGGGTGGGGAAATGCTTTGAAAAATCAACAGATTTTTTTGCAAAGGACTGCAAGCAGGAGAATAAATGCCTGCCCATTCCTACACATGGATTCTTTCTTTAAGAAACCCCCTCTTTTATTCTGCATTAGCATATTTCAGATATATTATTCTATGTTCTGTCAGCATGTGCTCTAAAATAAAAATATAGCTGATAGACACTCATACTTCTGAAACTTTTCATCTTCAAAATGTGAACCATAAATATCACACATCCACCAGCTAACATACTCTGTAAAGTTTAACTACAGCCATGCCCACCCTAATTCTGGAGGCCCTATAACCTCAGTCAAACATTAAATTTTAGAGAGAATTATTTTATACCAGCAGCTTCCACCTCCAAAATTGATTTCTCTTCTATTAGCACATCATGTACTCAACATGCTAGCTTAAATGTGATTTTGATGGTATTGTCCCCTTTCCTCCTTTGCCCAAACCTTATTTTCCCATTCTTTCAGGGTTCAAATCAGTAACAGCAGCACCATACGCTTTACATAAAAACGAACTACAGCATATTTCATAGTGAAGCAGCTAAAACTGTGATCCTAATCAATTTTACAGCCGAGCTGAGCAGATTGTGCCATTGCAAGGCAACGTTTTACCAGATGGTACTTCTATAGGTGCTAGCTTTGCATGCCAGCAGTCATCTGATGGAAAGGGAGGGGGAGGGGAAAGGTACTCTCAGCTTCTTTGTTTAGGAACCATTACCCTGTATTCATATTTCTTGGTGAAAAGGTTCCCCATCACAAAGACATGCTACCTGAAACACTCAGATTTTGTATGAAAAAAATTCAGTCACAAGTTTCCTTTGAGTAGCTTCCACTAGTGTGCATTCGTAACAAGTTTGTAGGGAGTTAACATTCTAGGACAGAAGCGTTTTCTGTATTATTGATGCTGACACAAGAAAAATATATAAATAATAATTGACCTTTATAGTCCAGTGTGCATGGCGCTTTATAAAGAACAGTTATAATAGGTCCCTACCTCAAGGAGTTTACAATCTAAAATAGACAACAGTAAAGCAGGGGAAGAAAGGGAGAAAGAGGCACGGGTACTTTGGTTTATTTACCATAGGGATTAGGTGCTTATCCATAAGCTTTCCAGAAAAGGTTAGTATTGAGGAAAGGCTTAAGGGAAATAAGAGACATGGTTGAATGGAGAAATGCTGAAAGGCAAATTCAGGCATTAGGGCCAGCAACGAAAAAGGTGCAGTCATTTCATGGAGCTTGAGACGCCACAGTTCAAATAAGAGGTCTGGGTTCACACCCACATGAAGAAGAGGTTGAAAGGAGGAGTTTGTGTATCCACAGGTCTCTGAGAGCACGAGTTGCTATTTTTTGTGAAAACTCGTGATTTTAAACTTATTGATACCTTCCATTTTTATCACGTTAGATGTTTTAATTAAAATCCAGTTGGGATCTAGAATAGCAAAAAAAAGGTAAAGGACCCCTGGACGGTTAAGTCCAGTAAAAGGCAAATGGACTTTTCAGGCCGAGGGAGCCGGCATTTGTCCACAGACAGCTTTCTGGGTCATGTGGCCAGCATGACTAAACCGCTTCTGGCGCAACAGAACACCATGACGGAAGCCAGAGTGCACGGAAACGCCGTGTACCTTCCCACCACCTATTTATCTACTTGCACTGGTATGCTTTCAAACTGTTAGGTTGGCAGAAGCTGGGACAGAGCAACAGGAGCTCACCCGTTGTACGGATTCAAACTGCTGACCTTCCAATCAGCAAGCCCAAAAGGCTCAGTGGTTTAGACCACAGCGCCACCTGCATCCCAAATCAGAATAGCCTAACCCAGCCTGATGCCCTCTTAGATGTTTGGGAATGCAATTCCCTGCATGGTCTACCCTCTGCCTTGCGGGACATATGTGGGAGGAAAAAAGGCTAAGGAGTAAACCCTACACAAATCTGGAGTAGAGTCCCTAAGATGATTAGATGGAGTCTTCTATGCCTCCTTCCTATAATTCCTGCAGCTAAGCTGGTGCCAAATGTATTGCCCTGCTTTCCTTTGGACCACATCAGTGAGGTTGAGTGGGGCAGCTCTTAGACAGCCCAGGACCTCCATACACACTGCCAAGGCTTGCACCCCGGAAAGGTCACTTCAGTGCTGATAACGCAGCAAAAACAAATGCAGGAGGCAGCAGTTACAAGTTCCTAGTTACAGCAGATACTCCATTATCTCTCAGGACAGATGGATGCCAACAATTACAAGGTATTTTCAAATTCGTCAAAATCTTTGCCATTAGCAAAAAAATGTGTTAAACGATCAATGAGAATTACCACAACTATGAAAGCTAAAGAGAAGTTATTGTTGGGAAATTTATGGTGATATGTAAGAAATGAAAACCTTGTTAAATAGGTACAATACCCAAAGTGCTCACTAAGAATTAAGTATCTGCATGATTTTTAAGGTCACAGAGATATAAAACACAACCAACTCTAGTTATGTACACACATATGCATAATTTTATTTGTTCGCCACCGATCTACAGTTCAAACCATGATCAAGGCAGCTTACAACATAAAAAAATGCTAAGTACCTGTACAACATAACAAAAGTAGTCATAAACCATAAATAAACCATAAAAAATACACAACTAAACTGAAAAAAATTCTACATAAATCGCAACAAGATCTATAACACAGATACAAAAAACCAACAGCAACAACAGCCCCCAACAATCATACCCCAAGAGTATATATGTGGATGCCAAGAAAATATGTAACAGATTAGAATGGCCTTTTTAAAATCTTATGCATTAAAGTTTTTAAAGTAAGTAATTTGATAAATTGATTGTTTATACTCAGTGCATCTTCAGTAGTTAATGGTTACAATTTTAAAATGTTTAATCTGAGTATAGGTATTATTATTTAACAAACTTGTATACAGTTTACAAGAAAATATTCTTCCAAAAGCACTCTATAGGCTATATATCAAGATGTTACCAATTAAATGTAATTTAAAACCATTAAAAATACCCTAACCATTTTAACACACTATTATTTTAAAATGTTATTAAAGTCAACAATGGCCAACACTAATCTAGCATAATAAACACACTTAAAAGGCCAAAGAATGTTAATCAGTCAAAGACCTGGTTATAGAGAAATGCTTTTACTTGTCACCCAAAGATATGTAATGAAGGTGCCAGGCAAGCCTCCCTGGGGAGAGCATTCCACAAACAGGGAGCCACCACAGAAAAGGCCCATTCTCATGTTGCCATCCTCCAGACCTTTAATGGATGAGTCACACAAAGAAGGGCTTCAGATTATGATCACAGGATCAGCTCATAAGGGAAGTGACAGTCCTTACCGTATTGTGGTCCTGAGCCATTTGAGGCTTCATAGGTAAAAACCAGTACTTTGAATTGGGCTCGGAAACTAACTGGTAACCCATGCAGTCAGGCCAGGATCAGTGTAATATGCTCAATTTATCTTGCCCTATTGAGCAACTTGGCTGCCAAATTCTGCACCAGCTGAAGTTTCCAAACCGTCTGCAAAGGAACAGCACACTATACATACCTGCTGCGCATGCTGCTAAGAACTTTTCACTCTTGCAAGGCCTCTTTGCTATAAGGTGAGTGCAATCTCTGTATTCCTAACAACAAAAAGAACACACAACCATAAACTAAAAATTGCATACACATTTTCAAAAATAATAAGGTAAGAAGTAGAATTTGCTCTTTTACCAGAGTGTAGCATGCACTCAGTTTTACCACTATGAATACCTTATGTTGTAAAGTACAGTCATACCTCAGGTTACAGACGCTTCAGGTTGTGCATTTTCGGGTTGCACACCACGCTGAACCTGGAAGTACCAGAAGGGGTTACGTTCGGGTTTCGGCGCTCGTGCATGCGCAGAAGAGCTAAATCGTGCTTTGCGCTTAAGCGCCGAATCGCAACCTGTGTGTGCACAGACACAGCGCTGCGGGTTGCGAACGTGCCTCCCGCACGGATCACGTTCGCAACCTGAGCGTCCACTGTAATCTAGGTGATAAAAACCCACAAAATATTTAGGCTTATCAATTATCATAATTTACCGTAGTGTTTAAAAAAACACATTTTAGTGTCTGAAGCAGTTTGATTAGGGCCTTCTTTTCTTGGTTCTTAAATCCAGTTAGTTGGATCCTCCGTTTTTGGATGTCACTTTCCATCTGTTAAAAAGAAAAAAGAAAAAATATGTACAACATATATTCTGGCACAATCTGTTAAGATGCAGAGTAGATGCACTTAAATCATCAACTCCAAACTACGGTACTATACAAATCTGCTTGTTATTACTATTAATTTCATTTCTGTAACACTTTATATTTTTAAGGGAAAAAATCTCAAAGGAGTTTACAACCTACATTAAAATATCAGAGAGAAGATCTTCCAGGACACACAGCTTAATGCCTAACTGTATCATTTACAATGTACAGTGGTACCTTGGGTTAAGAACTTAATTCGTTCCGGAGGTCCGTTCTTAACCTGAAGCACCACTTTAGCTAATGGGGCCTCCAGCTGCGGCTGCGCTGCTGCTGCTCGATTTCTGTTCTCATCCTGAAGCAAAGTTCTTAACCTGAGGTACTATTTCTGGGTTAGCGGAGTCTGTAACCTGAAGCGTATGTAACCCGAGGTACAACTGTATATGTAAATGGAATGTTTCTTAGCAGGGGGTATTTGGGGATTGTTGGTCATAAGTATTTTCAGAAAAGGGGGGGAGCGTGCAGAAAGTTAGGCTTGAGACTTCAAGATTCACACACTTTTATTCGAGTATTCTACTTGAGTTATTTGAATTAGTCATGCTATGCAAAACCAATAACCTTTCTAGGATTTCACCGTTCTCTGTAGAGCGAGCAAAGTTAAATATCTGTGCCCCAAGTTTGAGAAACTATGGAACTACCAGCCAATGCACATTTACTACAGTCATCCCCACTGTATTCAGCGGGACTTTGCTTCTGGATAAACAACGCCTAGGAAAAAAAGGCTGAGATTCTGCCACAATAGTGGTTAAGCCACTCGCTCGGGCACGCAACCTTCTTACCTGGAGAGACACGTCCGCAGGAAAGAGAAGCTACAAAAAGAGAACGCACCCGACGGAACATCACTAAGTCAAGCGACTTTGAAATACAGTAGTTCTGGAACCCGCGCAGAGATTCCTACGGAGACTACGCCCGCTACGCTACTCGCGTAACGAGACCCGCCGCCGCGTTCGGAGCGCGGGAAAAAAAGGGGGGGAAGAAATCGCAAGGCAGAAGTACTGAAAGTGGGGGAAGATGGGTGGGCTCTTAGGGAGTTTCCGAAGAATACGCTCCCCACCCCCCACAGATAGATGCAGTTTCAAAAGAAGAGCGCGTCCTACGAGAGCCTCGAGGGCTATGCTGCTGAGCCGAGGAGAGCGCACCGTTGCCAACCGGCTCGAAGAACTCCATCTGCCCGTATGTACAGCCCCGCGCGCCGTTTACCTCAGGCGATTTCCCCTCAGCGTCGCACGGCGCGGGCTCTCAGTACTTGGAGCGTTTCTCCCGCCTTCCTTCCTTCCCGCGTAGGCGCTCCCTCACTCGCTCTCTTTCGCGCGCGGGAAAAGAGCCTGGGCCTCCTCCTCCGTCTTGGTGGCTCCTCCTCCGGATGTCGGAGCCCGGCCATTCCGAGCCGTGGTTACTGACGCTCGTTTGGTCTCCGGGGCTACCAGGCGCCGAAAGAGGGAGCGGGGCCCGGCCTACCTGGTAAGTGACGTCGGAGTTTGTCAGGGCAGCGGGGCGGGAAAGGGGCTCGGCCCTCCTTTCGGCCTCCGAAGCGCCCACCTGCCCGCTGCTGCCACCCTCGCCTTCCGTTCCTGGTTCTCCTCAAACGCCGAAGGGAGATGAAGGAGACGGAGAGACTCACTGACAGATGTGTTGTTGTTGTTTATTATTATATGAGCTTTCTGGCGAATGGGTTTGGGCTTAAAAAGATGCCTCAGGACTGCTTTCTTAGCTGAGGACGGAGGTGGCTGCCCCCCTGAAACTTAGTAGGGCACATTCTGTGCATCTCCTAGTCAAGGTGCCACAGGACTCTTTTTTTCCTACTACTGCTCCTTGGTTAGGTTTTCATCCAAACTAATGTAGTCCCACGCATAGGGGGAGCAGGGGGGCGGTTGCTATGGGCGTAGCCAGGAGGGGGCAGGGGCAGCTGCTCCCCCCAAATCAAGTAAATAAATAAAACTACTTAACTAACTGCCCTCCACCCCAAATAACGCTTTGCCTGCTCTAAAAATAAATTCTGGCTATGCCCATGGCAGTTCCCCCCTCCCCACCATCAACGAAATAAAAATACTTAACTAAAAGAAATTGTAGAAAGTTTGACAGGTTTTTCTGAGCACTTGGTCAAAAGAAAGTAATTTAAAACAGCTTGTTGAAACAATTCATTCTGAATCCGCTAGACAAAAGAGGATGGCAGGTGGGGGGGTCCTGCCCCCCCCATAAATCCTGGCTATGCCCATGGTCCCAGTTTTGTATCCTGTTTAGAAGTTCCTGAGCTTTGCTTTACAGTGGTACCTTTGGTTACAAACTTAAATTGTTCTGGAGGTCCGTTCTTAACCTGAAACCGTTCTTGACCTGAGGTACCAGTTTAGCTAACGGGGCCTCCCGCTGTTGCGGCGACGCAACTTATGTTCTCATCCTGGGGCAAAGTTCTTAACCCGAGGGGCTACTTCCAGGTTAGCGGAGTCTGTAACCCGAGGTGTTTGTAACCCGAGGTACCACTGTACTATTTTCCTCCTCTTCCCCACATTGTTCTTCAATATTAACTCAGGTAGCAGGCTTATGTCCTTGGGAGCAAGACCCATTTTATTCAGTGGGACTTACTTCTGAGTAGAGAAGCACAGGGTTGCGCTGTCAAACTCTGTTGAACTAAATGCATAACGTGATGTGCAGCAAGAGATACTTCAGTTTGGGGGAAAATGGATAGTTCTAGATGGCAAATACCTTCAGTCTGAAAAACTTTTACAGTGTTGCCCTCTCTGCCACTTTTGTGTTCTGCTCCCTCACTGAAGCACTTGCTATATGTGCATGTACATGTGTGAGCACTTAAATATGGACTAAAGATGGAGTGGAATTCTTCTGAATAAAATAAGACCTCATGAGTAACTGTAGTAGACCAGTGTATACTGTTATGAGGTTGGGGGCGGGGTCAGTCTGGATGATATCCTGGGTCCTTTTCCTGTATCTGTGAGGGTAGAATGTATGAGGATGCTTGCCAAACCAGTTTGTTTTTCAATGTAAGTTTGACTGGCTACTTAAGTACCATGATTTAGCATATCCAAAGAAGTTGCTCTGTGTCACAGAACTAGATGGGTGGGCCTTTTCCCACCCCTCTCATCTTCCAAGTAGGTAGAAGAACAAGAGTCAGAGTTGCTGTGTGAGTGAGCAGGAAACTTTAAGATGGAGAGACATGCCTTCCTTTATGCTGGACTTTGGGGCTCCCCTGGAAACCTAAAGGGGAAGCAAGATCTATGTGAATGTTGCTGTTGCAAGTCTCTCCATCCTATGTTCACACTTTACATAGTTGTAAATAAAACCATATACTGTATCCTAAAGACTCCACGGTCTCTTCTAACCATCATTCCAAGGAAACTGAACTTGGGTGAGTGCATGACCCCTTGGAGTTTTTGTGGTCTCTCACTGCTTGGAGATTGCAATGGTGTGTAAACAATATGTTCTACATGGCAAAAAAGGCGTTTTACCTTAAAACACAGTTGGTTTTTTTATTATTATTATTTCATAAAATTTATAAACCACTTGATTGTAAGCAACAAAACTCAAAGCAGTTTATAAGAAAGATAAAACAATAAAATCATCAATAAGAAAAAATAACTACAATTTAAAACTTTCAAAAAGTTGAAATAATAGACTGGAAACAGATTAAAACTTGCATCAACTTACTAAACAACTAACTAGTAGGCTTGTCTAAATAAAAATGATTTTACCAGGCATCAAAAGGAACACATAGGGTCCCTGCTTGATATCACTAGGCAGGGAGTTCTAAAGTTTTGTTGATGCCACGATAAAAGATCAGGTTCTTGCAGATGTAGAACAGATATTATGTAGCACCTTTACCACCTGTTCTGATGATCGAAGCAGCTGAGTAGGTTAACTGGCCCCAAGTTGTTAAGGGCTTTAAATAATAATAGTAACACCCTGAACTTGGCCAGGTAGCAAATCAGCAACCAGCGCAGATCTTTGATCAACCAGCAAGGCCTCACTTTTGTCAGCTATCATGCTGCAGCATTCTGCACTAACTGCAGCCTCTGGATCAAGCGCAAGGGAAGCACCACATAAGAGTGCATTGCAGTAATCCAGTCTTGAAGTAACCAATGCATGAAATACTGTGGCCAGGCCTTCCTGGTACAGCAGTGGCCATAGCTGTCAAAACAATTGCAGCTAGTAAAAGGCAATTCTAGCCACTGAGGCTACCTGAGCCTCCAGTGATAGAGCTGCATCCAGAAACACCCTAAACTGCAAACGTGTTTCTTCAGGGAGTGCAACGCCATCCAGGATGGGCAGTTGACCAATTTCTTGGACAAGGGAACTAGTTACCTACATTGTCTCCATCTTGCCAGGATTCAAGCTCAGCATGTTTTACCTCATCCATCTCACCACTGCATGCAAGTAATGGTCCTGGGACTGCACAGCCTCTCCTGATTGTGATGTTATGGAGAAATAGAGTCAAGTGTTATCAGTATACTGATGGCACCTGGCCCCAAAACTCCCAGTGACCACTCCCAGCGACTTCATGTAGATATTAAATAGCACTGGAGGAGATAGTGTTCTGCAGCATCCCATAACATAGCCTGCCAGACTTTTTTTTCTAAAGTGTTCTCTTTTCTCGTTATAGTACTATAGCTATATATTTCAAATCCCCACTCCTTTTGTCTTTCCCTACATCATACATCTCTCTATAGAACCATTCCTTTTTTTCTTCCTATACCTCATAGAACATCCCCCACTCCGCATTGTCCCTCAGCAATCCCTTATCTCTACTTTTCCTTCTGTACTTAAGTGATATAAATCCAAGATAAAACTTAAGATACCTTGTGGGTATACCTTTTGGGCTAGGAACCTTTGCTACCTACTAGAACACAATTAAGCACCATCTAGCATGAAGTAAAAGAGCAGATTATCATAAGCAAAACTATTTTCTTCTTTTTTTATTAAAATGTTGCATGAACTATAATGTCAGCATATTATTGAAAATTAGTCTTCTTTAGTACTTAGGTGAAAAATAAAATATGTCCTAAATTCCTGACCGCCTGAGAATGTTACTCTAATACCTTACTCCTTATCACAAGGCAATGCTTTATACTTGTAATCTTGTACTCTCTTTTGACCTACTTACTGTTCTAATCCCTTTCGTTGAAAAGTAATTAACTAAAATAGCTTTACAATGTTCTTATATATGATTTTGTAGCATCCCTGTTGATACATTAATACAGTGAGCTTTCTATGTTAAGTGCTTTCTAATATTTATCCTCTTCAGCCCCACAGTATCCCTGCAAGAGAGGCTATTAATATTAAATGATAGTAACTTGTCCAATCCCACCATATGAATTGTGGCTTTGCTGCAATAGTGTACTGTTCTTATAAAATTTCCTATTGCTAATCAGTTAATTGGATGCTTACAATAAGGTTGATAATAATAGTATTTAGTCTTTGTATCCTTAAAATTGTTCCAGGTATTATGACCCAAAATAAGTATCAGTCTTATTTACAGCTTTGTTTCAGTTCATTCAGTCCAACACCAGTCAGACCTTCCAATAGGATCACACTAGGCACTGTATAATAATAGAAAATTATAGGCCCTCGTCTATGGCTTACAGTCTATGAAGATACTGTTTCAGTTAGCGTAATAGGAGGAATTCTGGATTGTTTTACTTAGAACAAGTATGCTCAAAGTATTGGGGTATGTGGTCTACATAGAATATGCTCATAGAAGTATGTGCTTGCTCCTCACTTGCATGGCACATGCACATACATGTCAATTTAAAATAACAGAGCCATCTAAACCCCTGTGTTGGAGAGAATTTGGTGGCTCTGCCTGGATCCATTGTGCTCCACCAGCAGGGGATTTGTGCCACTATAAAGGTTTCCTTTGTGTGTGCCAAAAATGCTATCAGGGTGTTTATGAGATGAGGAAGAAGTGGAACTGAGCTGTCCAAGGAGCCAGTGGATCCTAAGGTGGTTCACCTACCGACAGTGGGCTCAATCAGGGCTTCTCTGTTGTGCCAGCAAAACCTGGGATGAAACTGTTCACCTTCCATCATGAGCTCTGTTCCACCCAGCCACTACCAGATGGGAGATATGATTGGTCCCTAAGTCCCTTTAAGTTCAATAGGGCTTATTCCAGTTTGAATATGATTTCAGTCTTATTAGTGGCCTTCTATAGTTCCTTCTCTACTTCAGACAGTGTAAAGGCAGAACTACATGTTATATGCTTTTTCACGTAATCTCTCTTGTTTTTTCAGCTTTTTAAATGCCAAATAGCCATTTGAAGGGAAGATAAGTACAGGAGAAGTGGGGTTTCTTAATGTTGCAACCTGCTCTGGAATGCCTTTTTATTAATGAAATCAAGCTATATATTTTAAACAAATAACTAAAACTTTTTATTTTTGCTCAATTTTCTCATGGAAATTTTGCCTTCTCAAGTGCTTTTACCTTGCATGAAAAATATATGTGGATGGTCTGTGATTCTACTTTGTTATTTGGTACAGGAGATCAGTTGGATGGCTACCTGGTACTCCGCTAGGGTATGTGATGAATGCGGTTAAGTTACACAGCATTGATCCATTTTTTCCATCTCTTTTCATCTGGTCTGGCTCTATGCCTAGGAAGACTGAGCTATGCCAGTTCATTTGTTGTTTGAGTTTTGTTTGCTGTAGTTATATTTGATGAGGCTCAGCTGTGTAGTTGGGAATACTCAGTATGGCAAATTGTAAGAACCATATTGCAGAGGACAAGTAATTGATGTATTCACTATTTTACATCCTGAGTTTCCAAAAGGTTGTGTAACAGTTCTCCTCATTTTATTCTCAGAATCCTTTCTTATAGGTTAGGCAGAGAGCTAGTACAGTGGTACCTTGGGTTAAGAACTTAATTCGTTCTGGAGGTCCGTTCTTAACCTGAAACTGTTCTTAACCTGGGGTACCACTTTAGCTAATGGGGCCTCCCGCTGCCACCGCCATGCGATTTCTGTTCTCATCCTGAAGCAAAGTTCTTAACCTGAGGTACTATTTCTGAGTTAGCGGAGTCTGTATCCTGAAGCGTCTGTAACCTGAAGTGTCTGTAACCCGAGGTACCACTGTACTTGGTCCCAGGTTACCCAGTAGGCTTCATGGCTGAGTGGGGATTTGCTGGGTCTGCCCAGTCCTAGTCAGACACTGTAACTACTAGACCATGCTGGTGTTCCTAGTATAGTAATACTGACCATAGTTATGGGGTGCTCTTACATTGATCACTGATATTGGAGACTCAAGTAACCTTTGTAGTGAGGAGTTCCCTCTACCCAATCCAGCTGGTATGCCAACTACACCTGATCCTGGGCAAAGATAACTTCATCACTGTGACCCATACATTAGAAACCTCAAGACTAGAGAATTGTAATACAGTGGTGCCTCGCAAGACGAAATTAATCCGTTCCGCGAGAGTCTTCGTCTAGCGGTTTTTTCGTCTTGCGAAGCAACCCTATTAGCGGCTTAACGGATTAGCGCTATTAGCGGTTTAGCGGCTATTAAAGGCTTAAAGGCTTAGCGGATTAGCTGCTAAAAGGCTATTAAAGGCTATTAAAGGCTTAGCAGATTAGATAAAGGGGGGGGAAAGCGAAAAAAAAATCTCAAGACTTGCAAGACATTTTCGTCTTGCAAAGCAAGCCCATAGGGAAATTCGTCCTGCGAAGCAACTCAAAAACGGAAAACCCTTTCGTCTAGCGGGTTTTCCGTCTTGCGAGGCATTCGTCTTGCGGGGCACCACTGTATACTCTATTTGGGACTACCCTTAAGGTTGGTTTCGAAGCTGTAGCTATTGTAAAATGCAGCCAGTAGGGGCACCCTCTCATGTAACATTGTACTGCTCTTACAGGAGTTATACCAGTTGCCGGTAAAGTTTTTGCATTTACATATAACAACTTGGGACTAGGATAGCCAAAGTAATGCCTTTCTTCCTGTTACCCTACAGCAGGCATGAGGAAGTTTATGGCTTCACAGACCAGATTGGTCTTGTTGGCCAAATTTGACATGTGGGGTCCGCTCCCACTGTCAATTAGTTGAAATCACAATGATCTGGCACTTGGAAGCTCCAAAGTTGAGACTGCAAAGCATCTCACAGGCAGCAAGTCACTACTAAAATGAAGCGGGGAAGCATGGGTTTGTCAGGGGCTTCAATGCAAACCCATTGGAGTGATGTCAGGTGATAGGTGGTATGGTTTTGAGAAACTGGCCTCATGGACCAAATTGGAACACCTGGCAGGCCAATATTGATTCTCCACCACTGCATCGGATAACATGACAATCAGGTGGTGAGGCCCTTCTAGTTGTACTGCAACCTCTGTAAATACAATAAACAGCCACTAGAGGAAGGACCTTTTTCTGTGATGGTAACAGCAATCAAAACTCTTGAGGAATTAAATTCAGTAGTTTCACTTTGCGATCTCTGTTTTGAAGTTCAAGTATGGCCACTTTAAGGTCAGTTAATGAGATTTTTGCCCATTGGTCCTTTCATGTAGAGACTGGGTGGTTTGTACTATGTAGAATGTAAAAGGACATTGTTGGCAAATCACGTATATCACATTGGAAGATGATCAGATAAATGAATGTGGATGACATTATTAGGTCCTGTAATATGGTAATTTATCCAGAGTAGACAAATCCAGCATAGTCCAATAGTGAGGGGACTTCAAGCATCTGTTGAAGTGGACTATAGTCCTTGAGCATAGTCTTTAAGATGCCACAAGATGCTTTGTTGATTTTGCTGCAACAGACAAATATGGCCACTTCTTTGGAAATTGTTTAAAATGTTTGCTTCTGCTTAAAGAAAGTAGCTTATTTGACTTCCAACTTCTCTAAACAAGTCTGATGCACAAGATTCATACTCTGAAAGGTAAATAGTGACAAGTTCAGTCAAAAGGAAAAGAGTAATAATTTATAAGGGAACTGTAGATAATGATGCCAGCCAGTCGTTTTAAAGTGCATCTATCTCACCTTTAATGAATTAGATTTGTCAACAATGTATGTTTTATGCACTACTTCTAATGAAATGGCATGCCAGTAACGCGGTGTACTTTGAGGTTTCCTCTATCAAAGCTTTTTGCTGTCTTAAAATAGACCTTTTAAATAATAGATACTAAAAACTACATTTAAATAACATTAAGGTTGTGACACAGACACCAAATGACAAACTTCAGGCAATTCAAAGTCTGACATCTTGTCATTAACTCATATTGTTGTTTTTTAAAAAGAATAAGCACAATAGCATGATTTAAGGTTGACTGTCAGCTTAACTTTATATATCTTGGCTTTTGTTATTGGTGTCACAACCTTAATGTCATTTTCACTTAGGCTTTCACATTTCTTTTGCTAAATTCTTAAAGGAAAAAAAACTGAATGGCACATCTAAAACACATAAATAGCTTCTTCAATAGCTTATTCTGAGCCTCAAACTAAAAATCTAGAAACTCTATTTTAGGGTGGGGTGCTTCCAGCTAAATTGCCAATGCTTTGTTTGTGTGTCTGCCCCTACCAAGCACAGAAACAGATTCCTATATTTAATTTCCTTCTATTCAAGGCAATTAAGATTTTAAATGTTCATTATTTTAAATATAAGCCCCATTATATAATAACACAACACATGCATAAGTGCTTAACATTTGTTATTTGACACATTTTATTTGCCAACCAATTGCACTTGCAATTCTTTTGCATTTGTTTTATGGAAATGTTGTTTATTTAAACTGTATTTGATTAAAATATTTCTGTCTTACCATTCTGCTTTCCCAAAAGCACTCAAGTCAGCTAATGGGATAAAACTCAAAAGATACCTAAAGTACAAAAATCAAACAAATCTATCCATCTATCTATGAATGAAACGTTTAGCAAGATCACAAAACCAAAAATCAGAAAAGCAGGCAAAATGATGAAAAACCACTGCAGCTTCAGAATCAGGATCATTCTAAAAAGCCTACCTCAAATGCCTTCCAAAATAAGAACATTTTAATGGATCACCAGAAGGCAAGGGGCAGTTTTGCCAAACAAGATCCTTGAGTTATTTGGCCTGGGTATAATGTCCCATGACTCGGCTTCCTCACCTCAAATAGTGAGGGGACTCAAATCATGGCCTCCTCTGAACAGAACAGAAGATTCATTTAAGAGGAGGCAATCCTTGAGATATCTAGGTCTCGGGCTAATAAAAGCTTTGGAAATGAAATATTTTCAGTATCTGGGTGTATTTAAATCTGGCTTCAGACCTGGTTTTGTTACTGAAGCATTCTTGGTTACCCTGATGGATAACCCCTACTGGGAGAAGGATGGGTGGAGTGTGGCCCTGTTAATTCTGGATTTCTTTGTGGCTTTCAGTTCCATTTACTATAGAATCTGGATAGGCTGGCTGGGGGGTTGTTATGCTATACCTCTGTGGTTCTGGTCCTGCCTGGTGGACCAACTCCAGAAGGTGGGATTTGTGTTTTGGAGGTCACTCAGGGTTCAGTATTGTCTCTCATGCTGCTCATAATGTACAGGAAATTTTGGATGTGGCTATCGAAAGACTAAAGTAGCAGCAGTACACAAATGACACCAGCATTCAGTTCTTCTTTTATTCATCTGAGTGCTGGTAGATCCAGATTTGAAATGAGAGGTTGTGGCAGCCATGGCATGCGGCATCTTTCACTTGCCAAGGCAGTTATTGTTGGGATACTGCCAGGGAGACAAAAGCCATCATGCCCCCACGCCGATGCCGGACGATCCATCGATCTCCCGTAGATACGCAGTATCAGTCAATTAGCGACACGAGCCTCAGAAATAACATGCCACATTCCAAGGCTGGTGTACGCCCTTTCAGCAGAGTTCGCACAACGAAAGGTGCACTCAGGAGAGCATTATTTACAACTTTATTCAGCGTTGATCAGAACAAAGAAAAAACATGACTGCCTGCTTGCGTGTCCAGACGCAGAGAGAGAACGAAAGCAATAAACAAAAAAAAACTTCCTGTGAACAGGAAATACGCAGGCTGTGACACAACAACCTGCTCCCTTTTTAAGGTGGAACGGAAATATCCTAACAGTTATAACCACCCCTGGACAGAGGGTGCCTGGCCATGGTTATCCCTGCTCTGGTTAACTTCCAGGTTAGACTACTACTTCAGTGTCTGGGTTACATGAAAATTTCAGTTAGTCCCAAATACAGCTTTTGTAGTTGACTTGAAGTAAGTTAAACGGTGGAGCTCCTTGCCCCGAGAAAATCACAATGGCAAATAATTTTGAAATTTCCAAAATGGATTAGATATCAATACAAAATGATGCTGGTAATTACTAACTAATTATGCCAAACTCTGCCTTTACCTGCCACTATTTTGTCATTGGATTCACCCCTGTACCTTTTGACTGAGGCTCATCGGTTTTGTGACTGTTGGGCTCATATTTTTCCACCTTCTGAAGTGGGAGGAAATGAGAACCCCTGTTGCAGAGAATTGCTCTTAGAAAGTTTGGATATGCTTTCTGAAAATAACTTTATGTACTAAGTCTCTGTAGGAATATTGTTTGTTACATGGTGTGACACTGGAAAGTAATATAAATCAGATTCTTAGGTTGTCTTCCATTCAGATACAGCAGCCTTCTGGCCAGTTTTGTGATCTCATTAGTTGCTTAGCAAATTAAGTGGTGAAGAAAAACTTTAACAAATAGCAGAACTAGAAATGTTGGAAATAGTTGTGTTGTCCTAAAAAATAAAATAAAGAATTTTCACTCCCTTGAAGGCAGTGGTGTTGTACATCCTCCATGAGCAAGGGGAGACCCACAATCATATCTGCATGCATGGTGTGAGCCAAAACATTGTTTTGTTTTGTACTCTAGATTTTGTGATTGAGCTGTGGCGGCTGGCATCATGTGTGGCTAGTATTACTTGGTGGTAAAGGACTTGAAAGCATATGCTGTAGCTCATGGGTAGGCAAACTAAGGCCTGGGGGCCGAATCTGGCCCAATCGCCTTCTAAATCCGACCCACAGACAGTCCAGGAATCAGTGTGTTTTTACATGAGTAGAATGTGTGCTTTTATTTAAAATGCATCTCTGGGTTATTTGTGGGGCATAGGAATTAATTCATCCCCCCCCCAAAAAAAATGTAGTCCAGCCCCCCGCAAGGTCTGAGGGACAGTGGACCGTCCCCCTGCTCAAAATGTTTGCTGACCTCTGCTGTAGCTGTACACAGAGAGAGCATTTTCTGTAAGCTCTACCCTCATGTGGCTGGGACTCTGCTTCTTTGCACCCCAGGTTGCAACCAGATACCAGAACTTTGTTTTTCAAGAGTTAGTAATACTGTGAATTTCAATTAGAGAACAATTCAGTTCACACAAATAATCTCTTCCATTCTGCCTCTCCATATTATTCATTTGCTAGCAATGATGTGTGTCATTTGGGGAGGGGGCACAGTGCTATCACATCATCCCTCAGCACTATTGGTGAGGCAGGTATTAGGATTGAGCAAAGTAGAGAGTTCGTAAAATATTTTATGGTTTCTCTCCTGAAAACGTAAGTTTCTGAAATTATTTCTGATCTTCCCCTTTTTATAAGTTTTTATATATGATGTTTCTTTCATTCTGTAGTTTTTTTTTCTGTGCAACTCATTTTATTTGGTCTTACTTTTTAAAATACAGTCCCAGTTGTTTACCTACTAATCCCATGAATCTACATTAAACAAGCAGTTTATATCAAACTCCTGGCAGCCTTGGTTTAAAATTAAAATACATGATTTACTGTTGAAGTTGTCAAGACTGGAAATAATATTTGTCCAGCTGGACAGCTTTCTTTTGTACTTACTAAATGAAAGTTGAGATTCTGTCTCCTTCATGAAAGCTTCTGTGTCAAGAAGGTAATTTGGACAGTTTGTGCCTTGACAAGGATTATTAAAATCAGATGGAGTGAAGGGAAGTGAGTGTGAGAGAGCAAAATTGACACTGACACTCTCTATTATTTGTGGCTAAGATCATGATGCCTGAGTTGATAGATTTTAAATGTTAGATTTATTCAGACACATTAAGCAGTGAACACAGTACAACTGAATTACAGTTGGGTTCTCAAACACTAGGAGATGTACTCTTTGCTTTAAAAAGTCAATTTCAGTAGTTGTGAGTTGATATAAACCCATAGTCCATGTTCCTTCTCTATAACATAACTAGTAGCAGAAATGTCAAAGGAAGTGAAACTGATGATTACATAGGGAAGGAAATTATGATAGTTTATTTTTCTGCTTATGTATTCTGTGAGGAATTTGGAATACAAAAATTCATGAATCTGAATATTATGATATAGTGTTCAATGGTAAAGGACCAAAGAAGAAATATGAGACAGAAACTAAAGAGGCCTCTGAATGCATGCAGCTGCTTATGCATGTGCACTGGTATTCTATGGATTCTCTGTTGTAGCTGTAGCTCCCTGTGCTGCATCACAGGCTGCCCCAGAGTCTACCAAGTTTTTCTGTAGCAGTTTTTGCTGGAGGAGATACAAAGGTCTATGGCAGGAAGTGGGGAGGAATGGCTCAGGAGTTCTGAAGTGCATGCAGAAACTTTGGGCCATTTTCACTGCTGCAGCTCTATTGGCTCAAAGAACTTGTATGTGTGTATGTCTTCCTTTTCCTCTCTTGTACCCTCCAGCGCCACACACTCTCAAAATCAGCTTCAGAGGTATGGGAGACTCTCTGTAGCAGATTCTGGGAGCACAGGGGAGAGAAGGAAACAGAAGTCATATTGCATCAGCAGAATCCTGCTGGCCCAGCACTGAATGGCACCCTTCATCTCTTCAAATTATTCAAATTATTCCCATGCAGAAGAAGGAAGTTTTAAAATCAAGCTGCTTACTTTGTATGATTTTAAGGAATTGTTCATAAATATGAATAAAATGTAAATATGATACTTTATGATTATAATGTACAAAGTAGTTAATTGTTTCATTATTCATTGACAAAGTTACAGGAGGGTGCCATTTGAGGCAACAATGGCTTGATAACGATAAAGAATTGTCTTACCCCATATGTTCCCACTCAGCTGCCTCAATCTGTGGATGGCCGCTTACATGTGCCACATAGTTGTCTGAGACATGGGCTCATACAATAATAGGAGGAGTGCAAGGATCTCTTCTTCAACCTTGCTTTCTGTTTGGTTTCAGAGATGTTAATAAAGAATGATTTCAACACTGAAAACTTAGTGCAGCAGAATATAACATAAGGGGACACTTTTTCTAAAAAATACAGTGGTACCTCTGGTTACGTACTTAATTCGTTCCAGAGGTCCGTTCTTAACCTGAAACTGTTCTTAACCTGAAGCACCACTTTAGCTAATGAGGCCTCCCGCTGCTGCCGCACCACCGTCACCCGAGGTATTATTTCTGGGTTAGTGGAGTCTGTAACCTGAAGCATTTGTAACCTGAAGCGTATGTAACCCAAGGTACCACTGTACAATTTCAGATATAATATCAGGGATTAGTTGATAGATGACAGAGCTTCATACTGTGGTCAGGAATTGGCAGCCATAGTTTAGTATGATCATACTTGCCAGTAAAGTGGTATGTTGAAGACATTATTAATAAATCTGGCTAGACAAACAGTAGCTTTTAAAATAGTTGAAGGTGATATGATAGATAACATTGCCTTTGGTGCATATGCTCAAGTATATTGTCTCATTGTTTCTAATAAAACAGATTTTGAAGCATTCCAGAAATCTACAAAATGTGAGTGTACTGTTGGCAGTGATGCCTCTACCATACCACTGGTCAACACTCTGAGAATGCTGTCATCTCCAGCCTAAAATAACAACTTTTAAAGATCCTCAGAGTTTTAATGGGCATGCTAATTTGGTACCTATTGTTCTATGTTCACTGCACTTCACTGAATTATAACCTGCCAAGCCTTTCTTTTAACATTCCTGGGATTGTGGACAAAGCCATAATACCTTATTTTGATTCAGTTTCTTATATCCAGTCACAGAGCTGTCCTGTGCTTAAAAAAGAGCAGATAGTTTTACAAATCTGCATCTATCCTAATTTAGCCTCCTTTGTTACTTCTTGCCACTTCTTATCTCTTGCCATTTTTAAAATATTGGAAGCTGACGTGAACCTGCAGATGGCAACAGGGTGTAAATGTAAATTGATACATCTTATTAGGTCTCCTTTGGATGATTGTGCCAGAGCATGAGCTGATTCTGACGTTACTTTTTGTACTTTGCTTCCTGTTGCTAAATATAAAATAAATGCTTGTCCCACCAAGTACCGTATTTTTCGCCCCATAGGACGCACTTTTCCCCCTCCGAAAATGAAGGGGAAACGTGTGTGTGTCCTATGGGGCGAATGCAGGCTTTCGCTGAAGCCTGGAGAGCGAGAGGGGTCGGTGTGCACCGACCCCTCTCGCTCTCCAGGCTTCACGCAGCTCTCCGCAAGGCGCGGGAGCCTGGCGCTGGGCTCCCGCGGCTTGCGGAGAGTTGCCTGCATGCCGAAGGCTGGGCGCGCTGAGCTCAGCACGCCCAGGCTTCGCGCAGCTCTCCGCAAGGCGCGGGAGCCCGGCGCCAGGCTCCCACGGCTTGCGGAGAGTTGCCTGTTCTGGGGGCTGGGGTCGGGGGAAGCTTGGGCTTCCCCCGCCCCAGCCCCGCACCTGGGGGGGGGAATTATTTCCCCCCTTTATTTCCCCCCCCAAAACACTAGGTGCGCCTTATGGGACGGTGCGTCCTATAGGGCGAAAAATACAGTATGAACTTTTAGAATTGAATATATATCCCTACTTTTAAAAAAGTTTTGAAACAGTGACCTGAATCTTTCCCTTAGATTTGTACCTTGCTTGAAAAAAAAACATTTAAATGGATGAATGCAGATTCTGGGGAATATGTTGGCTAATATTTACTGATTACTTTATTAAAATGACACGCTCTGAAATTCTGTTTTAATTCCCATAATAAACCAAGGAAATTGCATGAACCTAACATTGGCAAATACAATGTTTGTATTTTCACAATAGATTGTAATTCGTATTGTAGAAAACACACAAATGGGATGTTTTCTTTTTCTTATAATCAGCAAAAAGTGTACCAAAGCATGAGCATTTTGCAGAAGCAATACGGTATTGTTAAATTCAAACATTTGAAAACAGTTTTGTAGCCTATGTTAAATATGAATTATTTTTGGTGGCTAATTATTTAATATGAATTTTTATGTGTTCTGTTTTCTGTAGAGAATAGTATCTGAACACTGATGTGACACCTATGCCCTCTGGTGAGTCGTTGTGGAGGACACAGATGCGTCTCCAGCCTTTAGCCACCCTTTTGCCTTGGTTCTGCCCATCGGGTGAGTTGTACTCTTGTTATGGAGGCCCTCCATTCCAGAGTGACCTACATGAGATCAGTAACAAAAAATACAGTCCCTGCTCTCTGTTACCAGATCAGCTTGTGTGCTAGTACACACACGTGTGAATTTATATCTTAGGTATGTATGCAGACAAAAGGTTATTTGGGGGAATTAGCTATACTGACCTTTGTATCTTTACAGAATATGAATGTGTGCTACAGACAGGATTGCATTGACTAGTTTGCCTTGGGGAATTTTGCAATAATTAGTAAGAAACCAATATTAGTGTGCTGGCTTTTGAGAGCTCGCCGTAAGCACACCAGGGAGCCTGAGGTAGCTGGTTTCTCTGCATAGTCAGGGGTCAGCGAACCTTTTCAGCAGGGGGCCGGTCCACTGTCCCTCAGACCTTGTGGGAGGTCAGACTATATTTTTTTGGGGGGGAAATGAATGAATTCCTGTGCCCCACAAATAACTCAGAGGTGCATTTTAAATAAAAGGACATATTTTACTCATGTAAAAACGCACTGATTCCCGGACCGTCTGCAAGCCAGATTTAGAAGGCGATTGGGCCAGATCTGGCCCCCGGGCCTTAATTTGCCTACCCATGGCATAGATGATGGATTCCCCATCTCTGCTGCATTTTGACTGTTGAGGGAGGAGCTCACTATACATGGTCTTGTATATCCCAGTATGCTTCATTTCTCTTATCATTTAGCATTTCTGCAATCAAATTTTCAAATATATTTAATCTTACTATTTATCTTCTATTTTTATTATCTAATTTAGTATTTGGAAATGGAGTGGGGAGGTGAATATTCTCTTGATTCTTCCAACTTGGATTGTTTGTTAAACATACTTCCTGGAGATTTGGAGTTTCAGCAGATACTTGGTGACATTGATGAGAAAATAAAGAAAAATGCTTCTAGGTAAGCTGTGTGGTATTGGGGCAGAAGTCAACTTCAGTTGCATTTATGCTGATTGCTACTGCTTTTGTTAGGTAGTTTTCTGCAACCTGATTTTAAAAATTCCATCAGTTACTTATATACTTATCCTTATTTCATTCTAAAAATGAAACATGTACTTCCCTGGATCAAGAAACTAGTACCAGAGTCAGACCTGATAAAAGAATACATTGAGAGAGTATACATTGTATTGCTACCAAGACATTCAGGTGAGGGAAACTCCTTCAATATAATTGTTCCTCCCCTCACTATTGGTTAAAGGATATAGTGCTGAAAGCCCCGTGGAATGCATGGTTCATTAAATTCAAAAACATTTCAGTGCTATTTGGCAAGAATTCAGCCTTGAGACTGCTATGCACCATATTAAGTCAGAAATTATTTTGCTAAATGAGTTAGAAGATTTTGTGAATATACTTATTGAAATTTGGAGTTCTGTGGCTGGCCTATTAATAAACTGGAACTGAACTGATATATATTTTGCTATAATGAAGCATTGTGGTTTTTATGAAAGTGATGGCTCTGTGCCTAATCCTAATCCTTCTATCAATGTTAGGACAAATTATTGGAAACATTTTGTTCTGTAAAGGGTTGTAGTGGCTTGTAATAATTGGTTATCACATATCAGGTAGATTAGTCTCAAACCTTATTTTTAATGGAACCAGGTTTAGGTAACAAACAATAGTTGAGCCTTTACAGTTCACAAAGCTATAATTCATTAACTTTGATTAAGTGAGACACATTAGATACTACAATAGAAGTCTTTGACAAAATGTCCCAGAAACCAAAGTCTATGACTAGTGCATTGAGTTTCAGATTCCTAAGACAGGCTTAAATAAGTTACGAAGATACATCCTGGTTTTTTATCACATTTAGAACTAGTGTTGGAATGGTATATTATATCTGGAAGTTGAGTGTGGACCATAGGGTATTATTTTCCATAGTAGTCCTTGAATTCATGAAAAGGTTCTTTGATAAAGATAAGATATTTGTTTCAGGGGCACCATTTCGAACCCATTCTTTCTCTAAGGTTTCTTGAAAAGGCCTTTGAATGTGCTTGATAGGCCACCCATACTTGATTACTTTTTAAAGACGCTTTCATATATTACAGTCATTAGTATGGTTTCAGAGGATGATCCAATAGGGGAAAATTGCATCTTTATCAGGTTAGATAGCATCTGCAATGTTTAGATATTTTTGAACTTTGTTTAAAATGATACAATCAGCACATCAACCATGGCTTCCCAAAGAATCCTGAGAGTTGTTAGGAGACCCCACAGAGCTGCAATTTTCAGAATGGTTTACCCTTCAATTTTCAGGAAACCCTTGAGAATTGTAACTCTCTGTTGTAGACTGGTGGGACGGAGAGGAATGATGGGGAAAACTGCTGGGGAACCCCCAAGGGAAGAAGGCTGGGAACAGGAGGTGTTGAAAGCTTAAAGAGTAACAGGGCTTAGTGAGCTGGGAGAGTCTGTGGCAGAGAGGTCAAGAATCGGAGGCAGAAGCTGAAGTAAGTGAAAGGAGGGAGGTCAAGAGGCAGTGATGAGTCAGGCGGCTGAAGAGCCATGGGTGTCAAAGAGCGAGTCGGCAGTAAATCACACCATTCAGAGTTGGAGTTAAATCTTTATTAGCAAAAAACATGATATTCACAGGGTTGACTGTCATTAGTGAGACCTAATGAACACAGCAGCTAATCCCCATTAGCTCTTACCCCATTAATCAGTTGACAAGACTGAAAGTCCCCACCTCCCCACAGCCATGTAAGTCTCCTCCTCTGCTGGGCTTTTCCCAAGCAATTGGAAGCTGCACCTGTTGCTACTGCGCTCGTTTCAGCCCTCTTCTGGTTCTAGCAGATGGGAGGGAGGGGAGCGGAGCTTGTCTCCGCAGGAAAACACTGTGGCAAAGAATTCAGCCCCCAAATGGATTACATATTTGTAGAAAATGGTGTCAGTAATTACCAGCTGATTAAACCTGCCACCATTTTGTGACTGGCTTTTCTCCTGCACCACTGTTATATTACTAGTGAACTTCAGTAATTTTCTACCCCTGAGGGTAGAAAGGATAAAATAATCCCTGTTTTAGGAGTGATGGAAATTGCTGATACAAAGCACACACATCCAATTGTTTTTAAGGTTGTAAGGTGGTGATTAACCCCAACTGTATTATGACACGTGCACAGTGAGGCCTGCTCACCAGGACAGGCTTCTGCATTGATAGTGTCCATAAAACTAAATTACTGTTAATATGGTAAATTAAAGTGTTATATAATATAATGCTATTTAATGTTGAATACTTTGCCGTAAATGATAAGTATTCATTTTTAATGTTTGCTTCTTTTCTACTTTAGCATGGAACAGTGTCTTAAGGAGCTACAATCAGAAATAAATGAAACTTGTCCTGATGAATTGCTACAAGACACAACTGACTGCCTTCAGTGGTTAAATAATTGCAGTTTCAGCTCAATCAAGCCATCTTCAACCCCTCACAGAGAATTGATCAAGTTTCTCCAAACACTGGTAAAAATGCTGTTGTTTTATGCCATAGTTAAAAATTATTTTCTTTTATTAAAAAAAATTGAATATCATGCAATGCAGTAAGAAACAAACTAATTAAATGATAAAAAAGAAAAAGAAAGATAGAGTGAAGAAAATACAAATTCCTTTCTCAAACATTGATCTTAATCCTTGTCTCGCATAGAAGGGGGTGGATCCTCCCAGCTCTCACCTCAGAGCTTCCCTTTCTTCTTCAACCTCCCAGCCTTGAAGATCTTCCCTTCCCTGCCTCTCACACAGGGTCCTTCACCAGCCAGCCATCAGCTTCATGTGTGCACAGTCCTCTTAATGATAAAAAATAATAAAAGAATGAGAAAAGAAAAAAGGGGAAAGTGGAAGGTATGAAAAGTGCTTCTGCCACAGATTAGGATGAAGAATCAGCATGGGGAAGTTGGTGTCAGCAGCAGATCCCTGGACTGGCCACCTCTTCAAGCCTCCTTCCTGTGGTGCTTCTCCTGCCAGGCTGACTCTTCTAAGGGGTTAATGGGGTAGGGATTGAGATCTAGGGGGCAACAGGTAGGGTATCTGCAAGGTCTAGGGAGTGGGGTAGTTGGAGCTAGTGAGCCAGGGGTGCAGCCTCTGGTATTTAAATATTTTGTTATTGTTGATCTTAATGTGTTTAATTATATGCTTGTCGGGTGTCCCCCCCATTTTTTGCATTTTATATGTTTGTATTTTACTTGCCAAAGTTTGTGTTCCTCTTCATGCTGTTCATTTGCACAAGGCTTCTGTTTTCTGAAGGAAACCTTCTTTCCTCTTTTAGCTTCTTTGTCTTAGCTCATTAACCTTGTTGGCATCCTCTTGAAATTGGTGGTACTTTTCTTGATCTGCAGTAAAATTCTAGCTGAACTGTTATTATGGCTTTAAAGAATCACAAGCATTTTAAAGAGATTGAACCCTCTTGATTAAGTGGCCTGTAATTTCCTAGTTTGCTCCTCTCTTTATTACGTCATAAAAATTGGTATTATATTTAGCTAAAGACTAAATAATTAAAATGACTTTAAAACCATTAGTATAAAGACTTGTGATTTTAGCGGCAATTTCTTTCTTTTTTTAAGTAAACCTGTAATTTCACATTGAATTCCCGAAGAGCCCCTGTAGATGTCACTTGGATCCAGTGATTTGTTAATTTTCAAATTGTTAATTAGCCTAGAGCTTCAAATCTCATCACTTCTATTTGACTCATTTCTTCAGACATCTTCCTTGAAAAAAATGATTCAGGCATGTGTAATTATCTTTTTTCTTCTGCAATTGTTCAGCTATTTGATCCACTGTATACAATATACAAGACAGAATAAAAAGCATAGGTTTTTGTCACACACATATTGAAAGCTATTACTGAATTTATGTAATTAAGTTTTATTTACTGGCATTTTGTTTAAACATTCTGAAATCAGTTAAATCAGAGTTCTAGATTCTGAGTGGGTATCAGCTAATGAGTCCTGTCAGTGGAAGCTCCATGCAAGGACTGCCTCTTGCACAATGGGGCTGTCTCCCCTCTCCTCCTTCCATGCACGCCCCCCTTAAATTGGCAGGAATCAGGAGAACCCCTAGAACAGCACACCAGGGGTGGGATCATTCCATCTGGCAATCCAAAATGCACTTTAGCACAACATTGAATTCATTCCTCTGATAATATTTTTTGGAAAAATGAATATATTCCGATCTGTAATCCATCAAGATTAAATGTGTAAAGTGATCAGTTAAGAAGAGACAAGTACAAATATTCTGTAAGGTACTATGTAAATTCTTAGCCTGAAAATTCTAACACCTTAATAAAAATCAGTACAATTTTTGTTTGAACTGTGAGGAGCTTATTAAAGCATTTATAAAATTGTGGTATATTTGCAAATTAACTTGATTGTGTTTGGTTACCACCAATAAAATACACTCATAGGATATGTACAGTCTACTCTGAAAGAGCCTGCGTCCACCATTTTGGATACATTTCTTCCGATAGGCACCTGCAGCACTGTTTGAAGCCTTTTGAAACCTTGACTTTCAAATACAAAAGCCTGCCTTAACATAGGCAGTTTTCAAAAAGACTTTGAAATTGGAAACTAAGCTTGCAAAGCTTCAAAGCCAGCTGCAGGAACTCTTCTTTTAGGAGTACCAACTCCAAAATGGTGTGTGTAAACCACCTGGTGACCATTTTAGGGATGTATTTTCAATTTGAAACGACTTTGAACACTGCTTAGGTTTAGGTAGGCTTTTGTAATTGAAAATATTTCTGTTTAAGCTTCAAAAGCAGCAGCACTTTCTTGTGGATGACATTTTTGGATTCATATTCCATAAGAAAGAAGCCCATTGGCTGGTTTGAAAGCTATTGAGCTTTTATGCTATCTTTAATAAAATAGCATATTTGACAATCTCATAGAAAGTTAAGATTGTTTAAATGTAATATTTCTCATAACTTCCCATATATCTTGAAGATTAGTAATTTCTCTGCTAATCTGCTCTAGGAATTGCAAAAATAGTGAGTGGATTAATTTGTATCTGTGCATTTGTATATTACGTACACAAATACGCCCTGTTATTTAAAATTATATTATTGTGAGTCCATGTGTAATATAATGCAATATTACACTATTCTCTCCTAGAGTGCAAATAAATATTGTACTTTGAGAAACCAATAGGGGGTTAAAAAAATCCTTTTTATTAAGACATATTACATGTATAACTAAACACAGTAATAAAATACATATAATGAAACAGAATTCAGGAAGAGGTTGTTAAACTTCTGGCACCACCCTGAGATCTTTAGATGAAGGATGGTATACAAACAAACAGCTTTCCTTCCTTTCAAAGTCCCTGGTGGGCATTGAACAGGATGGCAACTGCTACCGCTGCTCCCATGTAAAGCTATTCAGAATTACTTCTTTCTCTAAAAGAAGCCACCCACCATTGGGTCAGTGCTCCTAGAACCTGATGTGTTTTGGGACTGGAGCGTGACAAGTAATCTGGACTTTGTTTTATAGTTGAATTCATTTTTGAAGCCTTTGCAGAGTCTCAAGAGAGTGAATTTAAGCAATCTTTTTCAGCCATGGGCCGATCCACCATCCCTCAGACCATGTGGTGGGCCGGACTATATTTTGAAAAAAAATAATGAACAAATTCCTCTGCCCCACAAATAACCCAGAGATGCATTTTTTTAAAAAGCACACATTCTACTCATGTAAAAACACCAGGCAGGCCCCACAAATACCCCAGAGATGCATTTTAAATAAAACGACACATCCTACTCATGTAAAAACACGCTGATTCCCAGACTGTCCGCTGGCCAGATTGAGAAGGCGATTGGGCCGCATCCGGCCCCTGGGCCTTAGGTTGCCTACCCATGATTTAAGCTGTTGATGACACTCATGCACTTGTGATCTTCTCTAGTTTTGTCTGGGTATGGTGGGCTACTCCTCCTACAGGAGGAAGCAAATTCCATGGTTATGCCTTTGAGCTCCAAGAGGATCTCAGTGGTGTTCAAAGATAGAAGTTTATAGGTAGGAAATTTACATTTTCTCCCCTTGAGGGACCTTATTTTAATTCTAGAAAGCTTAAAGATACCTATGGCTAGTCATACAGTCCATAGACTAACTATTGTATGATTCACGTATAAACTAAAACAGTCAATTGTGAGTTAAATGAATTGTGTCCATTATTTTTTATTTTTGTTCAGCTGTCATAATCATGGAAATTGCTGTCAGCCATGTCTGTGATTTCCAAAACAACCCATTTTGTTTGTCTGCATTGCCAGGGGGCCAAGACTGCTTGCACCAGCAAAAAAGTACTACGTAAATCAGCTCATTTTCTTTAAGTTTTTCAGAAGCTCTTGAGAAACTTTATTTAATCCTTCTGCCCTAGTAGGCTGGAGTTTTGCATTTATTCATCCATGTCTAATTTATATGAGTTAGATTTATGCACATGTAAATGAGTTCATATTGAACTCCTAATATCTAGGCTCCATCCAGAACAAATGGGAAAGAATTCCATTTAGTTGTAGGAATTAGTCATAACTTACTTTTAAAAGTAAAATTCACATTTTTCTTCCAGTTTTCAAGGTAATTATGTTACCCAGCATAATATGAAATGTTCAACCTCCTCTCAGCCTTTTGTGTCCATAATAGGATGAAGTTGGACTATGAGAACAGTGACTACTGTAAACACTGTTACATTTAGCATTAGAACAATGTATATTTGATCTTATAGAATTTCAAATGCATTTAAAAGTATATAAAATGTTAATCAGCCAAAGTCAAAGGCCTGAGGAACGTTTTTACCTGGCACCTAAATATATACAATACAAGGTGCTAGGCAGGCCTCCCTGGGGAGAGCATTCCACAAGCGGGGAGCTACCACAGAAAAAGCCTGTTTTTGTGTTGTCACCCTCTGGATCTCTTGTGTAGGAAGCACAAAAAGAAGGGCCTCTGATGTTGATGATCACAGGGTCTGGGTCAGTTCATATGGGGAGAGGTGGGCCTTGAGGTATTGTAGTCCTGACATGTTTAAGGCTTTATAGGTCAAAATCTCCCCTTTGAATTGAGCCCAGCAACTACGTAGCCAGTGCAGCTGGGCCAGGATTCATGTACTATGCTCAGATTGTCTGGCCACCGCATTCTGCACTAGCTGAAGTTTCCAGACCATCTTCAGAGGCAGCCTTACGTATACTGTGTAACATCAACAACAATTTTATTATTTATACCCCGCCCATCTGGCTGGATTTCCCCAGCCAGTGTAGGTGACTTACAGCATAAAAAATTGTAAAACATTAGACATTAAAAATATCCAGATACAGGGTTGCCTTCAGATGTCTTCTAAAAGTCAGATAATTGTTTATTTCCTTGGCATCTGATGGTAGGGTGTTCCAAAAGGCAGGCGTCACTACTGAGAAGGCCCTCTACTTGGTTCCCTGTAACTTCAGTGTCTGGGCTGAATGATGGGGGTGGAGATGTTCCTTCAGGTACACTGTGTTGCAGGTGCTGCAGTAATCTAACCTAGTTGCAGTAATCTAACCTAGAGGTTACCAAAACATAGAAGACAGAGGTTAGGCTATCCCTGTCCAGATAGGGGTACAGCTGGACCACCAGCTGAAGCTGATGGAGCCTCAAGTGACAGCAGATGATCCAGAAGTACCCCCAAAGCTATGTACATCTTTTTTCTCTGAAGGTGAATTTTTAGAGGTGTATATTATTTTATTTTTTGATACTAAACTTCCTGTGTGTTAACACAGAGACTAAGGTTTTACATGCCAACAGACTTTATTAGAGGACTTACATAAATGTATGCAGGTGTGTGTAGATATTGTGGTTTATGGTATCATTAACCTATCAAAATATTATACCACTTTTAATGTACAGGCCATGCATCCTTTTGATCTAATAGCTGCTGTTTCAAGTGTTCCTTTAAAAGATCTAGGAAGTCCCTTGTGTTGAATGAATGACAGTTTTTGCCTTCTCACTAGTAAAGAGAATTGTATTAGCTAACAGGAGGAATATTGGGGGAGGGGAATTCTATATTAGAAAATTTCATTTTGTAGGCAGTAATTAACAGTAATTTGCATAGTTTTTCAAGAGAGCCATTGTTTACTTTAAATGGAGTCATTCACATAACTTAGCATATTGTTATTTATTTTCTCTTAGCAAAGCTTACTGAAGGATGAACAAAACCAAGAAGAAACTATTCTTCACTTTCTTCTTGATCTCTCCAGTCAATGTGGTGTCTTATTTCCCTGTACTCCAAGTGGGACATCTTTTGAGTTTATATCCAGTGCTTCCCTTCATGGTGTTGAAGATGATTCTGCAATGGATACACAGTATATTTGGGATGATGTAAGATTACATCTTCGGCGCTTCTTAGTAAACCAGCTGCAAAATCATAATGAAACAAAAACTGGTACCTTACAACAGCAACTGCAGTTTAAAACTCGGTGTCTACAGCAGCTTTTATTTCTATATCCTGAGGCAGAAGTTCTGGGGAAGTATCAAAAAATGCAGAATAAATTGGTTAGTGATCTTTTACAGAAATGTGTTCTAGAAAGCATGGGTGAAACAAACTTTGAAAAGATGGTTCATGGTTATGAAAACTCAATTCCTGCATTGTGTGCAATGATAAAAGAAGATTTCTATGTACTGAGCGGAATTATTGACCCTTCTTCAACACTGAAGTTTATTAATGAAACTTATTTGGATACCATCACGGAAGAAATGACCGTTCTTCTTGAAACACTTTGTGAGCTTCAGTTTAAGGAAAATGCATTACATGGTGTTAAAGCAAGCAAGAGCTCAAAGAAACACAGAGGAGTACCTCATGTTGGGGGTTAGTGGCATTTTTCCCATGAATTGTCTTAATTGTTTTTATCCTTTCGTTTATCTTAATTAATTATTAATTATTAGTTATTTAATTATCTTAATTGTTTTTATCCTTTCATTTCTCATACATGTGTCTCATACATGTCCAGTGAAGGACATAAGTACATGAATACGGTAGCCACAAACACTCAGTGGCAAGGCTTAAGCAACATCCATCTATATTCTTCTATTCCCAATTGTAGGCTGTGTTTGTCTGCTTGAGTGTAGGCAGATCATAGAGATAAACCCATGACAATTTGCTTCAAGTTACTCCCCCTCTTGTCTTCTTGTGAGCAAAGGAACTGGACATACTTTGTTACCTTCTTACTAGTGCAAATTAGGTCATGTTGGGGTGAGCAGGGGTGAGGCAGCTTCGGAGATTTGGGCAGTTCTTATCCTTTTCATGTTTGCATCTGAACAGCCAGGTGCAAGAGGAGGATTTGGAGGTAAGCCTCTTTCTAAGCATCCTGCAAAAAAGAAAAGTGAACTGTGTGTTTATTGTGATGAGGTTGCTCTGTTCTTCCACAAGAAGCTTGGTTTTTTTCACTGCTGGGTGCACAGAAATGCAATGATCTGCTGCTCTCAAGAAGGAAGGGGCAGGGGGGAGGAAGAGAAACTATGGGCCAGATGAGAGACCACAAGGAGCCAGATCTAGCCTGAGGGAGGGACTGTCTTAAACTGCAATAGCCCTTTTACTTAAATATTAGTTACGCTTTTTAAACAAGGACTTAATCTTGAACTTAGTTTTTAAATAGCTGATAGGTATTGTGTTCTAAAATACGTCTTCTGAAAATGCCATCAACAGATAAGGCAATGGATGGGACACATTGCAGATGAGTTCAGAGAGTCTGTATTATTTTAACTTCATTTTCATTAAAATAATATTTATCTTATTATAAATAATAATATTTATCTTACTACCTCAGGGCTCTGTCCTCTCCCCCATGCTTTTTAACATCTATATGAAGCCCTGGGGTTGGGCTGGGTGTTCACCTCTCATTTAGATTAGAACTAGTGAAGGTGGTGAAGGTCCTGTGTGAGTGTCTGGAGGCAGTTGGAGGATGGATGGCAGCTAATGGATTGAGGCTGAATCCCAGCAAGACAGAAGTACTGTTTCTGGGGGAGAAGGGCAGGCAACTGTGGGGGACTCCCTGGTTCTGAATGGAGTAACTGTGCCTCTGAAGGACCATGGGGTGCAGCCTGGGAGTCATTTTGGACTCACAGCTGTCCAGGTGGCTGTCTACCAATTCCATCTGCTACCCTGGGTGAGACCCTACCTGCCTGCTCACTGTCTCACCAGAGTGGTACATGCCCCCACTTGGACTACTGCCATGCACTAAATGTGGGGCTTACCTTTGACGGTGACTCGGAAACTACAACTAATACAGAATGTGACAGGTAGACTGGTGACTGGGAGTGGCTGCCGGGACCATATAACACCGGTCTTGAAAGACATACTACATTGATTCCCAGTATGTTTCCAAGCACAATTCAAAGTGTTGGTGCTGACCTTTAAAGCCCTAAATGGCCTTGGCACTATATACCTGAAGGTATTTTAAACTGTTACATTTTCATTCATTTAGCTTCTTTTTATATTACCAAGATATTTGTAACCAAATTTTGTATTCTCTTTCATGACATTACTTGGGGATTTAATGATAACGAGGCAGAAGAATACTGATTAAAAATGACAAACAATTTTATTTATTTTTATTATTTATTAAATGTGTATACCACCTAAGGCAGTTCACAACAGACAAATACAAAATGAAAATACACAATACATAATAAAACAAAAATGAAATTAAAACAAACCAATAACTCCCCTTCCACAAACACATTTAAAAAACCATAGAATGTTAATCATCTGAACACTTAGTTGAAGAAAAACGTTTTCATCTGGCACCTAAAGGTATGCAATGAAGGTGACAATAGTCACATGAACTAGGCCATAGGTTCCTTATGCAGCATGTAGAATTTTATCAAGAAGAAAGTAAAAATTAATTAACACAGTGACAAATCACAGCTGATGCACTAAGTTTGTTGCACTCCCCTGAGCAGCAGTGGAACTGATGAGCACAGTTAGAATCAGACATAGAAAAGAATAACATTTACCTGGATGTTACCAGAGGGCGGTACCTTGTTCCATCAGTGCAAGGATTTTTGCTTGTGGAATTGAACTCCCTTCCCCCTTTCCCTACCCATAAGTACCTTGTGTCATCCCACAAACTACCCCAGCATTGGGGTAAACCTCCGAACAGATTTAAGGAGTGTACAGGGATAGGAGAGGGGACGAAGTTCAGCTGTGGAAGCAGAAATCCTTGCTCTGATGGAACAAGTTAATTGCATACTGTCCATAATTTCTGTTAACTTTTACTGGCAACATTTTATAATATTATAACTGTGTCTGAAATATAGTGTATGGCTTGGGAATATAAGAATGAATTCTAAATAAATAATGAAACAGAGGCTTGAAAGTTTCCTATATATACTACCCTAGGGCCACGTACAGTATTTGTTTCTAGAGGCAGCATGACACTTTAAAAATATTGCAAAAGAATTAAGCTTGCTACTTTTAAATTTATAGTAGGGGGTATGATGATACTAGCTAAGTTACCGAAATGTCAATTGAGCTGAAGAAATTTCAAAGCTGCTAGCATGTCCAAAAGCCTTACTGTTGCTTCAAATCAGTTATTAATCCCATAACGTGAAGCTCAACAGTAGAATTTCATTATTGACCCCTATTATATTTAAAAGATGACTTCTTAAAGGCTTTCTTGTTCTTGCATGTATTATTTGAAAGAAACAAAATATTAGATGTATTAATATTTGTCATTTAAATATCTATTTTTACAGATGCATTTCTATTTTTGTTTATGTAATGTCTGTTTGAATCCTGCAAAAGTTACGAAGATTCACATCTGTGATTTGATTTTCTTATGCACACTCTGCAAACAAAAAAGCAATATAAATTTTGAACATTTTTTCATTTGTTAAAGAATATTTCCAATTAGGAAACACTAATTATTTTCATCTCAAAGCTTCCTTTGCACACCTGGGTGTTCTTCCTAAGGGTGAAAAGAACATTTAACTCACCATGCCCCCTAATTATTGCATTCTCCTCCCAAGTATAAAAGATGAAAGTGATTTACTCTTCAATCCATTTTCTTTTGAGCGGTCAAAGGTCAGTCTGAGATTTATATATTAGAGTAGTCTCTTTAATAAAAGAGTGTGACAAAGAAGTTGAGAGGGAATTATTAAGTTGGTTTTTCTTAGGAACATACAGTAGTGTGTAAAGGAAATAATAGAGGGCTATGAACGTCAAAAGAAGGAGGACTTCTAAAAGGTCTCCTGAAGAGGTTCCTAAGGCTCCTACAGTATTGTTTGACAAGGAAATTGATACATGACTCTTTACGCGACTCTTTTCAACACACATAAGCTGTCTCCTGAGCAGAATGTAATTAGATGCTCCTTGGTGAGATACCATTAAGTTGTGGGGCATTTTGTATACCTTCATTAGTGTGAGGCTTGGTTAGCTTTATGATTTTTATTTTTTTTTAAAGAAATGGCTCATTAATTTTTTTGTGCACGTTACGTTGGTTTCTGTGAGAAAGTAATATTTAAATATATAGGTCTTGATGCATCAACCCTGCCCCACATTTATATGTTCACTTAGCATAGGTTGCTATTTCCCACGTTGTGCACTCTCTCTCTCTGTGTGTGCAATAAAAAAGTATAATTGGTTTTATTTAATTTGCAGCAATCATTTTTTTAATAGACAATGATCTTAAACATTCATGCTTACTAAAGCATTCATAATGTTTCCATAAACCAGAGGTTTTCAACCTTTTTGAGTCCACAGCTCACTTGACCAACTACATTCTTTCTGTGACACCCCTGTGGGGCTCAGGAGCCCAGTTATGTCACCCCTTGCCTGCAGAACTAGCAGCCTCTCACCCTTTGTTGAACACCCTCCTTTGTGGAGTATTCCCTCAGCCTCCTCTCCTCTTCCCTCTCCTTGGGAGTCCTCTGGGGAGTCGCTACTGTTGTCCCTGGTCCCTGAGCTCCCCCCCCCGCCCCAAAGAGAGGTGCCTTCTCACACTGCTCCACAGAGGCCTGGGACTTGTCTGTCCGTTACCAACAGCTAGGACTAACTGGCTGGGCTCCCTCACCTGCTTGCTTGCTTACTCGGAGGCTGCTTCAGCTCCTGGCAACCAGCACCCCCTGAGGCACCATTTGCCTTCAGAGCTTGTAGCCAGGGCAACTGCAACAAACAGCCGTGCAAGCCTTTGGGAGGCAGAGACACAAGAGGGCATCAGAGGAGGGTGGGCAGGGAAGAGGGACAGAGGCCAGTGTTGCCTGCGATACCCCAGATCATCATTCAAGGCACCCCAGGGTGCCACGGCACACTGATTGAAAATCACTGCCCTAAACCATACCCTCCAGCATCTTGAGTCCCAGAACTTGGACACGTATCTTCCCACCCATGCTCCTGTGTGAGTCACATGATGTGAGATTATGTAACACATAATATTTCCTTTTTTCAGGGCCATGCTTTACATTGCCCAAAACGTGTTTTGGGGAGTTGCATGAGATTGCAGCCCTACAAAACCTGCATTTTTCAGGGTGAGATCTCTGTCTGAAATCGCATGAGGTCACAGCATCCAAAATGGCCACCCTGCTCTCACATGAGAAAACAGGATGTCCACAAAGCTCCAGATTGTCCTCAATGCTATTTAACAGCTATATGAAACTGTAATAAGAAAAACTATTTTCCTGATTACTTGTGTGCCCTCCATAATTTTGCCGATGTTCTGTACCCATCAGTTTGCTTTTGAATTGTAATATTGTTCCTGAGTATCAGCAAGGGTTTCTAGAAGACTTGTTAGTTCACATTTATTTCCACTAGCCTTTTGAAAGGCATGGCTAGTGAGATTTTTTTTTATTTCTTTGAATAACAAACCCATGTCGCCTCAGACTCTGCTTTTGAAACACCTTTCATCTTCAAAAGAAGCTTGCCATGTGGCATGGCAGCTGCTGTTCAGGAAACACATGCTCAAAGCCCTCTTGAGCGCCTGGAACTAATTGTACTGTTCTTTGGATTCCAGCCTATATTTTCACTGATAGGGTTTATGAAACATAGTGCTTTATGATTAGTGGTTCCCTTAAAAGTGACTTGTGTCATCTCTTACTGGGTCTCTTTGCAGTTCATAGCAATAAGTATGAAATACAGAACATGCATATTTTGTGCATGTTTTCCATGGTTGGCGATCTTTCATAGGCTTTTATAATTTTGACATGATGAAGTATTGGGCACACAGATACATATCTAGAATTACAAGTAGGAAAGTATATACTTCTTTTTATTTTGAGAGGAATGGTGTAAACTGCAAAATGTAGACTGGTTGCTTGGTTTCATTTGAATCTATTCTCCCTGCCCCTCAAGATATTTTCATATCCCTAGATTGTAGCAGAGCAAAAGGGAACTGAGAAGCTGGCCACTTTTTTTTAAGCCTTAAACACTTTGATAATGGTTTGCATCCTTGTGGTTTCCCCTGGTGTACTGATAGTTCTTTATGATTCTGTCATTTTCAATCAGCAAAAAGTACATGTGATCAGTATATCTGATAAACTTGTCAATGCCTTTTTAAAACAGGATTCCCCAATCTATTCTATTCAGCCCCCTTCTTCATCATTTCAAGTGTAATCTTGATAAGACGGAGATATGTAACAGACAGCTGTGTATAGCTAGCTCAGACTACAACTAATTTGTGCAGGAAAAAATTAAATCAGGAGGTAAATTATTTCATGATTGCTCATTCCCAACAGAGTTGGGCATCATTCTGAAGAAAATATCAAATAATTGGTTTCAGGCCGTGTCAGACACATGCAATTCCCTTCACTAATGGCTGTGTGAGGTAGCACCAGGCCTCAGGGGTCACAAAAAAACTGGAATAGCTTACTGCTAGGCGCAGCAATAGAGAGACAGTGCACATAGGAAATGAAGTGGCAATAAGTGCAATCCATAGGGGAAATGTGCTTCACTTGGAGTTTAATATATTGGCTCAGATTCTGGCAGTAAGCCATGCAACAATTGTTTACCTTTTTGTTAGCATCTGCATCTGTTCTGTTTTGTAAACAGCACTTAAACTCAGTCCGTAAATGCTGGAATCAATAACAACTGTTAAGGGATTTCCTTCCTTTTTCATATTTTATAACAAATGCAATCTACAAACAATGTTTGCCTTAGATTAACAAGGAGCAGACATTAACAAGGTCAAAGGGATTTGCTTGTGAACATTTTATAGCTTCTTGGATGTGCAGTAATTATATCTGCAATTTGAACATATCCTGTTACCTAGTCAAATGTAACTGTTTTGAAAACTGCTGGTGTATAGTAATGAAGCAGATTTTAAGTACCTTAAGTTCTGTGCATGAAAAACTGCTGGCATTCTAGCACTTTAGGTTGAAACAGTATTGCAGCTGCTATTCAGAAATACACCTTTTGAATTCCTAGGTGTTTCTTATGCATCTAACATTTAATGCATTAGTATTAGGTTCCAGTCTTGCACATACAGGCAGCTTAAATCCCAACTAAGTCATTTGTTTGCAAAACATAATATTTTAAATCTACAGCTGTAGTACCATTAACAGTGTTCTAGTATAAAATGAACGAGGGCTGACCATGTCTAGCGTGTATAAAGTGAATACAGCATTGTAGAAAACATGTGGAAGCATAATCTTCTTCTTTGGTTTAAAAGAGACTATGCAGATGATGGATGACTTAATTGTAAAGTGACCATTAGCTTTGGCATCACAAAAAGATTGATATAACTGAGAGCACAAAAACCATTGTCATTTGTATTTTTGCTTATAAATCCCCATTCAGTGTTTTGAATATTTATATAGCAAATAATTGCAATTATATTTTTTGCCAAATATTAGCTACATGCTGAGAGCATTATAATCATTTAAATATAATGTGCAATTGACCTTTGAAAAATCTTTGGCCAGAATCCAAAGAATGGAAAGATGTGTATGTATGGCATTGAACTATATGTGGGGCTGGATCTTTGTTTTGTTTCCCTTTTTTAAAAAAATATTTTATTAAGGATTTTCTTGTTTTACAGAAGTAAGTGTAATGCCTCGTATTATTTTTCCCATGTAACATTTTTACAAATCCGTTTCATTTGTTGAGGCATTAGGGGGAGAAGAAAAAAGAAAGGAAAAAAGAAAGGGGGGTGGAGAGAGGGAAGATGGATGGGGGTGGGGTCGGGTGGCGGTGTTTCTATTATGTTTAATGTATGTAGAGTTTGGTGTCAGCGTTGCTTGTGTTGTTCACTTGTGTTCCTTTGGTGGTGAGAGAGGTTGGGGTTGGCCTAGGGTGTGATTGTTTGCTTGTGATTGGCTGTGGTGATCTTTGTTTTCGTGTGTGAGTGAGGTGGGTGGGTGTTTTGGATCAGGTTAGCCATATTGATTTGTATGCTGTTGGTGGATTATTGTCATTGTCCTGTTGGGCTGTGTATGTGATAAAGGGAGCCATACCGGGGTGAAGGCGTCTTCTTCTGTTTGTCCCCGTGTCAGTTTCAGTTTATTAGTTAATTTTTCTAGTAGGGCTGTTTCCCATACTATTTGGTACCATTGGTCCATGTTTACTCCTGACAGGTCTCTCCAGTGTCTGGTTATGGTGTTTCTGGCTGCTGAAAGTAGGTGGGTTATGAGTACTTTGTGGTGTAAATGGGCATTGTTGTCTTGGAAGATGTTTAGTAGGGCCAATTCTGGGGTGATGTCTATTACTTGCTTAGTTATTTTACATATTTCTTGTATGGCTGTTGTCCAGAATAGTTGGATTTTGGGACACTCCCACCACATGTGGAGGTATGTGCCTGTGGAGGTGCACCCTCTCCAGCATTTTGGTGAGGTTCCTGGGTGTATTAGCGCTAGTTTCCTTGGTGTTAGGTACCACCTGTAGGTGAGTTTCAGTGTGAGTTCTTTTCTTTTCGTTGATATGGAGTTAAAGGGGGGTTTAGAACACATTCTGGTCCATTGAGAGGGGTTAATCTCATAGCCTATGTCATTTTCCCATTGTTTTTGATTGCATCTCAGGGATTTGCGGGATTTTGGAGTAGTATTTTGTATATTGCGGATACCGTCCCTTTACCGTTTCCCTTTGTTGTTAGGAGGAGGTTTTCGAAGGTTGTCAGGGGCCTAGTTGCTGCTGATTTTACTGTTGGGTTGTTTAAGAGGGCATGTAGTTGGTGTTGTGTTAACCAGGGCATTTGGGTGTCTTCTAGTTTGTCTTGTATTTCTTGTGTTGACAAGGGTTTGTTATTTTTATAAAAGTCTATTAGGCGATATAAGCCTTTGGTTTGCCAGGTTTTTATCTGGAGGTTTTGTGCTGCATGGTGGAATAATGGGTGGTACGCCAGGGGGATTAGTGGGGATGGGGTTGGGGATAGTTTGCCTATTTGTGTCTTCCATGCTTTGAGCATGGTCTGTGTGTACCTGTTAAGTGTTGTGGGAATTTTCTTTAGTTTGTTTGGGAGGAGTGGGTATGTTGTGGTGCAGGTATTTTCAATTGTGTCCCTCTCTAGGTGTACCCATTGTTTTGTCTCATCTTCTAGTATATATGGGATTATATGGCGTATTTGGTTGGCATTGTAATATGCTTCTATGTTGGGGATTCCCCATCCTCCTTCTGAGGTGGGGAGGTGCAGGTATTTGAGGCTTATTCTTGGTTTTTATGTGAGAAGATGAAAGAGTGTAGTTTTTCTGCCAACTGCGAAGTTGGGTTGAGGGATCCAGATTGGGAGGGTTTGGAATAGGTAGGTTAGTTTTGGGAGTGTGATCATTTTGATCATGGCTATTTTGTCTGAGAGAGTGAAATTCATGTTATTCCATCTCTTTAGGTCTTTGTTAATTTGTCGCCACAGGGGCTTGTAGTTGTGGAGGTACAATTTATTGAGGTTTCTGGTTATTTGTACCCCTAGGTATCTGAACTTGGTGTGGCAAAGTTTTATTTTGGTGACCTTCGTGAGTTCTTTTTGGGTGTGAGGAGGGGTGTTGAAGCACATAGCTTCTGACTTTGTAAAATTTACCTGTAGGCCCGACACCATTGCAAATGTGTTGAGTTCTCTGATTAGGGAGGTTGCTGTGCTTATGGGGTCTGGTGTTGTGACCATTAGATCATCTGCAAAGAGCCCTAATTTATAGGTTCTGCCTTTTATTTCCACTCCCTTGATGTCTGTGGCTGCTCGGATGCGGATTGCTAAGGGTTCCAGAGCCAGGATAAATAAGAAGGGAGACAGTGGGCATCCTTGTTTCGTGCCTCTTTGGATAGCTATAGTATTAGAATCCCTATTGTTAGTTCTGCATTTTGCTGAGGCTTGGGAGTATATTTGTTTGAGGATTTGTAGGAAGTTGGGGCCAAATTTCATGTTAGTTTTGTTTCCCTTTTCACTGTGAATGTTCTAATTGCTGAAAATCAAATCTGCTTTTTAAAGTTCAAAATCAGGTTGTTTCTTGGGCAGTAAGAACTACTGTGGAGAAAGGTGCGCTGCTGCTGTTTTGTGTGGTTCCCTCACATGCATGCAATCTCAGCTTTCTCATGCTCACCCAATAATAATGGGTTGGTCAGGATTTCTTTTCAACAGCTGACAGAATTATCAGAATATTGCCCACAGAGCTGCTGTGAAAGTTGGTCCTTTCTCTTTTCAGTGATGCAAAGAAAATGTGTTTTTTTTGTAGGTCCCCCCCCCCCATGTGTTTCTCACAAAAATGGGTAGTGCTAATCTTTTTGTTGTCGTACCCTACCTGTTTGGGTTATTAAATTCTACTTACATTGTGTGATCTGACTGCCCTAGAGTAGACCTACATCTGTTTTTGCGTAGCCAAGTAGTTTGATTTGTTTATCCCTACAGCTTCTGAAATGCTATTCCCAAATGCTATTCACAATAGGCCAAAGAGCCTCACTACTCTCAACTAATGAAGCGTGATGGAAAGGGAAAAATAAATATTAAGAGGGATCTTTCACAGGTTAACAGTGCAATTGTATCCATACCTACTCAGAAGAGCAAACTTTATTCAATTGAATGGGACTTACTCCCAGGCAAGTGTTTATAGGATTATAGCAGGCTTAATTTCTTTCACTGAAGTTTAGAATGCAATCTAGAAGTGCATGTGGAAATAAAAACAAAACGTAAAAGCAATTTGAGGCTTGTGGCACCTTTGAGATTTATTTTTGCATGAGCATTTATGAACTTTTACCAGACGTTATAAGCATCAGTCAGGCATTCTGACAAATTTCACTTTCTAATGTGTGGATGAATTAAATGTTACTATTCAAGAATATAAATACAACAGACAGTCATTCTGACATATTAAGCACACACACACACACACACACACACACACACTAAATACTTCAATGTAAAACACACATTAAATTGCAGTCACTCACTGACAGGGTCTATCCCAAATCACATTGAGACTTTAGAGCTCAGAGGTCAACAGTCAGCATGATTTTCTCACTGTACCAGCTGCAGGATAAATGCAGAGAACAGAGACGCCCATTGGACATTGCCTTCATTTACCTGACAGAGGTCTTGGATATCATCAGCCATAAGAGACTCTTCTTCACACTGCTCAACAAGAAAGGATATCCATCTAAGCTTCACAATATGATATTGTCCTTCCAGGAGAACATGTGTGGCACCATTCTGTATGATGGTGAATCCTTGGATGCCTTCCCTATAAAGAGTGACATGTAGCAGGGCTGTGTTCTTGCCTCAACTCTCTTTGACAAATCCTTCTCCTTGGTGCTTTCATATACCTTCAGCTCGACTGAAGATGGTATGTATTTTTATTCAAACAGTAACGGAGTTCTGTTCAACCTGGCACATCTCTGTGCCAAAACAAAAGTGTGGCAGATCTTCATCCGAGAGATGCTTGCAGATGACACAGTCTTGACAGTGTACTCCAAGGAAACTCTACAAAGACTCATCAACCATTTTGCCCAAGCTTGCAGGGAGTTCGGCATTACCACCAGCCTGACAAAAACCAACATCCTGGGTCAGGACATCACCAGCACTCCACACATCAGCATTGGTGACCACAAGCTTGAGATGGTAGACAATTTGGTCTCCCAGGGTTCCACCATAATCAGCAACCTCTCAATTGATGCTAATCTGGACAAGAGTATTGGCAAAGCAGCTACAGCAATGGCTAACCTCTCCAAAAGGGTTTGGGAGAATGTGATGCTAATGACCAATACCAAGATGAAGTTCTGCCAGGCTTGCATGTTGAGCATGCTACTTTATAGAAGTGAGTCATGGGCAGCTTACAGCCGCAAGATGCGATGTCTCAATGCCTTCCAAATGCTTAGCATCAAGAGGAATTTGGGCATCACGTGGCAGGACAGAATCTCAAACAAAGATGTCCTCTCCCAAACCCACATTCCCAGTATGTTTGCACTCCTGTCTCAGCAACGTCTCTGCTGGCTTGGTCATGCCCACAGAATGGAAGATGGCAGGATCCCCAAGGATGTGTTCTACAGGGAACTGGCTTATACAAGCCTTTGTTTGGCTTGTTAATATTTGCTCATTAGCAAACTTCCTTGTTTCCCTTTTCTATTTATTTAAACTGAACAGATAGCCTCTCTTTTCACTCAAATTTATTATCTGTGTTACTCAGTGTGAAAATTACAGAGTGACTTAGAGTGACAGCATATTTATGTGATCTGAACTATTAAAACAGAAAAGGGTGTATTTGATTTAATCAGTCTGCTATTTTCACTACAGAGATTTTCTACATTTAAAATGTTTTTATTAACTGCCTTGAAAATGAGTAAAAATGTTAAAATAAATACTCTTCAAATAAAAAGAAAATCAGGGTAGTATCTAGTGTTTTGCTGGTTTAAGAGACTTGACCTATTGGAACGGAACTTGCCCCTCCTCTCCCCTGCATGCTCTCAAAAGCACCTCCAGAGGGTTAAGGCACCCTCAGCAGATTTTGGGGGACTCACAGGGGGAGGAGAGGAAACTGCCAGTGGAACCCCATTAGCAATGCTTGGGATACAACCCAAAGAGTTTAAAACAGTTGATAGTATAACATAGCTGCAGAAATCATTAGTAATTTATATGCTGAAGTGCTGATTTTAACTTACTTTCTTCCCTGGAAGTTGGTTGTGTGTGGGGTGAGAACAATGCAAAACAGAATGAAGCACCTTACTGTGTCAACTAAGTTGACTTTTCTGTTCTGGTGGTATTTAGAATATGCATGATCTTTATTTACACACACACACACACACACACACACACACACACAGAACATGCCATAGCCAAAGTCATTAATAAGGTATAACAAAGATTTCAGTACTTGCAGAATGTAAATTCTGGGCTGCAGGTAGCTAAGTCTTAGTGCTGGAATTACAAGTTTCAGCAGGAGTAAGAACAGAGTCTAGACCATGGGTAGGCAAACTAAGGCCCGGTGGCCAGATCCGGCCCAATCACCTTCTAAATCCGGCCCACGGAGGTCCAGGAACCAGCGTGTTTTTATATGAGTAGGATGTGTCGTTTTATTTAAAATGCATCCCTGGGTTATTTGTGGGGCATAGGAATTTGTTCCTTTTTCTTTTCTTTTTTCAAAATATAGTCTGGCCCCTCACAAGGTCTGAGGGACAGTGGACCAGCCCCCTGCTGAAAAAGTTTGCTGACCCCTGGTCTAGACAGAAAGCTGTGGCAGATCTCATGAAAGAACTAAGACAAAGTTGAGGAATAAGGAAAACCAAAAGCAGAAATGTAGTTAGATAAATAAAAATAAAGGAAGACAGGAGAGAAGCAGGTATAGTGAGCCCAGAACATAAACTGGCAAGTTAGAACACTGGAGCCTGCAGAGAAAAATATTGCTTTGACTCCCTCCAATTTTAGTTTTGAGTAGCTATCCTCAAGAGGCAGCAGTGTACATGTCAGAAAATTTCTGGACAAAGTCCTCATTTAAACTTGATTGTGAATCAAATATTGAGGCCTTCTCCTCCTCTCTTTTGGGAAACATTTTAAGCTAAATCCCAGGCTGGATCTAGACACATCAAAGAAGTGTTTCAGTTAAACACGTTGTAAATTTACACAGGGAAATCTGGTAGGGAAAAATGGTACTCCATAGCACTATCTGGTGATACAGTGTTATATCACATATACAACGCATATATATTGCTTTTTCTTTACCAATCTACCTGAATCCCCAGATGGAAGCAAAAAGTGCTGTAAGAATAATAGCATTTATATACATTGGTTGTTAGCTTCACTTTCTCTGCTTACTGTAATCTCAATGACTAACAAAATATAAATGCATAACTCAGAGGGGAAAATCCCTCAAAAATCAATTATTTATCATTTAATAATTGACTCCATCCTTTTGTAGGAACTGAGTTGCCACCACCAAATAACTTCTGATCCTGATCCACATAGATTTCACCAACCACATAGACAGAACTTCATCCTTTCTTTTGGGTTCATTTACAAAACTTTTAATGGACAGGATTTTAATTTTCATATGAGTGTAGAGTTACTTACTGAATGCACCGCAGCAATGCTTCTCAAGGTTACACAGTACTAAATTACAGTTGCGAGATTCCAAATCTACAGAAAGGATCACAGCTGGCATATCAGATGTTATCTCTTGAGCCTCCAGAAGCCACATACTGGTTACAGAAAGAATTCTACATGGATATACTTGAATAGGAAACCTCACTATCCCCATTTTGCCTGGATTCAGTCTCCATCTACTTGCTTTCATTCAATCAATCTAAGAGGGGCCCTAGACAGTTATTCTAGGCTGTGATCTGTGGTTATGTAACTTTCAAAAATAAAAAATAGAGCTGGGTTTCTTTAGCATATTAACATCTCACCCCAGATGTTTGGATAATTTATTCCAATGATTTCATAGATGCTCAACTGTTGAACAGTATCAATGACAATATACAACTTTGTTGTACATCGTAAGACAATTCTTGTGGATTTGAGAAATCAACACTAATTTTATGAACTTGCCTGGTTAAGAAAAACAGACCCTTCTCAGAGGCATCAAAAAAGTTTTAAATTTTTATCTATAGTGACCTACATTTCATACAAGTATTCTTTATATAGACATCGTTTTTAGTAATGTTTATGTAGGAGATAATATATATCACATCTGATGTATTTTAGTGCACTTATATACATATGCTAGAATATATTGTATGAAATTAATTTCTCCCACTTGTTTTGCAGCGGCTCAAGAATGTTCTAGAAAAGGGAGAAACTTCTGTTTGACACTACATCAACTCAGATGTCTTTCTGAGCTTATAAAGCTTTTTTTGTTGATGGAAGAAAAGGTTGAAGAACTATCTTCAGAAATGCTGTTATTACCATGTTTTTCTGAGAACAGAAATGTTCAAGGTAATGTACATTTCCCCCACTTACCTTATTTTTCCTTCAAAAGAATTGCCTTGTGGAAATTCAGTAGATAGAATAATTGGGATGAGAAAATAACATACCTCTTTATCAATCCCGTAATGTCAACTTATTTCTGGTGTACTCTGGAGTCTTTTGAAATATTTTTTCTCACTTTTTTCATCATTAACATAAACATGAGCTTACTAGCTGTAAGATGATGGAAGATTTAATAACTGCCCAAAATTATAATTAGTTTATTGCTCAGAGTGGGGAGATCTGGGTTGAAAGTGTGTTTTAGGAAGCAGCAAGTCATTGGGAGGGGCAGCAGAATTTTTTGCAGGGCTTATGCCAGAAGGAAAGACCTATTAGTAACCTGCTAATCTGGAAGCAATATAGAAGTGCAATGGCAGAGTACTTTGGATGGTGCCACCATATTTCTTGTCAAGGTATTGCACTTCATATCAACTAGGCTACTTTGTCTGTGGGCTGTGGGCTGGGTTTTCTCAGCATGAAATAAATTGGAGCCCTGCACTATTTTCATATTAGCATTATACTGAAGTTAGTTAGACAAATGAAAAAATTGACAGTAGAACAGAAAGTTTAGTTTTTCTTTGTTCAGGATATCATGCGGAACCTTTAGATTTGATGTACAGAACATTTGTAAAGCTCCATCAAAAATAAAGTGGTCCTTTGAGAAGTTCCTCATATTTTATTTTATTTTGCCAGAGGTGGTATCGTGAGTTTCAGCTAAGCCAGAAGGTTTCTTGGCCATCATTTTTTTCCCCTAGACCCAGCGATGACAAAGAGCAATGGCTGCATAAATTGGATGTAAGAAGAACACTTAGGGTTTATCTCAGAAAAATCAAAGATTTCAGATCTTCTGACAGATTGTTTGTACTCTTAGGGGGTCTTAAGAGGGGTCAAATGGCTTCTAAGAGTTCCTTAGCTAGATGGTTAAGGAACTGTATTAGGGAGGCGTATGTAGTTAAGGGTAAAGTGGCTCCCAGGGTTTGTAAAGCTCATTACACTAGGACTATAGCTGCTGCTTGGGCGGAGAGGTCGAAGGCTTCTACATCGGAAATTTGCAAGGTGGCCACCTGGGCTTCTCTTCATACGTTTTCATAGCATTATCCCTTGGAAGTAGTCTCTTCTGCAGATTCTGCTTTTGGTAGGAGGTTGCTTGTGAACCAAAAAAAAAAAACCCTGCAAAGAAAAGAGAGATGCGTAGTTCACACTACTTCTCGCTGCCATCAAGACAAGTTCCTTTGCAGTTTGCACAATGGAAACCTATGAAGGCCAATTTAGGTGGCAGAAAATAGAAGTTACAACTCAAGGAAGCACTGCCTACTGATGCTCTCTGATTGTAATCCCATGGCAGACAATAGCACCAAGGGACATAGTGGGGGGAAATGAACATTTATCAGAGAATATAAGCTGAAGTAATCAGGACTTTTTTTTTAATCTCAGTTTAAATTCTCTGGAATTTGATTCTTTTACATCTGCTTCTATAAAACGCAGAACTTCATTTAGAACAATAATTTCAAAAGTGCTCCACTTGATTTCAGTATGCTCACTTTTCTTTTTACATTTAATTCTTTGTCTTTATACTAAGAAACACAACTAGTTCTCATTGAGGGCCATATATATGTGAAGTATCAGGAAAAAACATTGACCGAAATGTTAAAAAGAGCAATCTGAAAGAAGTCTTCAGTTGCATGAATGCAGAAACAGTTGGCTTAGAAAAACATGGATTGAAACATAATGCACAATGTATTCTTAACCTAATATGAATTTGATTTGAATAATGGAAAAAGTGAAAATGTTTTTCTTTCCACCGTGAATTCTGTGTCATCAGCGCAAGGGGGATATATTTGTCATTTTCAGCTAAGATTTGGGACTTTGAGTGTATTCTGACTTCGCTTCCTTGTTTTTCTAGAACTAAAATTGACCAAAATTTGAGTAATACATTGATTTTGTCAGGTACCAGCTGAAAAAAATTAACCTTTTCTTTCTCCATTCCTTTGTCCATTCCTGCTGTTCCATTCTTGCTATACACTGCAATTAAATTAGTGGAATGTTCAGACATACCTAGTACGTTCATTATCACAGGCAATATGATCCTTTGAAGGAACCTGGAACATTCAGCAGCAGTCATGGATAAAGCAGAACATTCTTATTTGGAATGAAGAATGCTTGGTCAAATTATATTCTCCTTCTGCCCTTCTGGTGTGATTTCTCTTTCCTCTGGTCCTTCAGAAGTCTCTTGTTGAGATTTTCAAAAACATCTAACACACTTTTCATCTTCCTCTCACCTTTTTTTTCTCCATTTCAGTGAGAAAGGTGAACTTTAGACAGATCTGATAATGAGTGCCAAGAAAAGCTTTTTCCAGTGGAGCTCTTTGAAACCACTCTGGGCAAACTTGTCAAGGCCTTAGGTTTTCAAGCTTTGCCTCAGGGGACTAGAAAGATTTGCAAAGGTCTTCCCTTCACAGCTTAAGAAGAAATCTATTACTTCATATAAATCTCTAGAAAGCACTGTAAAAGAATAACATGATCACGTTTACAAAGTCACTGCTGTAATGGGTAGCTTTTTAAATCATATAATGTTAGTTTTGTCTCTGTGTGTAGGTCCTAAAAATAGCAGCAGCAGCTTCTTTCATAAAGATTATTTTCAAGAAACATGGTGATGGGGAGATGGAATGTACACTGAGAACATAGCAGCTGGAAATACTTTATTTTCATTAACTTGTTAGCACTTTATTGGAATGGACTAACAAATAAAATTCTCACTCAAAATGTTTGCAAATCTCCCCTCCCCCACTTAAAAAATAATAATTTATGTGGTGCTAAATTTTCTTCCAGATCCCTTTTCTCTATGACTATCACACATTGCCCTGGGCAAACTATGGGAAAGAATACTGCCTTGCAGATTCTTTTGGATATTTATTTGACTGCTTAAAATATATATAGTAGTAATACTATATTAGGTTTTAAAAGAGTGAAGTGTCAGTTTTAAATGTGTTTAAGGGATCTCTCTTGTTAAAGTAGTGTAGAGATTCATGTCCTTTGTTTACCGTATGTTTTTGTATATAATGTAAATCATCTGGATCTGGATTCCTTGGCAAACACAAGCATTTGCAGTTGTTGATTTCCTTTTTTCTATAAATGTTTATATATTTCTGGGCAAATAAAAGACAGAAACTATAAATCACTGAATGGTATAAAGTGGCACAAGCACTTTCCAGCCACCATGATTATTAACAGTAGCCAGAGTGGATTTCAAAACTTGAATTTCAGAAATAGTAAATGTTTCCTTAAGGGAGGGCGTAGTCTCTGTTGCCCTTAAAGAATCAGCAGATATTAGATTATGTGTGTTTAGTTCCCGAAATTGGTACCAGTCCTTGCTGGTACCAATTTCAGGAACTAAACCCCCAAGATTAGACCCTATGAACTCAGACATTTACCTTCCAATCTAACCTCTTTTGGAGCAAGATACTAGAGAGGGTGGTGGGCTTTCAACCCCACTGGTTTAGGAGAAAACTGATTAGTAAACCCATTCCTATCCATATTCAAGACTGGATAGGACTGGCTTTGAGACAGAAAGAGCTTTGGTCATTGTGATGAATGTCTTAAAGCTGGCGACTGAATGATTACAAGACTTGGTTCTACTCGACCTCTCTGAGGCTTTTGATATAATCAACTATGGGTGTCCTTCTGTGACTGAATTGGAGCCAGGATGCAGAATATTACAATATTACACCCTTCCTGGGTGGCTGATTACAGAAGAATTAATGAATTGATTTATTACAGTCACAGATCAGAAATATAACTGATGGCAGAAGGTAGTGCTGGGTGATAACTGTTCCACCCTATGCCTATAGGTTGTATCTTGTCCCCCATGATTTTCAAGCATACACATGAAACCACTGGAGGTTTTGTCTCTCTCCCCCCCCCGTATTTTTTCTATCTTACCCTTCAGTATAAGTGCTCTCAAGTTAAGGCTCAACTGTTTTAAGAGTTGTGCTGTTTTAGTTTGTTTGCATTTTTGTAATTTTTAGTCATGGATGTTTTTAATGTTTTGATGAAATTGTGTTGTTACACATTTTAATAATGTTTGGATATATATATTATAATTGGTTTATTCTTGCGGAATAACCATGTGGAAGCCATTTTGGTGTGTAAGTGGTATATATTTAATAATTCTAACAATAGGTTTAATCCGCTGCCCCATTTATCCTCACAACTACCCATGAGGTTGAGAGAGACTGGCCCAAGTTAGCTTAATGTGTTGGTTTGCCAGATCCTAATACCACGTTCTAATTAGTACACCACATTGGATCAGCAACATTGCCAATATGCAGATGACAAACAGCATTACTGCTCTTTTCCACCACTTAATCTCAGGGAGCCTGCGGAACTCTTGAACAAGGGCTTGTCCACACTTGGCTTGCCTCATGCCTAGAAAGCATGAGTTCAAGCAGTATTCCATCCCCAGGAAAACCCAATCTTTACCACTGAATCGGAGCAAACGTCAATCCACAGAAAACCCGAAAGCAGGCTTTCTCAGGGAAAGTGGTGGGAGAAGCAGAAGTGTGCATGAGCCCCAAATTCCTTGAGAGACTATGGGAGAGCCTCTGAAACTTAATTCAGATTAGATTGTCAATGTGTAGGTTGGAAAGTTGACTGGTGTGAAATCAATCCTAAATGAGGTTGTACTACTCTTTACATACCAGGTGTGCAATCTGAAGGTGCTCCATAACAGACTATTATCTGGAGAGGAATCCTTGGGCAGGTGTGCCTCCTGCTAGGCTCCAATTTGTGCTCTAAAGTGCACAACTCCTACTTTACATATGATTGAGAGAAGCATTTGTTTAAAGATATGGGTCTGTCACTGGCAGCCCACAAACATGTCAAATGCTGCAATGAGCTGGGGACAGATCTCCCACACCAGTAAGTTAGGAGACTGTAGATTCCAACTGTTAGAAAGTTTTGAATATTTTATTTTTAACTGACTTTTTCCAAGTTACTAATATTTTTATGTAAGTATCTTAATAGACGATTGATTCCAACATTTAAATATCTAAATATTGTATATACTATGTATACCATTAAGTAAAACAAAAATGTAGTTATCAAAAGGAGAATTTTGTTTGCAACTTGAATTTTACTTTTATTTCATTACTAACATTCCACTGCAGCTTGCTGAATATCTTTATAGAATATATTGATATATCAAGTTTTCCACAGCCTTAATCTTAACTTTGATCCCATTTGTCATACTGTGCAGGAGTTCTGAAGAAAGCTGGTGGGGAGCTTTTAATAGGGGAAAGTAGAGCAAATGAAACCAGTGTGCTTCCTGAACAGTTACTTCAGGTAAAAGAGGTGAGTAAAATAAAGAGTCAAACTCTCTGGGAGCCTGTTTTGTCTGCACCATCAATACAGATAAGGACCTATTAACATATTCATTACGAATCCCTTATGCTAAGATGCTAATAATTTCAGTGCTATTAGTAATTTAAGCCTGCAAAGACCAAGGCTGGAAAGAAAAAAGACCATATACAAAAATTTGTGAATATAAAAGAAGCTGTTAAACCATTTTGTGGCATCACTATTAAAAGAACAAAGTCGCTATCAGAAAGGCAGTGAACATAAAAACATATAAAGGTGCCATTGTAAGTTTTTATTTAATGTCCCCGATGTTTCCAAAAGTATTTTCAGGCGTGTGTTGAAAACTGAGGATCTATTTTTACATAAGCTTGCTCTTACAATTTATGATGGCCATTTGCACAGGCTCTTTTCATATTAATATATTCCATATCATCCTACAAATAAAAAGCACTCATATCTATTTCTCATAGTCTAGCATTACCAAGAAACAAGCCACTTTCTGTAGCTAATGCATAACTACACTGGTGCTGCAATCTCTGTGGAGCATATGAGTGAGGGGAGTTCTCCCACTTTGTCTGAGCAGTAAAATATATTGCTTTTGAGCTGCATCTCACCAAAATTAATGAATCAGTTCTATCACATTTTAAATACAGTTTTAAACAACTATCAGCAACTTAATAAGTCTGAATAAAGAACACAGGGGAGTAATCAGTTCATCTGGAACCAAGTGTCAAGAGTCCTAGTCATATACACGTACAACATTTTAGATCACCAATGAAACAAAGCTTGGCATCAAATGGATTACAAAGCTGATTACTGAAGAAATGAACTGGATTGCTATTCTCAGTTTTTTGGGCTGGGATCCAAAGAACTGGTGACACTGAAGTGTAAGGGCTTACCAGTGAAAATGTTTACTTTTTGTCTTTACATGACAGATACCTATTGCACCTCACAAAAGTCCCTCACTTTCAAAAGCAAGTTTCTGTTTGAGAAAGAAAACCCAAACTCTGCAGTTCTTACCTACATTGTTCCTTTATTTAAACATCATCAAAACATCATGAATCTTCAGAGTTGCATCCAACTGCTGTCCCCTGGTGACAGAAGACTGATCTAGCAGACAATATTGTCAGCTGAACAATGTCCCCCTCCTCCAGAAGCTTTGGGTGTGTGGCGGGGTGTGTGTGTAGCTTAGGGACAGCATGGGAGGTGGCATGGAGAGCTGCAGAGGACAGAGGCAATTTCCAGAAATTGCCTCAATCCCTGCTTCTGCTGATGGGAGCCTCAGTTGGATCAAAAAGATTTCCCTTAGTAGGGACTCAGCTGGATACAATTATTTATTTTGTTTACATCCTGTCTCACCAGGTTTGGTTGAAACACTTTATAATGAATAGGAATCATCAGTAAAACATTTAATATACAAAAGAAATATAACAATAAAACTGACTGCAATAGCATCTACAGCAGCCAGAGAACATAGATATTACAGCAAGTAGAATCTCAGTGCCATAGCATTAAAACACTTTACATTATTTCTCTGAATAAGTGCAAGTAGACACTGTTGGCATAGGCAACAGCAACAGCCTTTAATTAATACCCACACTACTGAGAAGAAAAACACACATCTGGGTGCAGGACTTGGGTGGCTTTCCTGAGTTGTGAGTTTAGTTTGAGTTTCCCCTTTCTGGCTTGCTTCTCTTTGTAGTATGTGTGAACTGATCATTTTAAGTAAAGGAACCTGAATAAGGCAAAGAAGTCACTCAGCCATAATCACTGGGTTGGTTTGTACACCATCTGAAGCATATTCTGGAACTGAGGGGTAATTACTAAAGAGGCTAAAAGGAAATTTTGAGCAGGCTGTTGCCCTTAAACTTTAAAGAACAAGGGGTGGGGGTATGGGAATGAATAGCAAATTAAAAGGCTTGACCATCTAAAATTTTGCAATGTTAAACATTCCTGCTTTGCCAGCTAATCTGGACCTCCCATTTCCCAAGCCAGTTGCCAAACACTTCTGACAGTTGCTGAAGCTTGGGCTCTGGCAAGTTTACAAAAGCAGTTTCATACCAGTGGAATGAGGAGGGACATGATGTGGGGTGGTGGTGAAGGTGGGAAGCTACCTAAAATGTTTCCTATATGGACCCCTGTGAAATGAATGGGAGAGGAGGCATAACACAACAGCACAAATAACAGCTTCACACCACATCCAGAAGAAAAGAGTCAGTCAGTTCCAAGTGTATTGTGTGTTAAGTATACAAAGAGCTTCAGTATACCATTTGATCAGCTTAGGTATAATTGAAACAGAAACATTTGACTGTTCAGATTTTGTCTGTATACTTCTATATTTCAGACTACCATACTAGATTTCGGCTGGAGAAAAGCATTTAAAGACCTGTCCTCTTCAGTAGCTCACTGTATAACAATTGCAGTTGAAGATTTTTCCAATAAAATTCTTCAACATGAGCAGAATGAACACACTTCAGCGGCCTGCTATGTGATGCATACTGTAAAGGTACAGCACATGAAGGAGCTCAGGGAAGTAGTCCACGAGGAAGACCAACCAAAACAAATTTCAAAGGCATGTATCAAAAGATCTGAAGTTTTAAGGGGATTACAGAATGTCGGGTTTGTTTACCCATAAAGCATTGAAGTACTTGCACTTCCAGTATTTTAAGAGTCAAATGCATGGAATGAAAACCTGTGCTAAATTATTTAATAGTGCTTTATAGATCTCAACATATATTCTAAGAAACTTAAAAAATGTATCCATTTTAATACTTTTAAAATGTATCCATTTTAGTAAATAGCCTAGATTTCTGTCCCACGAAGAAATTAATTTTGTAGGTGGAGATGCATTGATGAGACTGAGACACATTAGTAGTTCACTAGGGGAAGTCTAAAATGCAATGAATATAAAACCATAAAAACAAACAGGGGCAGAAGGGGTTCAGATCTGAAGCTACAGTGGGAGAAAAATTAAAACCTGATTCATGGAGTTGTGTATAGGGGATTGAAGATTAAAAACAACTCAACCCAGAGTAGTCTCTTCTACTCCAGTTCCTTCTACACTTTCGGTCAGTTTAAATTGCAAAGCTTGTCTTGGACTGTATTACATGTTTGAATACTACCTCATCTTTAAACAAAAAACCTCTCTTATCAGACAAAGCAAGTGCATCAAGGAAAACAGTTCAGCCCAGCCTTCCTCCTCATGTCCTTTTTTATGTTCAGGGAGATTTTCTTGTGGGATAGCATTCAAACATTCAATTTATCCAACTGCAGCCTGAAATGATGCTGTCCAGGTAGAGTTTTACCGCTTATATGACTGAATGAATAAACTGACTCTTTTTGAGGCTTTCTCTGGAACAAAGCAGTCTGCAACCGCATCACTTGTTAAAACTGTGACTGCCGCTTCTCTTCTGAGAAGCATGTCAGGAGGGGGCAATTTGCAGTAAAAAGGGGTAGAGAGTATGTTTCCTCACCTAGCTGGGGTTCCAGGTGCATGCTTATAATAAAATACTTTTGTTTTTATAAAGTGAAGGCAAGAGTTATGGCAGCACTACTTAGAGTCAACTGTGTGACCACTCTACAGTATGTGTTTAATGCCCATACTAGAGGCTACTGCCCTGCCCTAACTGAAGCATTTGGTAAACGGTGCTCTTTATTCACTTGGTGGAAGAGGGAGTAAAATAGCATTAAATATCTAGGTGCACAGGACTCAGTCACTTATAACCATTATATGAAAATCTCAATCAAATCAATGAGTTTCATGTAACATGCTTGGACTTAGAGGGAGTTGAGCTCAAAAACAAGTAACCACTATTATTGTCTGTTTTGACACTTGATTAGAAGTTAATGTGTGCATCTATGGAGATCACAGAGTTCTTCATATAGGAACTATGTCAGTGGAGGAATTCAATCTGGTAAGGTCATCATTACATCAGGGCAAACATTTCAGCTTGCCAAAGGAATGACCCCCTCTTTCTTCCCCTGTGTGCTCATACAGGGCTTCTGCTCATTAGCTGAATTGTTCCTAGGGTTTTTTTTAAAGATAAATTTGGCAAATATTAGCTTCAACTTACATGGTCTAAGCTTTTCATGTATACATGTCCATTTTAATATAATGAAGTAAAAACAATATGAAGCTTACATTTGTCTTTTGCCAAATGCAGTATTTGTCATACTGTACAGTTATAAATAATGCTGTCAGTATAAAATTAACTGGATGTCACATTTATTTTCCTAGTTTTGTTCTGACATCATGGAGGAACTTGACATGTTACTTCCCCTGGCTCTGGCATGCAGAGATGAGTCTCTCCAGGAAATTAGAGAAAACTTTGTAGAGGCCTGCTGCAAAGTAGCAACAGCTGTCCTGACAAGGTTGGAGGAGAGAAGTAAAGATGTCCCTTCCAGAGCTCCACTGCAGAACTTGTATACTATTCTCTCCACAGCAGTGCATGTCTATCAGCATTTTAATATGTATCAGCATCTAATGAAAGATACCACTAGAAAGTGAGTCTGTTGTATTGATTAAAACACCCATAAATACCAGTAAATCAAACAATTCCATTTCAGTGATACAACAAATATATTTAAAAGAAACAACTTAAAACAATGTGCTGTTTACTGCCAGTGCCTTGAATTTTTCTCTTTCTATCCTGGTTTACTATGATCTTGCATTCACTCTGTACACCACTGTAACTTCAAAGAAGCATCTAAAACTTTTGTGTAAGACAGAACAGTTCCAGCCCTGTCTTTCTTCATCTAGACCTTTAAAATTATTCATGTAATCGGGACCACTTTGGGTTTCAAATTGTGTTTGAATGTTGTGGATGTGGTGAGTTTTATTTTCCTTGTATTTATATTGCTTTGGAATATGTGGTTTAATGTTTAATTTTGTATTTAAAGCTTTTTATACTCATTTATTATAAACTGCTCAGAAAACTTTTTGTCATGGAGCAACTTACAAATAATATTATGCACATGCGCGTGTGCGCATGCACACACACAAATATGTATGTTACATATAAATCAGATTTGGGGAGAGGGTAATGTCATATCAGGGACGTGGGTGGCGCTGTGGTCTAAACCACTGAGCCCCTTGGGCTTGCCGATCAGAAGGTCAGCGGTTCGAATCCCCACGACAGGGTGAGCTCCCGTTGCTCGGTCCTAGCTCCTGCCAACCAAGCAGTTGCCAAAAGAAGTGCAAGTAGATAAATAGGTACCGCTCCGGCAGGAAGATAAACGGTGTTTCCGCGCACTGCTCTGGTTTTGCCAGAAGCAGCTTAGTCATGCTGGCCACATGACCTGGAAAAACTGTCTGCAAACACCAGCTCTGTCGGCCTGTAAAGCGAGATGAGCTCCGCAACCCCAGAGTCATCTGCACCTGGACTTAACTGTCAAGGGTCCTTTACCTTTACCTTTTTTTAATGTCATGTCAATTCCCCCATACCACTTTAGTCAAATGCCATTTTATTACTCTATTTGTCTTTTTCTCTCCTCTTCTGTTGTTACTCTTCCTTTTTCTCTGCTGCTCAAATCATTTACTTCTCTTGAAATTCAAACCATGTGATGTTATTCTTCAGCAGCTTCTGCATTCAACACAAATTCACTGGTTTCCCCCCCCCCTTTTGAAGCTCTCCGTGGGCTTGACTTACTGTACCTTTCTGCCACAATTTTTCACCAGGTCCTTTCCTGTGGCCTTGACTTCTTCAGAAGGTTGTTCTGTCTCAAAACCCTTCTCCCTTTCTTCACCTTAGATTTGGAATTCCTTCCTGAGAGTTTCTTTTGCACCATCTTCTCTAAATTCCTCCTCCAAATTCACATTTTCAGTGTTGCCTTTCACTTAATCCACATCCCCAAATAAAACTAAGCCTAACTATGTGTAGTTGAAATAGCTGCTATTGAGTGCTTGAAAACCTTGCCTCGCTTATTTTTATCCCCTCCCCTTATTGTGTTGGGTTATAAATTGGATTATAAAGCTCCTCTGTTGTAGCAAGCTGTGGTGTTGGCATAGGCACCCCCTTTGCCACTGTATCTGAAATGTTGTGCTTTCAGGAAGGATTTTCTTGCCTCTTCCTCAGAACAAGACACTGAGGCAGAAAGAATAGGCAGTGCGTGTGGCCAGGGGAAGAGGAGAACAGCTCCACTGCTGGTGCAAAGAGGAGGATGGGGTGGTGGGAATAGAAGGCAAGGGGGTAGCAGCCGAACCACCACCCTGGTCAGAAGAGGCTAACCTTTCTTGTGCTAACCTTGATAATAGTATATATTTTTATAATAATTGTATATGTATCAAACAGTTTGGTATTTTTCCTACCGGACCACTTTTTTAAATAAAAAGAACTATCCCTTAAGTATTGTTTAGAAGTACCACTTATACTTCTACATTGCATTTCAATAATAGTGATCCAATCATTTATATGTGCATTGTTTTAGCAGTAGATTGACGGTGCTGTTTGCCTAAGTAGTATAGTACACATTTGTAAAACAGTAGAAGTAGATTTTCAAAGAGCCTCTGTAACAAAGACCAGATTTTAACGTGAGTGTAGGTTTAGATTCAAGAATCAAGAGGAAATGAATGATTGATACTTAATAATCCAAACCATTTGTACAACTGTGGGTTGTTACCTCCTACTGCACTGGTCTTAAATCTTTCCTTCTTTGATCATTTGAACAGGCCTGTATTCCTAATGCCTCTCCAGCAATATCAGGAATTGATCAGTGTTCTTCAGTTTCAAATTACAAACTACTGCATCAGAATTTGTGCTACAACTATTTTACAGGATGCCGAGAGTCACTACTGGGATGACTACAAAGCATTTTATGAGGTGTGATGTTAAGTTTACTAGCTTTTCCTTTTACAGAAATGTTTCATTCTTTTGTTTTCTTCCTGATTTGAAACATAGGTTCAATACTACCTGAAATCAAGGTTACATTTTAAGGTTGTTGATCTATAACAACTATGTGTGCATATGCCTCATTGAGTTCAATGGGCATTATGTGCATGCAGCAATGGTCATGAATAAAGGCCAAGCTATAATATTATGTAATTACAAAACAATATCGAGTCCTTCTAGATGTTTACATTCTGGTATGAGTACATCTTTGTGTGCTTTTTAGTACTCTTCATTTTTAAAACAGATGAATTCATTATTGTCTTATCTACACTCCTGTTAAATGTCCCCAATTGGTTGAATCAAGTAACTTCCAAACTTTGTTCCAAACTACTGTGCCATAAAAGAACTGCAGTGTATTGCAAGAAAGTATATACATAAAATAACTATAGTTTACTGTGATCCCAAAATATGCACCTGTACAAGCAGCTGCCTCCTTCCTTTGAATGATTTGCTGCTTGGGAGCAGGGCTGGCCTGTAACATTTTGCCACTTGAGGAAAAATGCTCTGCCATGGTGGGTGTGCCCCACCACAGGTATAGCCCTACTGTGTTGCCAGGCCCCCACATGGTGCACTCATGGCAGAGGCAGCAGCAGGACGCACCTGCAGAGCAGGAGGCAGCATGGGGGGCACCCACGGAGTGCAGTGGCAGTGTGCTCATCAGGCCCATATCTGCCCCCTGGGGCAACCACCTAATCTTGTTTCATGGGTGGGACAGCCCTGCTATCAAGGATTCATGACCAATCAACACTCACTGGAGCAATGAATTTTTCCATGGCTATGCACTGAGCTCAGTATTTGTTGGTGGATAAAATAATTAGCTAGTATGTGAAATGTAGTAATTCTGATATTGTCTTCTTTACAGAATATAAATATTTCAAAATGACAGTGAACCTTAATTTCAAACTCTGGATAGCTGAACCATAGTTAATGCCACAACCAAGGTGGGCAGTGGGGATTTGCACTCTAAAACAGATACAGTTTGCAGTAACTTGTGGTGTGATGTGAAAACAATCTAGTGCAGTATCTCACCAACTAAATAGATGGAATACCTGCTTGGCTACCAACTGAAATAAAGCTTTTAATGAAACAAACATCTGCTGCAATCTCCAAAACGTATGTTTTCTAGTTGTCAAAAATAAAGTTGTCTATTTGTAGATAATACTGAGTGGCTTATGTAGTACTGCCCAGCTGCCTGTTTCTTGACATACAATTTAAATAAAAGCCCACATCTGTTTTATTGTATGAAGCTTGCAAAAATAGCAGATGTTTACCCATTCAGATACTTTGACATAACAACAAATAGCAAACAGGAAAAGGTTCCCTGTAAATCTCAATGAGGATTCTATTTATTACCAAGAATCTACTTTGATATGAAATAATATGAATAATTTAAATAAGAACAATATATATTCTGGTATATTGGAAGTTTCAGATACTAAATATCAAATAACTACATAAAACACAATGAACCGAGTATAGGATATATACCCAGTGGAACATATATTTAAATGTATTTTAAATACTTTAATAAATAAATAAATACTGAATTCAATTAAAACGGCTTCAAAATGGTTCGTAAATTATTAAATAGTTTCTAAGAAAAGTGATATCCAACAAAGTCATACACAACGTAGATCAATTGAAATCAGTGTTCTTAAATTACTGAAGGTCACTTATTTCAGTGAGTCCACTCTGAGTATGATTAATATTGGATATCACCCTATTTATTTATTTATTCATATTACTATTATTTTAACAATGTTTACTGATAATGCCTACTGATAATTTACTGCTATTGCAGCAAATGTTCAACAGTTAATGACTTTACCTGTATATTATAAAATGCATGATAAAACATTAATAAAATGTCCACATATAAATCATTTAATTTGATGCTAATCTTGGAAGCATTATTTGTAGAGCTCTTCACTGGTAAGGTTTTTTAAAAAAATAGTTATGCTTCATTATAGTGACCCATAATAATAGAACTTCATAGTATGTTGCATATCAGACAGGAAATTATAATAATCTCTGCTATATGAAAAAGAAATCTGCAGAGGCATAAAATTGTCACAGAGTTTAGACTGTTACTATATTTGTTTCTGGTATTGTTAAAATATAATAAAATAGCTAAAGGATCTTTAAAAAGAATTATAACAATGAATGAACATTTACATTCAGCAAGGAACACTGGGCATATTTTCAACTCTTAGGCTGTATTTATAGGCTGTCGGATTATAATGTCTATAATCTATCAATGTAGGCAAATAAGTGTGTAAATTAACTCATTCAGTTGGTCTGTAAGTACTTTCTCTTATATTGTGGTAGGATTAAGGCTCTCAGCAAGGATCCTCTAATTTTTTGCCGCATGTACCTCCAAGGGGTACTTTAATTGTATGCATATCTACTCAGAAGTAGTTCCCATTTTGTTCAATAGGGCTTGTTCCCAGGTAAGAATGTGTACAACTTCAGCCTGAGTTACCTGTGCTACATAAAACATAACTCAAGTTGTAATGTGGATATAAATGCCCCATTTGGAAAACATCTACTTATGGCCTTCAGTGAAGAAGTTGGAGCACCTGGAGATGTATTAACTTGCTGGTGACAGCTGCATAGAAAGTTATTCTCAGTAGCAATTAAGAGTCTAACTAAGAGTAACTGCTTCATGGTTGGTCAGCCTTTTACAATGGGATTTGCCCTTGATCACAGCAGAGATGGTGAGTAGTTGTACACAATTTCGTAAATTAGTAACTACACAGTATAGCATGCTTATCCAAAATAGGTTTGGGGAAGGTAAGTTTATGGTAGGTCAAATGTTTGTGGTTTTGGAAGAAAACTGCTTTCCCAGCTGAAACAAGACCTGAGTTGTTTTTGGGAGGGGAAATATGTTTTGCATCTTGCAAGGTTTCTGGTCTAGTTATTCAGCAGTTCATACTTTTCAACTATTTCCTCTCGGCCTGAATGGATTAGATTCACTGAATCCAGCCTGACATTCAGGAAGATGGGTTTCTATTGTTTAACATTTGTTGGTTTTGCCAGGGGGAAAGATGCTCATTCTCCATCCAGATGTGGCATTATTTCTGCTGTGCTCTTCATCATGATCTATGGACTGTTCTACCCCCTGTGCTAGCCCAGGAGATTTTAACAGAAGTGCTGGAGGAATCCTTGGCACTCCTGGCTTGCAGATATTTTCAGGCCCAGCCCAGTTACAAGAGAACACCGCAGATAAGGTAATGATTGATTTGAATTTTGCGCTGTGGGTGATGTGAATGTATTATTGTTGTTTCCTGTTCTGCTTATTAAAGACAATACAAGCTAACAAAACTATACAATTTAACAAGCAATGAATATAAAAACGTTTTTATTAAAAGCCTGTTGAAATAAATCCATTTAAAGTTTTGTCTAAAGCACAAGACTGAGGAAGTCATCCAATCGTTTATAGAAGGTTAATTTTGTTTTATGCCTAAGCATATGTTTTATGCCTGAACTTTTTACTCTGTGAATGTTAAGTAAACTCTTCTGCATTCAAATGTAACAATACAACCATGGCTTAGGGATACACAAACAAGCTACAGTGAGCATTTGGCTTGCAAACTCATGCCTCCATTTTTCTCTGATGTAGCTGTGATGAGATTAGAAGCATCTGCTTCTGTTTTAGGTTAACATGGCATACAAACCTGAACTAGGGGATCACCACATTTTTTGGCCAGTGGATACATTTGGACTTTTTGGTGAGAACTATGGGCCATGTCCCCTCTGGCAATTTCTCTCCACTTTCCCCACAGAGGTGCAGAAAGTGACTGCGCGCGCACCCCCCCCCCCACCTATACATATTCTTTGCTTTTCCAAGTAATCTAAGTAAAAGTTGGATCCAGTAGATCCAACTTAAGAAACCTGTGGAGTTGAAAGAGGAAGTATGAAAAATCATCACTCTCCTGCAGCTCTCTGTACTTCTCAAGGGAGAAGAAGGTAACCAGCTTAAACCACCTCATGACCAAGGGATAGTGACTAGAAGGGGTGGCTGAGAGGCTTCATGAGTCCTTCAAGGGAAAATTTCAGAGCTGCCGTTGCTTCTCTTCTATAGGCACCTCATTAGCAACCTCTCTCCTAAACTGTGGTTTATTGAAACAAGTTAGCTTGATTTAAAATACTATAGTTGAGACATCAAGTTTGTCCAAGGTTATGTGCGTACTGTAGATCAGAAGCTCTGCTGGAGCCCATGGTTTGCTGTGAATTGTTCTAAAAACAATATAATATCTCCCTGGAAACTTGTTTTTCATGCATGAAAAAGTGCTTTTTCTAGTCCTAGCTGTAGTTGCGTATCTTTTCAGTGTTCACCAAAATTGTATGCCTTTGATCATTCATACTGCAGCTTTTAACCTTTAAGTTCAATATGCGATATGTTTCCAAGGTTAGTTGTGGGCATGATATTCATCAAGGAGATGATAAAAACGGCTAATGACAGGAAGCAACTAGCAATGGAAGTAAAAGCTACAAAATAAATATATATGGTGCAATATACAAAGCTTTATTTTTACAGAAAAATAATAACATGGTAGACTGAAGCCAAAGCAGAGCAGATCCATCCTTCAAATGTCACATATTTTCCAACATCTAGGTACAAACTACAAAGGAACTTATTTTTCAAAATGTTGCTTGTGTGTATAACCTCATTATACAGAGGATTTATAGATTTCAGTATATATGAAAATACTTAGACTATTGTCTATAAGCATACATAAAGAATGGAAACACCCTAGTGATTTCTAGATTTAATTTTCTTTATAATTAAGAAGAATGAGAACATACATACTCTATTGTGTAGCAGAGCAGGCTTTTAATATTAATTCTGGAATTAGAAGTATGATCAAATTCAGCTGCTAGAGCATTTGAGTCCTGATCTGTTTCTGCTGTTCTCTGCAGATTCTGTACTTTATTTGCTTTTTGTTGAAATCATGACAATTGATTCATTCTTCTTGAAAATCTGATAGGCAGATGTATACATTGTTTGGATAGCAATCCTGCCCTATTACAATCAAAACGTGAGCTTTGTCATTAATGCCAGTGGGATGTAGGTTGTATCCATAGTCTTTGCAATCCTTTTTTACAACTCACTGTTCCTTCTTTGTCATGCCAAAGACATTTACAGTGCCACGTTAACTGGTAGCTATGTAATTCTTAAACAGCTTCTGGCATATACTAGTTATCATAATATAGCATGTTCATAAAAAAGCAAGAAAGTAATAATAGAGGAACCATAGTGAAACAATGGGAGATGGGGCAAGTGGCAAATAAATCTTGGGAGAAAAAAGCGGGTACTCGGAAAGCACATCTGGAGCCCATGATGAAAAATCAATATAAAATGGAACTTGTATACTAAAGGAATGGGGAAAGAGCACCAGTTTCCAAAACTCTTTATATAAAATTGTGCCATGAATATTTAAACTAATGTCTTCCTTTTGCGGGTGGCGCTGTGGGTTAAACCACAGAGCCTAGGACTTGCTGATCAGAAGGTTGGTGGTTCGAATCTCCGCAACGGGGTGAGCTCCCATTGCTCGGTCCCTGCTCCTGCCAACCTAGCAGTTCGAAAGCACGTCAAAGTGCAAGTAGATAAATAGGTACCGCTCCGGCGGGAAGGTAAACGGTGTTTCCGTGCGCTGCTCTGGTTCACCAGAAGTGGCTAAGTCATGCTGGCCACATGACCCGGAAGCTGTACACCGGCTCCCTCGGCCAATAAAGCGAGATGAGCGCCGCAACCCCAGAGTCGGTCACGACTGGACCTAATCGTCAGGGGTCCCTTTACCTTTACCTTCCTTTTTGGAAAAGAAAATATGTGTGTCTAAATATTATAAAGCAAACAATCAAATGAATATATAAATTATTTAAAATGTATTCCACTCATATTCAGTATTGTTTCTGAAATTTGTTAAGAACCGGGGATAAAAAGCTCTGAAGAAAACAGAAAAAGAACATATTCAATTTTCATTTTATAACAGGTGTAAGGAACAGAGAAATTAAAATATATTTAGTTGTAATGTTTTATTTGGTGTATTCAGAACTGGATAAAATTGCAAATTTTCGCAAATTATAATCCTAGCTTGCACATGTATAACAGTTCAAGTGGTGAATTCCTTCCTCATTCATATCTATGGAGGGAACTAATCCACAGATAATCGTCATTTCTTGAAATCAATGGGGAAAGTGAAACATGAGAGCTCTGTGTATAGTTTGGTAATGTTGTACCAGGAACAAGATTGTATTATTATTACTTAAAATTCCTGATGATTTTAAATAATGTAAAAGAGATCACTTGTATATAAAATCCTTTCTGCATTGTAGCAGATTACTTGATTGAATGTGTTGAATTGCATGCCTCGATTGATTTCAGGGTTTTTGCTTTGTCTCTTACAGAATAGATGTTATAGCAATTCTGATGACCTGTGAAAGCATGCTGTGGTCAGTTTGCAGTTCTGTGCAAGAACTGTTGTTCCCACAAAAAGACAGAAATCGTATTTATAAAATACACAAGTATTGCAACAATTTACTTGCAGCAGCTGTCTTTTTAACTGCACCATTGGAGAACCTGTATAAGTAAGTGTGATGTAATATTTTAAGACAAACAGACATTTATCCTATAGAAGGAGTAACAATCGTCTATCTTTGTGTAATGGCTGGATTCCAGTATGGTAATGATGCACCAAAATCTAAACATTGGTTTCAACTGTGGATGGGAAGCGGCGCTTGAATGTACATTATTTTACCCTGCAGCAGATTTGTTTGAGGAAAATGGTGTCATTAGAATCTGGTAAACTTGAAACCAGTCTATATTCAGTACTCTCAAGGCTGCAATCCTAAACATGCATACTAGGGAGTAGTTGAACACAGAGAGACTACTTCCAAATACACATGCATAAGATTGCATTGTTAAGAATTTGATAATAATAGCAAAGCCTCTAGCAATATCTAACTCTACTGCCTGCTTGGTCACATTCACACCATACATTTAAAGCACATGGCTTCTTCCAAAGAATCATGGGAACTGCAATTTGTACAGAGTGTTGGAAATTGTAGCTCTGTGAGAGGTAAACTACATTTCCCAGGATTTTTTGTGGGAAGCCATGTGCTTTAAATGTATGATGTGGATGTGACCGAGGCTGGGGCTGGGGCTGGGGCTGGGGCTAAGCCGTCAGGAGGGCTGAAGCTCATTGCCCAAAACTCTGGAGAACTCCTGCCAGTCAGAATACAGAGCTAGATGGGCTTAGCATCCTGTGTTCCTAAGGGCCTTTGATCTGTTCTAATCCTAACAGGAGCAGGCCAGATGAAAGACTGAGGGAAGAAAAATATTTTTAAAAGTCATCGACCTAGAAGATAAAGGTTGATCCTAGACCAGGCATAGGCAAACTCGGCCCTCCATATGTTTTGGGACTACAACTCCCTTCATCCCAAGCTAACAGGACCAGTGGTCAGGGATGATGGGAGTTGTAGTACCAAAACAGCTGGAGGACCAGAGTTTGCCTATGCCTGTCCTAGACAATAAGGAGAAGAGGACAAGGAAAGAGGCAGGAATTTGAAGGGGGAAAGGGTAAGTGGGAGAAAGAATAAGCACATAACCAGAAGTCCCGAATGGAAGGCACATGATGAAATGTACACATGACCAAAAGCCCCCAAACTGAGGAAGGCTGTTAATGAACTACAATATAACTAAACAGTATAGTATCAAGATTGTTCTTTTTTGAAAAAGGGGACTTCAAGTTTGTAACCTGTTTTGAGTCTATTATGTTAGGTGGAAGGTGAGATGCAAACTGAGATCTTTTAAATACCATAATAAAAACAAATCTCTCGGTTTATCTCGTAGCTTTGTGATACTTCTCAGTATAACTTCATAACATTGGAGGGAGCAGGCACACTGATTTTAATTCAAAACACACTAAGAAAAGGAACCATATTTCTTTGTGCAATTCTAACTGCTGTCATCTACTAAACTCCATATTTTAGCTGTTGGGAAGAATATTTTTTCTTCCAACTCTTTGTGCATTCGTGTCCTGATACACAGCCCTTTGAGACTGTAAACAAAATAACACAACATGGCTATTTCTAAGCTTAAATCCAGAGGGTTTTTACATATTGTATCCAAGGAAAATCACAACAAACTTATTATTGATCAAGCAACAGTTGTACATCTGACATTCCATAAACACATGCTAGTGATAGCTATCTGTGTTTCCTTGGAGAACTGAAACCTGCTTTGCAATCAATAAACTACATCAAGTAAGTGACACACACAACTCAAGACTATCTGTCCTGAAGCCCTTCAAAATATAGAATTCTTTCTATTCTTTCAAATAAGAATTTGTGGGTTTTTTGTTTGTTTTCAAATTGTATATTTTAATACATGAAGGCAATAAACAAAATAGAGAAAGTGATATCTGCTATTCCTGAAAAAATCGAAATGTGTTCACTAAGGTTCCTACAGGTTGAAAAGTAGCTCATCTTTGAAAACAAGATTTATTTAACTGACATGCTAGCTCAGGCCATATATAGAATATAGCTATTTTGAATTGTTCCCTATGAGTCACATACCATTCTTTCCTAACACTGATATAAATATTTTTGACTTGCAATTTTAAACAAAACCACCTTCTCTTTCTTGCCAATCCACATTTTTTCCTGGCCTTTGTTCCCACCCACCATTTTGTTTGGTCATTTCCCTTGCTGTTCATCCTCCCTTCTTTTTGGCCTATGGATTGTTTCTCTTTCCTCCCTTATCCATCTCTGACTTGGTGGGGGGGATGTGTGGAGGCAGGTAGTCCCCATTCTTCGGGGCTTGGTTTGCTGCTTTTCCAGCCACAGAACTTAATCCACCATACCCATATACCACTGCATGTGTTGACAGCAAGACCTGATACATTTTCAACTACGACAGCAGATTTTTCTTCAAAGGATGTTCCCAATCAGCCCTGGTTTTCATTACAGCAAGCCTGATGCTTCTGTGCTCTGTCAGTCCTCTGCCTTAACTGCCCAAATGGCTATAGCCCCTAAAATTCTCAGGACACACACACCCCGTGCCCCCCCAAACCCAAAAGAAAACCACTTCAGCTACTGCAGCAGTTGCTGATGCAATTAGTACCAAGGCAGTGCTGGATCAGCCGCCACACAGGGTGCAGTATATGGGACATGAAAAATCTACCAGCAGCAGTGCCTATCTCCCTTTCCCTGTTCTTTGACTGATCACTGCACGGCAGAGACAGTGATCGGGATCTGATGGATGAATGGGAGCCAGAGTGGCAGAATTGTTTAACTCTTCCCAGCAATTCTCTGAGAAGGAGTCTTGCAGCTGCCCTGTTCATGCTTTTGGCTTTCAGTACTACTACTGTTGACTTGACACAGGCATCACTTACCTCCTCAAACAGGTTCAACTGGCTTTTATTCCCAGCCAAAGTGTTTTTTAAAGAGGGCATCCCTATATGTCCTCCTGTGGTGCATCATTTTCATTCGTGGAACTTAAAGAAGGTTCTGCAGACTCTAATGTTCAAACCATTCCAAACTGTTCCACTCCACGTCCTTTCTCATAAGGTCCTCCTTTTGGTGGCCATCACATCAACATGGCTTATTTTGGAATTGAGTGCCTTATGCATATTCCTGAAAGACTGTGTGGAAAGACTGTGATTCTTTGTATGGATCTATCATTCATGCCTAAGGCAAATACAAGTTTTTACTACAACCAGAACCTCCTTCTGGCCTAACCGGATTCATCCCTTAGAGAAGGCCTGACACATAGTGGATCATCTACTGGGTGCTTAAAGTCTGTATCAGCCAGACTAAGGACTTCGGGTTGACAGAGGTGTTGTTTCTTCCTTTCCACCCTCTTGGGGTAAGAAAAGCTAGCATGCTGGCTGAGGGTATGTATCATCTTGGCTTATGACTCTCTCAAGCTGCCTGCCCTGCAGAATATCACAACCCATTCCACAAGGTCTGCTTTTACTATGCCAACATTTGCCATCAATGATCTTTTTATTGGCATCCACAGAGCTGGCACTTGGTCCACACCAAAAACTTTGGATAAACATTATAAACTGGACTTCTATGAATCTGCTGGCGCCTCTTTTTGAAAATGGGTTTTGCAGCAAGTGGTTCTGTAGACTTAGGTGTCCTGGAATTGCCTGTATTACTGGGACTCCTTTGGTACATCCCACCTGCTGTACTGTCACTCAGGGAAAAGCACCTTCCAGGGGAGACCAAGAGTTCCTTCTGGTTCTTGGCTTTAGTGTAGGTAAAGCCAACAGTGTTGAAATGAGCAGCTTATATGTGCCAGTGAATGTAATTATCTGAGACACCCATCTGCAAGTATCATGGAAGTATTGCCTGAAGTTGGAATCAACCTTGACATCATTGGAGTGTCAAACATTCCTGAAAATTCATTCTGGCGGTTAATAAATTATCATGACTGCAATCCACAACAATTCAATTTTGCTGTCAATTTTAATAGGAACCTATGTTACCTGTTCAGTTTTATTGCCAATATGTTGTATTCCATTAAAAAATAAAAGAGTCCCATCTTTTTATTTAAAAATCTCATAGAACGCTGTTATCCTAATTCGTTTTAATGCTATCAGCATATAAATGCTGCTTTTCATAATCTTTGCAGACACTCAAATTCTAAAGGAATTTAAATGAATTTAATGTTTATACTATTCACATATTCTTGGTACAAAGTAAGTCCAGTAAAAAGCATATTGATGAATAAGTCAAGGTGTACCAAACTATCTCAGCTGTCTCCAGTATTAATTTCCAGTTTATTTTCCAACATCAAATTATTTAAATTCTATAAAGCAACAGTGTTGGGAATTCATCATTTATGCATCTCATCATTTCACACTAGCACTGAGATTTACAAAATCAGTTCTCACCTTGTCATACGCTACAGGAGAATAGCACAACTCAGACATGGAATATTGCTCTTGTATCAAATACTTTCACAGATGCTTTCCCCAGCTTTTGAGACAAGAGGCAGCTGCTATAGGATATTTTATACATAAAGAACATTTCCTAATAGCTGTGGTTATGCACTAATGATTAAAGTAAGAAATTTAAGCTGAATATATATTTGTCTGTTAGTAGTATTTTCATTACTAGTAATGGACAGTGGGGGCAACCAGGTTATTCACTGGTGTTTAGGCTGCATATCCATTTGAAAATTACTTTAGAAAAATGTCTGGAATGTGTTCCAATGAAGACAGGGGGGCATTCAGTATCCTTCAGTTTATCACCTTCCATCTAGCCAGGGGTCAGAGCACTCTTATTGTTTTTCCTTTTTTGAGACAATGGCCCCATAATCTCCAAGATGGGTCATGCTTCATAGCCAAGAATCAGTTCCACATTTAAAGGTTAGCGCCACCACCTAGAATCATACAAAGAACCAGGAATCAGTGCAGTTGTTTAAGCATTGACAAAATACGTTCCCAATGACCAGTCTCAGTTAGTAGCCCAGCATCTGCATTTTGATTTACTTGTACTTTATCTGCAATGTTGTCTGCATTCTTCAAAGTAGTCTAATCTGCCAGACTATTTTGTCCAGGACAAGTTACTGCTAGGGCACCAGCTGAAGTTAATGAAAGGCGCCTTGGACTACTAAGATCGCTTGGGCCTCTAGTGACAAAGTTGGATCTTTGAACACTTCTTGACTGTGGACTTGATCCTTTGGGGGTGCCAACTACTCAGAACCCCACTTCCCTGGACAGATTACCTACTCACAAACAGTACTTTCATTTTGCGTGGCTTGAGCTTTTGTTCATTGGTTCTTATCCAGTCCATTACTGTTCTCAGATAGTGATTTTAACACCACCAAAGGTCAGATATAAAGTAGAAGTATTGTTTCTTCACTTTCATCACAGTCACGGTGAGGCTCAGTAATAGGTCTTAACTGTGTTGGGTCACCACACAGTAGTTTCCTGCAACTTTCATTACAGCTATTCTGCTTCCTACATCACAATTCCCAACACACCAGTAAACCAAGGAATTAAACAAGCTTTACCTGACGAAGGCGATGTCAATCACCTCACAAAATGCCTACAGTATCACCTGGCATTTTGGCTAGAAATTTATCAAAGTCCACCACCCCTGCAGAGAGAAGTGGTTGCTGCCAGTCTGAACCTTAGCAAAAAGTGAAATGACCATGAGAAGAGAGACCAAGAGAAATCCTCCACAACCAGATAGCCATCTTCTGCCACAGTTGAGAAGGTGGCCTCCCACATTCATTTGACTGATGACATGCTGAGAGAATGTATGGTTGTCATGGCAGTCATGAACCTCTGAGCCTCACTATGCAAGGCAGACAAGAACCACAAGCCTAGTAAGTGCTGCTGGGCTAGAAGCTGGCATGCAGAGAGATGCTCACTGCTGTAAGCATACTCAAAAAAAGTTTTTTAAGATCAACAGAAGTTGCAGAAAAATACCTCCTTAGTTTGCAAGGGAGCAAATGGCTATAAAATGTTTATTTGTGGCCACTGAACTATCCTGTGTTGGGACATGGAACAAAGCAGAAAGAATATTAAGTGTAAAGGCTACACAATAGCCCAGCTCTAGAGAATACCAGTCTCTGTGGAGCAACAGCAGGAGAGGGTTGTTACTGTCTGTCATTCTCTGACTAGCAGAAACAGGAATACATTAAAATGTAAATCATAGCTTAAATCTGAGCAGAAAATTTTTATATTGTACTTTGACTTGAATCCTAAGAACAGCAAGTGGAGTGTTGCTTGTGCAACAAGGCTTTCCCGCCACTGTTGTGGGTTTGGAGACACTATATTCCACCCTGTTCAGCAACTGTAATTTTTAAAAACTATTTTTAACTTGCATTTTAAATTATTGTAACCCACATCCTGGGACGTCCTGGTAAAGGGCAGATAATAATAATAATGTGTGAACAGTGACTGTGACTTGAAATTGGAGACCCCCTTGTGTTGAACTGAAAAACCTTCTATAAGTAGCTCATTGATTCCAAGCCAAATACTTGTTTGCTGTTCAAAAGCTGTTAAAGAAGTATGATTATTGAACTAATTCTACTTGAACTACTTGTATTTTTCAGGACATTTCATAGTAGTGTTGGTGATCCCTTGCCCTCAGATTTTTTGGAGCCTACTGTTGACCAACCATTACGCTGGTTATCTGGCATCACAGAATTTTCCCCTTCTTTACTGAAGTAAGTATCTTTATATTAAAATGTAGATAAGAAACTGAGATATAATCTATTGATTTCTCAGTTCAACGTTATTTATTTAATTTTAATTTTAGCCTGCCCTTCACCAAATGAGCGTGTTACAGGAATATCATAAATAAAATAAGTTAAAATCATAAAATAAAACCACAGAAATGACAGTATCAGAATAACAGAGCAACTGTTCAAGTCACTTGCAATAGACTAATATACAGATATCAAATATAGTTTCTTCATACTAGTTTTCTCACACAGATTCCATGTGGGGGCTGTGTAGACTTAATGTATAGACTATACATTTTTTTTGCCCAGCTGATGGGATCTGAAATGAGCCACACTTCCTCATCCAGATGCTCCACTCTCTGATACAAATTTCCTCTATTGCTTTTCTAATGGGGCGCTGACCATAAACATGGTTTTAAGCTGCTTTGCGATTTCTGCTTTTGTTTACCATGTTTGAGACTGATGGTAAGAATGTGGGCCATATAGTGAGCAATTGTGCTCACACATTCCCCAGCCCACGTACCCAGGGCTAAACTACAGGCATCTTATATTTACACCAGCTTCCAATTCAAACTATTTTAGTGTGATGGTAATTGTTGTTGAAGAATGGGTAGTTCTTCTTTAGCAGTATCTAATTATTTTAACATTGATGTTTGATTATAGACATAATCTGTTGCTTTAGTAATATATAAATGTGCTGTTCTTGACAATAAAATAACTCAATCTAAGTTTTTCTTTCCTGTTTAACTATTTTGACTTTAAATTTTGAGTATTACATGAAACTTTATTTGTATCTGGAAAAAGTAGTAACTTTGGGCATTAGAAAAGCTAGATAATTCTACAAAACTAAACTTCATTTGAACAACTAATTTGTTCGTATTTGGTATTTTTAGAATTTGTTTCATGTTTGGAAGCAATGCATAATTTCCTTGCCATTTCAGTAAGTGTAATGACAATTTACATATGAAGCATATGCCATCAGTTGTACTGTCATTCTTTTTCTAACTTTGGACCAAAATTCCTCCCACGCCCGTTTTAGCAAGCTATCTATGCTCCCCACAGAATTTGTATCCTTTCTCAGTAACCTGCGTATTTAAATAAATGCTATGATTTTTAATACTTATTCTGAAAAAGTAAATCTTTAGCTTCTGCTACATTTAATGACTATGTCTTTAATTTCAGCGTGCCATATTTTTCCATGTATAACACACCCCCATGTATAAGACAACCCCTATTTTTCTGAACCCCAAATTGAGTCAGAGCCTGAACCTGAGACCAGCCTCCCCATGCCAGAGCCTGAACCTGAGACCAGGCCACTTGCACCTGAACCCGGGCTGCCTGTGTCAGAGCCCAAACCCGAATCCAAGTCCAGACCACCCACACCAGAGCCCACACCCAAGCCTAGGCTGCCCGCCACAAAGCCCAAGCCCAAACACCTGTACATTCACCATCCTTGTATAAGATGACCCCCCCCCCAATTTTTGACTAATTTTTAAAAGCAAAAAACATCGTCTTATACACAGAAAATTACGGTAGCTTTTTCTACCATTCAATATATTAATACAGAAAAAATAAGAGGAAATTGCACTTCAGTTTATTAATGTCCAGTGTGAATGGAGGTTCTTTAGAGGCAACTATAAAACAAATATATAGTCAGCATATCTGTGTAAACCCGGTTACAGAAATAATCATAGCTCCATTCAGATGTCAAGTGTCTTGTAGAATTGGAATCATATGAGGGGTAGAACAGGGGCTACGCTTTCTGTCCCCATCCACTCCATCAGGTCCCTGTCAGTTGGCCTTGCTGCCCTCTGTAAGGCCTATTCTTTATGGGTGTGCTCCTCGTGTAATTGAAAACCCTAAATCTTGTAAAAAGACTACTCAAATAGTGCATGCTTCCCACTTCAGGCCTTTTCGAATGCACAGAGGAAGAGGGAGCAGATTGTTAGGGATTCAACAAAGGGCCCTGTGAACATTGACACATTTCTAATCATGTATGACCTAGAATACTCTGATAAGGTTCATGTCTTTATCATTACACATTAGTCAATATTGCATGAATAATGTGTTGAAGCTTATAAAATAAGACTAAGTAAACAGTATAAATGTTTTGACATGAGAAAGAGCCCCATTGCACAAATGGACTTCAGTTTGTGTAATGCTGGAATCAATCCTTTAGATTAGATGTTAAGCTTCCTGTAATGTAACTCAAAGTAGGATTGAAAAAAATTTGATGTTGATGATATGCGTACTTAGTTATTTACTATTTTTAATTCCCTTTGTTCTCCAAGAATGTCAAGACAGCATACATGGTTCTCCTCACCCCTGTTCTATTTGCACAGCAATCCCGTGAATTAGGCTGAGAGTGTGTGACTGGTCCAAGGTCATCCAGCCAGCTCTGTGACTGAGGATTTTAAGCTGGCCTCCCTGATCCTAGTCCAGCACCCTAACCACTACATGACACGACACGACATGACACTGTAAACCACTTTGATATTTTCATGATATAGCAGTATATACATATTTTCATAACTATTTAAATAAATAAATAAATAAATAAATAAATACATCTTTAGTTAATAAGAAATGATTTTCCATGCATGTTCATGTTGATTTAGTGGCTGAATGCCCAATTTTAAGCTTTGGTGAATGTGCATAAAAGGAGGAGGTTGAATTACAGGGCTATACCCTGATTGCTGGTGCTGCAGTTTCCATTGGCATTGCCGTGCTAGTCATTTCCTCCTACCTCCAATACAGCTTAGTGGTACCATATAAAAGCATCCATATATTGCTGGAAAGGATATGAAAAAAGTGGTAAGTTTGCCAACAGCTCCTGGATGAGCTGGCCTCCCAATTGTAGTAGATTTGTAGAGGTAGATGCAAACCATCACTTGTTCTTTTCTTAATACCAAATTAAACATTTATATGTGTCATATTTTATATATAGTTCACCTTTTCCTCTTTACGTGGCTAGCCTTGTGTTCACAGCTACATGAGCTTGTAAGATGAGAGAACATATGCTTCTCCATATGTCCAATATAAAACTTTTCAGTGCATTTACTAGTGTTAGTATAGTGGCTTCGGGGAATGTCTGTAATACTCTTATTTTCCCTCTGAGTGAATCACATCAACTGTGCATTTCAATTTGCATGATGCTCTAAGAGCCAAGAATTGGCAAATACTGAAAAGCAATAACATCCCATCTGGTCAATGATAGTTGAGCTTTACCTCAATATTCCATAAGTCACTTTAGATATTACTTTAAATACTTAACTGTCCAAAGGCCTTCTTTTTCTTATGTTTAGAAATTGAAGGGAAGTGTTGCTTTAATTTGTATAGTTAGATACCTAATTACGTAGCATGGTAATGGTAGCATGGTGAAAAGAGCTATGATTTCCTGAACATTATCTGAATACATAGAAATGTTGGGAAATGGAGTAGGGAACTGGGCTAATATGAAGCCTTTGTACTTAATATATAATCCATAGAATCATAGAACTTCCATAGAGTTGGAAGGGACCCAAAGGTCATGTAGGCCAACCCCCTGCAATGCAGGAATCTCAGCTAAAGCATCCATGACAGATGTCCATCCAACCTCTACTTAAAAACTTCCAAAGAAGGAGAGTCTACCACCTCTCATGGGAGTCTGTTCCACTGCCAAACAGCTCTTACTGTCAGAAAGATTTTCTGAATGTTTAGTCGGAATTTCCTTTATTGTAACTTGAAGCCATTGCCTTGAGTCCTACCCTCAAGAGCAGGAGAAAACAAGCATGCTCCCTCTTCCATTTGACAGCTCTTCAGATATTTGAAGATGGCTATCATCTCTCAGTCTCTTCTTTTCCAGGCTAAACATACCCAGCTCCTTCAAGTGCTCTTCGTAAGACTTAGTTTCCAGACCCTTGATCATCTTGGTTTCCCTCCTCTGCACACGTTCCAGTTTGTCAACATCCTTCTTAAATTGTGGTGCCCAGAATTGGACACATCTGTTTTATGTTACCAAATATACTTTTATAATTCTGCCTTAATTATAGTGTGACAAGTAGCTCGCATCGTATTTCCCACCCAACCCTATTTGTTTCTTTCTTATTTCACAGACTTGATTTCAAATATTTTATAACATCACTCTAAACACTTAAATACAACATTGAACTAAAATATAATGCCTCAGATTTATTCAGGCATTAAAAATGATTTTTGCCTCATGAAACAAGAGCATATCTGGCCCCAATGAAAGAGATAAGTGAGGTTACTTTGTATCAGTTAAAATTTGGCAGTCTACCAAATGTTAATTTGCTTTTTAGCTAGTTGAGATTAAATGTAATTCCTTCCCTGAGCAGCCTTAAAGTAAGCAACCATGAAAGCATTTTCAGAGTAATCTGGGAGGAATTGACATTTAAAGGAGTTAGCATTACATCTGCACTTTAAGGCTATTAATTTCATAGATAAATTAACGACATTATTCTGTCTTTATCTTACATTTTGAAAGGACTCCATCAGCCAGAGGAATGGCAGCCCAGGGTCAACTCAAGCTGCTCTTATCCCAGCCATGCTGTAATTGGAACTTGCTTTTGGAAACCCTGCTACATCACGATTGTCTCTTAGTGAAACTTTTACTGAGGAGTTCCAGTAAGTACTGACACTTTCTATAGTTGCAATATTTTACCGCTGAAGAAACACAAGTAAATTGTTCAGGATTGCCACATTGTTCGCTATTTTAATATTAGCAGAAGGATCGTGGTCATCACTTCACATAATTAGCATTAGGCTCAATACTTGCAATCTAATTTTCTTTCATTTTTTTGCTGAGGATTTTTTGTTTGGATAGGAATTCACATTTATCATGCTAATACTGTTTAGAATATAATGTGTTTGTTATTTACTAAAACGTTAGCTGTAGATATTCTGCAGTTCTCTTGGTCCAGCATTTGGTCTAACATTTGTCAGAAGAGCACCACAACTATACTTCTGTCCTGTTTTTTATTGAATGTTGCAATGCACTCATTTACCTATTCAAATGCATGTCAGCAAAGACTGAAAGATGTCTGAAGATCATATTCTCCCCCTGCTGTTGGATTATATTTACTAGTGTGTTCAAGGATCACAAGGATGGAGTGACAGCATTTATTAAGCTTTTGACTGACCATTACCCTGAGCTTCAGCAGATTGCATCCTGCCTAGACACGCTGAGCTGTAAACAATTGTTTCTCTAGCACAGAACACAGAAATCATTTAAGAGTTTGTTTTTGTAAGAAAAATCCCTATTGTGTAAGAAAAGACCATAGATCTTAGCCTAAAAGTACTATTATATGCCACCACAGTCTCCATGAGCAGTGTGAGAATCCAGGGGTTCCAACTGTTTACACAGGGTTGGGTTTCCTTTGGAAAGATTGAGGCACAGCGGTTAGTGTCTTTAAGAAATATGGTTTTATTAAGACATAATTACACCTAGAAGTGGGCAGTGGAGGCTGTGCAGCAAATTATACCCCAAGAGTGTCTTCCATTTCCCCTCTCATTTCCCATTGTCTCTCAGTGCAGCTTCCTCTGACCATTGCTGCATGGAGTTCTGGCCTGCCCTGCAGCTCATAGAGGTCTGGCCTCTGGCCTCCTCCTCCTTCCCAGCACACCTCTCAACAAAAATCCAAGACTCCTGTAAAATGACATTCTTTCCTGTCACCTTTCCACCACATTAGCAACCCTTGCTTTCCACAGAACTGATAAGGTTCTTTGACATGTAGATGCCTTGTCATTGTTTGACAAGGCTTGCATTCAATAGGCTGGTTTGCCCAGGGATTCCTTGTCTGGCACAGTTCTGTAGCTTGTATTTTCCTTCTTAGCGCAAATATTAGCTAGATTAGCTAGATTCATTATACTACAAAATTTTGTTGTAGGTCCCACTTACACTTTCACTACTACCTCAACCTCTGAACTTTTCTTCTTTCTTTATTCAAGAATCTGAATTATCAAAAAGTGGAGAACAAAGTACTTGCCTAGACATGAAGAGCAGCCAAGAACCTAGTCTGACTGAAGCAATCTTTGCAGTACTTTCTTATTGTACTTTATCTCCCAAATCACTTGGTGGTGTTCTTGAAAACTACATGGAAAAAGAACAGATGTGGGATTGTTTATACAATATATCAGGTATGAAAAACGCAGTGAAATTTTCTTTCTTTCGGGGGTGTATCCAGTCTTTCTGGGAGTGGAGTTCTGTTTATGTGATTCACCAATTCCTACCCCTTGTAGTTACCTGTACCACACTCCCAATTTGCCCCAGAGGTCTTCTTCCAGTTCTAGGTAGGCAGCAACATATGTGTGGGATGCTTTAGGAAATATAAAATTGCATCTGGAAGAGGATCTTAGGTTTCAAATTGAGAACCAGTCGTAGAAATTTCTCATAATACCACAGAAGTTACTTTCATTCTTGGATGCTCTAGGAAAATCTCCACTTAGCTTCATCTGTAGCACCACATCAGGCACTTCCATTTTGAACTTCATTTCATGTGCCTCGTTCTTGCAGATTTAACTCAGTCTTTTCTAAAGCATTCATTCATTCATTCATTCATTCAGAGTATATTTATCCTGCTCTTCAGCCAAAAAACGGCTCCCAGGGTGGCACACAAATGTCAGTGATAAGACAGTTCTTGCACTAAGGTTAACAATTTAAAAGACATGATGCAAAATGAAAGAGAGGAAGGAGGGGGATAAGCAATCCTGGGACTATTTCTTAGTTATCTAGAACTCTGGTAATGAGCAACTGAAATGGAAAGATTTCAAAGAGAGCAAGACCCAACTGTTACTGGTGGAAAGGCCTGTGTATTCCACTTCTTGTTATAGCCTGATGGAATGGCTGCTAATGACAGTTGAGGAAGGAGCCTGAACTGGTATTTTCTTCTTCTGCAGCCAGGACCAGAACTCAGTCTATTCCACCATTTAAGAAACTAAACCACCCAAAGCCATAACTATACATTGTTATATTATCACACAGGTCAAGTCAGTCATGATAATTTGTCTAAGTGTAAAGATAAACAGAAGTAGTATGTTGGATAGTAGTAATTATCCACTTCTAAGCAAAACAACAAAGGCATGGCAACTGAGAAAATAATAATTTATAAAAGTGTAGCATTTGATAACATAGTATTGTTATGTAGAAACTTATTTTACTCTGGTTGCTTTTTTATTCTACAACTGTAACATGGAAAAGTATAAAAAAACTTTCTAAAATAGTGACATTAAATGTTGCTAAAGAGGCTCAACTTAATGTTTTCTTTTAAATTAATATTATTACTATTTTGTCTCCAAAGTTTCTAGTTGCATTGAGTCAGAGCCAGAGGTTATCAGATGCTTGAAGCTGACTTTGATTAATTCAGTTAAGGGTATTGTGAAGCAGATCATTTCTTTGATGCATTCATGGGAAGCAACAGAAAACTATGGAACCTATCAACACAAGCAAATTGTCCCTGAAAGTTTGCTGAAGACTGTTCCAAAGGAGTGGAATTACACACCTAGAGAAATGAAGAGAAAAGAATCTGGGAAATGTAGGTGTGCTTATATAATTCCTGTCAAAATAATAGCTATACATTTAACGAGGACAAATCAAAACTGAAAAAGTAGAATTAAGTGGTATGATTTGATAATGAATACTATAGTAATACAATTTATGGTATTTTAGAAGACTAATCATGGAATTGCTTACATACTTGGGTGCAGTACTTTGTCTTACTGAGTTCTTAGCGCAATCCTTGTCATTGTGGGCTAGTGGAAGGCCCACATTCAGCAAGGTCTCTTTGGGAAAGCAAATGGCTGACAGAATAAATATACTAGTAATTCTGGCATTGGTGACTTCAGTATTGGATTACTGCAATTCACTTCATGGGAGGATTCCCTTGTGCTTGGCCTGGAAACTGCAGTTAGTGCAGAATGTTGCAGCCAGATTCCTGACAGGAGTGAGACCGTGTCAACATATTACTTCTCTACTCAGAGATCTGCACTGGTTGCCAGTTAGTTACTGTGCCAAATTCAAGATGTCACTATTAGTATATAAAGCTCTTAACTATTTAGGACCCATTTACTTGAGGGATTGCCTTATCCCATATACACCCACTTGGCCACTTTGAACTGTGACACTGACATTTTTACAAGTGCCATGTAATGTCCATTCCACACTTGCAAGGAATCAATCTTTGCATTTGGCAGCACATGCACTCTGGAACTCCCTGTCTATTGGCGTTAGGCATATACAGTCAATGTACTGTTCTTGGTGCCTGCTGAAACCCTTTAGTTTCAGAGAGCCAGTGTGGTGTAGTGGTTAAGAGCAGTAGACTCATAATCTGGTGAACCAGGTTCACGTCTCTGCTCCTCCACATGCAGCTGCTGGGTGACCTTGGGCTAATCACACTTCTTTGAAGTCACTCAGCCCCACTCACCTCACAGAGTGTTTGTTGTGGGGGAAGAAGGGAAAGGAGAATGTTAGCCGCTTTGAGACTCCTTCGGGTAGTGATAAAGCGTGATATCAAATCCAAACTCCTCTTCTTCTTTTGTTCAGAAAAGCCTACCTTGAAATGTAAATTTGACATGCATTTTAATATGCATTTTTTTATAATGTAATTTTAAACTACTCATGTTATTTATATTTGGAAATGTTTTAGGTGTAGTTGCTTTCAACTTATGACTTTTTAGTGATAATTTTAATGCATAGTCTATATAAACCAATTAGATTTTAAAAAAATAAATCTCTGTGCACAGTACAAACTAAGATGCATAGTACCTCCCCCACCCACCCTGGCATCCAAACCATCCAATAGAGAGCTAGTTTTGCTCTTGTTGCAATAATAATAATAATAATAATAATAATAATAATAATAATAATAATTTATTATTTATACCCCGCACATCTGGCTGGGCTTCCCCAGCCACTCTGGGCGGCTTCCAAAAAAATATTAAAATACTGTAATACATCAAACATTAAAAGCTTCCCTAAACAGGGCTGCCTTCAGATGTCTTCTAAAAGTCTGGTAGTTGTTGTTCTCTTTGACATCTGGTGGGAGGGCGTTCCACAGGGAGGGCGCCACTACTGAGAAGGCCCTCTGCTTGGTTCCCTGTAACTTGGCTTCTCGCAGTGTGGGAACCGCCAGAAGGCCCTCGGTGCTGGACCTCAGTGTCCAGGTAGAACGATGGGGGTGGAGACGCTCCTTCAGATATACTGAGGGCAATAAGTTTCCCTCAGTACAGCACTTACATTTTTACCTCACAGGAGAGAATGGCAGCCATTCACTAATATGAAAAAAAATTGAGGGGTATATTTAGTGATGCTGTTTGGGTAGGGGCTATAGCAGTGGCCACAGGTAAATGTCAACAATCATCAAATTTTGTTACAGATAAGTTGGCTATTCTTCTTAGTTCAGTGTCTGGCAAGACTGGCATTATACCATGTGTTTGTAGTGGGTGGGTGGGTGGGAAAGTAGGATTAAAGAGCGGGTGGGACCCTTTCCTACACTACAATGCTGCAAATAACATACACCCTTGTATGTTTGTTGTGGTAGCTCTCAACATGATGTCGCTAGGTTCCTAGGCTCCCAGTTAGCCAGATATTTCTGCCATTGTGTTGGGACAAGTGAGGAGGCAATACTCTTTCTTCCTTAGCTTACATATGTGGTAGCAGAAGCAGAGAGCTCTTGTGTGCTCTGCCTTTGTTGTCTCCACTGCTGTCCAGTCACACTGGCTCTTCTGGGTCTCTGAGCGCTTCTTGCAGGACAGGAAGATGCACCACACAAGAATAACAGCATGAGCAGCAGAAGATAAGGAACTTAGTGCCATAAAATAAGCACAACTGCCACTTACGATCAATTTTAATTTTATTTAAATTTTAATACATTTAATACATTATTGTATTTGCTAAAATTATGTTAGTGATAGCTAAAGGTCTCCAATTATTAAAATGGCAACCTGTTTTTCTTTACGTCTTTTACAGTTTATTAAACAGATTGCTATGTTCATATTTTGTTTATTGTAAATATGTTACGATCATCACAAGTTTAATTTATAGTTTATGCTGGGGTATAACATTGGAATGTACTTTGTCACATATTTGTAATATGTAATGGCATGCCGTTTTTTAAACTTGGAACCTTTCCCTCTAATTAGCTCCTGAGACAAGTTTCAAAACCCTTTATTCATTTTGTGCTTGAATTTAAATTTCAAAATGTCACGCTTATATTTGACTCTTACTTTTTTATGAAAGGGTCTTTAATGTGGAATGTGGGAGTAATTTATGTCAGAACCAACTTCAAGTGGTATTAAAGTAGCAGAACTGTATAGATAATATACAGATAGTATATTGATTTTTGTTATGGCTAGATTGCAACATGGAGATGGACCCTTTACCTTTAAATTTCCTGATGAAGTAGGAAACTCAGTGAGATATATCCCACTGAATGTGAGTAAAATGATTAGTGTGCATATAAAATGAAGTGTACATAGTCTTACAACTGAAGACACTTCTTCTTAGGTTCTCAGAGAGGCATCCCATTTTATTTTCACATAGTTAGGTAATGAGTGAGATTCTTGGTAGAGAATAAATCCGCAGAATCTTTATTTGCAACAAGAGGCTGGTACTGGCTCTGATGGCACTTAATGAACATGCAATCTTGCATCCCTACCTCCAACACACAGAAAACATCAAGTGTGAACTAGATGTTCTGTACAAGCAGCTGATCATATAATGACCCTAACTCTTGGGGTTGGGCGTCTGTGCGGGACAGCACCTGGTGTGTGCCTTGATCCAGCATGGGACATGGAGCTGAAGTGTTTTCCAACGCCAGCATGACTCCAAATTGGACTTGCACTGGCCTGGAAAGTGAATTTCAGCCTGCCCAACATTCAGCCAATCATAGACAGACTGGTTGCAGCGGGTGGGCTGGGCTGGGCCAAAAGGCTTCACTCCAGGACATTTAACCCTGGCCTGCCTCCACCACCTTGTCCAGATGCTCGGTACAAGAGACTGATCATATAAAGAACTGGTTAATGGGATTTCTTCACATAAAAAAAGGTTGGGTGGAAATATGCACTAACTGACCCTCTGGTCTTATGGATTGTCCAGGTTACACAAAATATTATCTGCATGAAATCATGTTCACTCCACCACCACAAAATAATGGTAGCAACCCCAGGAAACATGTGAACCAAGGCTATACATCTAAGAGACATCTAAAATTAAACATTGGCATTCAGTCTTCATAACTGCATTGTATAGCAAGAGTGTTTAATGTTAATCATACCTTCTTTCATTCTTTTTTTAAAGGCTTCACAAGGCTTGCTGCTCAGGCAGTAT